TTAGCACAACTGAGGAACAAAAGTTGCCTTCTGCTTTTAAGACTCTGAGCGAACAATCAACACAAGATGTAACAAGGCTGTGTAATACAAAACATAGAGATTTAATTCATGCAGGGTTTTAAATAATGACAACACTCTGCAGCATGTTGTCTCCTCACTGTCTGCGGCTGCGTTTCATTTCCTACCGTCGTCACAGCTCTTGATTATTATTATGATGATGATGCTGCTGCTGCCCTGCAGCAGACTGCTGTTGTTTTGTGAGGGATACTGTGATGAATTAAGCCCAGGAAACACATTTTGGATCATTGGCACTGCTCTTTATCTTCTGAACTTACTCTCTGAAATCAAAACACACTGTCTGTGTGTCTGTCTGTCTGTCTGAGCTCCTATCTGAGTTAATCTGAGTTAATCTTTCAGTTGATGTGAGCAGATTACAGTGGATTATACTCTGACTATTGGACGATTGACCAAGACTAGATCAAACATACAGACGGACACCCACACGCGTGACCAGTATGACACACTAATGCATGTGAGCTCATAAACCCTACATACACAAAGCTGATACTAGTTAGCACACACACACGCACGCACGCACGCGCGCGTACATACACGTACATGCATACACGCATGTTTGGTCTGATTGGCTTTAAAGTCCGTGCTGTTATCTTTGCGGAACTGTGTAGATCCTTTAATTAGGAGCGGTGGGGGACTTTATTTGGGCTGGTGTAATGTTCAACTTCTGTAAAATACAAATGAATAAATTGGAATGATGGACAATCTTTTGTGAATTATTTTACAGCTTTGAGTTGAACGTTGCGGGAGCGGTTAGCAGGAGCAGCGATACGTTTCTCTACGCGACACGCAGAGCCAGGGAGGGGTTCAAAACAGTCGGGAGTAAGATCCGAAATAGAAATTGTTATTTTTGAAGTGTGCAAGACGAAGGCTCTTTTGACATAATCTGACTGAAATTTGAATATTCAAATGACTCCTGACAGCCGTGCGTGCTGTCATGCTCGACTGCAGGAGTTTTAACACACAGAACGTCGCTCGTCACGACCTCTCTGCCCACCTTTTCGTTTCCTCTCCCCCTGTGCTGCAGCGGGACAAAAAAAACCAAATCAACAAATATAGAGATGAACGACGCCACGGGGGCAGGAACGACCTCCAGGTCAGGTGGCTCAAACCAGGAAAAGAAAGCAAGTGCAAACCGGAGAAAACCCTTAAAAAAAACACAGATTAAAAGATAACTGAATGAAGAGCGTGTTACCTGACCTCACACAGATATTTATAACCCCGTTTGCATGCCTTTTATAACATCAACATTTTTTGCAGTGGAGCATTTATGAGATTAACTTGATAGTGACAGACGACTCGACTGTCCTCTGTCTTTGTGTGTTTCTACAGTGTGGGTATGAAGTGTGTCTTTTTGCCAGTGTCATGACCATCTGTTAGATTAAATACTAAGCAAATGGTTGCCAAAAGTGACACAAAGATGTGAAAAGACAGGACTAAGGCGGGAGATACATGGCGACAAATGGCGTCGACTCTCATGTAGAAGTGAACAAAATGAATGAGTAACTTTTTGTTGGATGTTACACAAACTGCTGTATGAGTTTATGCTGGACCACAAGGGGTTAACAGTGACTTAAAACACTGTGTGTGTGTGTGTGTGTGTGTGTGTGTGTGTGTGTGTGTGTGTGTGTGTGTGTGTGTGTGTGTGTGCGGTGTGTGTGTGTGTTGTGTGGCTGTTGTTGTTTTTGTATCTCTCTGCGCGTCCACAGTTTCATCATGTTTGTGTTTTGGAGGAGGGGCAGATACGGGCCGGGGCCATTATTACTAAGAGGTTTTCAAAGCCATTCATGGGATGAGAGTACAAATTTATCCCGTACATCGGCTTTCTACGCAACCTTTTGATATCACGTCTCAGCGTTATCAGCGATGAGTCTCAGTCATACCGGCAGCAACCATTTGTTGATCAATCATGCATCATGTTAACTTCAGCTAATGCTTTCTTTGTTAGTAGGATGGGGGGTGGGGAGGGTAAGCGACACGGATGGGCATGTACTGTATTTTAACTTACTTACATTCTTTTTTTTTTTTTAATTTTATTGCCTCTCCTGTTATCCCTCATCTTTCGTGTGTCCATTGTCACTGTGCTCTCTTCAACTTCCTGGTTATTTTAAAAACAAAGCTATATACGAAAAGTGGAACCCGGGAACTGCAGTCATGAGAGAAATATTTGGCATTTAAAAACGCAGCAGCAGGGAATGACCTGCACTTCTAAGCTCTTTTATGAGCGTGTTGAAGATGTAAGTCAACAAATCTGTGGTGTAAAGAGAAGAAAGTGGTGTGCACGCATCACTTCACTGCGGAGGGTGTTCAGAGACATTAAACGTAACTATTAGATATTTAACGGGCAGCTTGTTCAGCCAGCTCTCATTAAATTCTCTTAAATGTATTGTAAATCGATAGGTTGAACGAGTTTGGGCAGTTCCTATTAAAAGCCTTTTTAATGTCAGTCAGGTTGCATTTGAATTGAATCACTGTACTTTTTGAAAGAATATTCTGGATTAACTATACGTTTTAGAATGCTGTCTCCTCGTTATCGGATCTGTTCCTCAGATTCATTTAGAAGACTTTTTCAGGCTGCGAGCGCAGGTGTTACTAATAACCTGAAATCCATTAGGCGTGCCAGCTGCAGGTTGATATGGACATTTTGTGAACGCCACAGCAGTAAGAGGTGTGAATGATTTTCTTAACGATGGTTGGACTGTAGACTCCGAGGCAGACGTGCAAAAGCGAGGCAATGTTATTTAAATAGCAGCATTTCAACAATAAGACAATTAAAAGTGCTTCACATAGAAACACAAAGCAAGGAGATTTAAGAACAAGCAGAGGAAGCTTGATTAGGATCAGAGAGAGAACATGACGCAATGGAATCAACCTGATCTGTTGGACAGAAACATCACGTTACAGTGTTACAATATTTTGGATTTAAATAATTGACTTCCAGAAGAGTCCAAAGCAAATTTGGAGCTTTATTTGACTGTGTCACGTTTTCCCCTCCGAGCCTGTGAAATGTTTTCCTGCAGTGAGGCTACTGCCAGCTTTAGGTTCATCCTACACTGAGCATCATCCTTTCACTGTTGTCATGAACACCTGTAGAAATCGATTTTACACAGAATTATTTACGGTAGTTGTAGGTGTTTGACGATCTCATCTTATTTCAGTCACTGAAAAGGGGATGTTGTATTTTTAGAGCAGCTTGACGCAGTGTGGATGAAGGGAACGGCCGGCGCAGAGTCAATCGATGTGAGACTCGTGGAAAACAACAGCAGTTATTGTGTGACTGGCCTGACAAACACACCAGTAAAAAGGAGAAATGGTGTTCCCCTAAACGCCTCTTTTTCAAGTGTAGAAATGTGTTGAATAGTGTTTGTGGTGGTCTCTGATATGGCAGACAGTGGGACAACCGATCAATAAAGCATTTTGGCGAGGCGGAAGGTGAAAGGAAACAGAGCAAATAGAGTTTGACAATAGTTTTCAAGTCAAGGGCAGCAGACGGGACAGTGAACGAGTGAATGGAACTAATTACTCTGCTTCCCAGCGCATCGATCCACTGGGTTTTATTGGGAACATAAGTGGACATGAGGAGGGGAGGAGGGGCGACATCTGTCTACTCGCGTGTAAATGTTGAGTTCATAAACTTTGACCTGGTGGTGAATGAATGAAGACCTGATGAAAGGACGTGAGCAGTTGAAAGGAACCAATGAAAGAGTGAGCCAATGAAAGAATAGATGACTTTTGCTTCCAGACCTCCAGGTCTTCAATCGGGGAATGAAGTAAACGATGGGGTGGGAATAAAACGTGTATTCATTTATTTATCCATCCAGAGCTTTGCTAGACGCTTTGATTTGTTCTTGGGACGATAAAGTCACGTCCGCTGGGGAAAAAAATGATTATCCCGATTCTTTTGTTCAATGTTGAGATCACGCTTCTTCATGATGATTTTAGGAGGATAGTCAGTAAGTCTCATATTGTGCTTTGTTCCTGATAATTAGTATGTTGCTCTGTAGAAATGAATAGGAAGTGCTTGATTTTAAATGTGAGTTATCTGTAAGCGGAGCAAGCAATTTTAATTCCAGTTTTGCGCTCGATCACATTAAATGAATTGTGGGAAGCTAAAACCATGATGCGGGGAGTATTTGATTAACTGTGCAGCCCTAAACCTGTGTGCACTCAGCCGACCAGACTCTGGCTACTCTGATGTGGTTTTTAATATTATGAAAAGACACAACCCCTCTAAAAGAGAATGTTTCCCTCATGTTATTCATCTTCAAACTAACTAACAGAATTGTGGGAGCTTTACAGTTATTATTTAGCTATTTATTATTGTTTAGTTCTTTCGGTTCATATAATATTACTTTTTTGTCGTCAATTTAGTTGGATAATTTTGTGTCATTAAGTATGCATGTATGGTAAATAGATTGGTTAATTGGACGACTTATTGATTTGGTCATACCAATGGGCACCTGGAGGTTTTTTAAGGGCATAGCCAGGTATAAGACCAGCATGCACCTGCTTGACACATCGTTTTTACCAGCGAGCCAGAGCAGCTCAGCATAGGAAAGGCAGCCAAGTTATATTGTATGTGTTTGTTGGCCTTCTGTGGAATAAATGCGAAAAGGAAAAGACTGCCAAGACAATCCGCTCTCTTGCTGCATAAAATAAACAACACTTCGACATTTATATTTTATAGGTCCCATGGACAAATGGCCACTACAAGAATGAAATGAAAGTCATGCAGAAGTTTGATAGTTACATTACATTTGTGTGATAATCAAAACAACATTGTACATTTTGCACCCAAAATCTCCTAAGTGATAGGAAGATGGATAAGAAAAGCTGCTCTCCTGGTTGTTTGCTTTCTGATGAAAGTGTGTGAATCATTGCTTATCTGTGTGTGTCTGATGATGTGTTTGCTCTGGCTGTTTCAGGATGATTGGGGCTCCAGTGACTCATCCAGTAGAAGCAAAACAGACGACAAGACTCACGGCCTGGAGACTCTGCCGCCAGGTAGGAAACACCACCCATCATGCACTACGACCTCAGATGCTCGGTAGCGAACACGACACGTTACAAGCCCGGCCAACAGTTTCCAGTGTTGGCTGGATAAAAGCAGATTGGGTGATATTTGCAATAGGAGATACAGATATTTACACACCTGACAGTATTATAGTGAATGACATAGATACAGGAATCTGTCTCATCTACAACCACGCCGTGTCTTATCTAAACGACTACAAATGCCACAAATACATGAAATCCTAGATATTAGGGATATTATTATATACAATTAAAAAACAAAAATTCCATATTCAAAGTCAGGATACATCGTCTTTTAAATTCATGAGTTTGAGGGTTCAGCTCAGATGGGTGCAGGTGAGCCTGCCAGTGGCCCTTCCTTTAGGAAAGCACCTTTCCCCAGTCCTAACCAGGACATCGCACCACAGCCGGCTAAAGAGATCATGGGAGAGACGACAGCTGAATGAATAATCCCAGCGAGAGGCGGACGGTTAATCTGCGTTCAGTGGGTTTGGGGAGGAAAAAGACAAATAGGAGGATTGAAAAAGACACGGCGAGATAAAGACGTTCGAGTTGTGGGCTGAACGCTCTCAAAGTTCAAACGCTAATTTCCCCGTATTAATTGCTCGCCGCACACTGAACATGGATATCAGCAAGGACATCACATGACGCGCACAGCGGCGTCTCCGAGGCACCGCTGTGCTGACGGATCCATGCAAGCTTCCACTAACCAGCATGCCAGACACATTCAGAGACACACATACACACACACCCGCTATCACGGACGCACTTCTCCATACTGAGAGATGGTGTAATCTCACGCCGCCACATGCTTAACACAAGTCATTAGCATAGCAGCTGCACTCGGCTAATTAGTTGCGTTATTATTCGTGTGTGCGTCTCGGGTAGTCGGTGATAAAAGTGTGATATCAAACATGACAACTTTCTCTATTTGGTGCACAATGATTTCCGTAATCTGGCCGGGCGGACCTGTGCATGCACGATAATGACCAATGTATATTTTAGGCAGCAGTAAATGACTAGATTCACCAGGAATTCTTTTCTATCTCAGTGGAGTGCAAATGTTCTCTTGTGTTTTCTAGCTTTTCTAAAGTGGCCTGGCCTTGTCCTCAGTGTCTCACGCAAGCAGCACAAACCTCAGTCAGCTTTCCTCGCTGCCAGGCTGCCGCCCTGTCGAGCAGCAGCTTGAAGCAGCCGAGCCTCCTTCCTGTCAGTCATGAAGGATTCTTGCATCAGCCAGGCTGCTGCTTACATTTCATATTCCCACTGACGTATAATCCCATTTATTCCTGAGACATACTTTCTTAGTCTTTTCGAAGGTTTAAACAGCATGTTTGGTGGCAGCTTTTATATTTGGATATGCTGTTTATTTATTATGTATTTCCCTCTGCGGATGTGTTTTCTTATTGAATCTCCGACGTAAAATTTGTTTATCTGAAAGTTCAAAACTTGGCCACGTGGCCATGATAGCTGAATGGGGACTTCTATGGATCTTTATTAACTGTGTGTGTGTGTGTCCAGGTAAGGTGCGCTGGCAGGACTTTGACCAGGACCTGTATGTTGGAGCAACGGTGGTCCGACCGGGTCAGGACCCGTACGCCAGGAACAAGTTCAACCAGGTGGAGAGCGACAAACTGCGAATGGACAGAGCCGTGCCGGACACGAGACATGACCAGTATGTATCTCTGTTATTACGCTCGCTGCCTGCGTCATTCTGCTTTTACTGTGAAATTACAGGGGTTTTCTGTGTGCGTACCGCCCTTTGTCGTCTGCAAGTACCAGACTGGATAAGATCTCCTGGAAACTCCTCCTAGTGGTCTAAGATGATCTCAGGGAAGTGGCAGCAAAGCAGACGCCCACTGTTGGCCGTCTGCGGCATAAATAACAAAAGACATTCTCCTGACGGCTTTATATTGGTCTGTTTGTTTGGGATATTGGTCATGCTCAAGTCTGACCTCTATAAAACCTGCGCACAACTTTCCTTTCCCCGTTTTATTCGTTTCATTTTCTGTACCTTTTGCCTCCTCACCCTTCATGGCTTTCTCTGATAAAAAAAGAGTTGAAGTACATTCCAAAATTATGGCTCCAAAAGCAGATTTCTGCTCTCAGAAAGACTGATAGAAGAGGTGGTATTTCGAGATGTGGAATTTTATCAAACAAAAGAAATGTCATATTCATGATAAGTGAGTGTGAGTCCGTGTGTGAACTGGTCGACTACACAAACAGGATGTTCCTACTCACGCTGGACCTGTTCTGCGTAAGAGGAGCTGTAATGGGCTTTTGTTTGTGGGCTGTGCCTCATCCTGCTCCCAACAGACATTATGCAGAAGTTTAGTGTTTAGCTCAAAGATGTTTCATCTCAAAGTGCTCTCTGTCATTTTATTGCAGTTTATTTAACGTATGTAAAGTCTGATATCTTAAGTGTTTCAACGGGAGCAGAGGGGATGATACACAGAATATTAAGGCTTTAATTAGAATGAATTATGACTACAGAAAGCAAAAGTAATACTTACACAGTAACGCTTTGTGACCTTTTTTGTGTATGAAACCCAGAAATGGAGTGCAGCGGGTGAGCTTACATGATGCCCGGGGATTTCTAAATTTAGCTGTAAAAAAAAAGTAGTGAAAGTGCTGGCAAAACAGCATATCAGCTGTTTGGTTCCCTCAGAATCCGTCAAGATGCACATTGTGTGATTCAAAGACTATTTTTGTAAAGGTTGTGGTGCGGCCTCGCTGACATATCGACCCGACTGAGACAGCAGGAGCCATTAGCGAGCTAGAAGAGCAGCGATGTGTCTCTCATTGATCTGGTATCAATGACTCATGTGCACGGCATTCGGCAGCGCAGATTTGTGACGGTTTTCCACAACAACAAGCCGAGGCTACTTCAGTTTAAGAATAGAGAATATATATCTTTAATTCTCAGGCTTTAAAACACACACACACACACACACACACACACACACACACACACACACACACACACACACAAGCGCTAGAGAGGCTCAGGAGGATCGTGTCCATTCAAGAGTGATGCGGCTTTAAATTGTTTTGTGTTCAGGGTTTTAAAGCCATTGCTGCTCTGACAGACGGGTGCGGTAACAAAAGGGCCGTGCACACTTTAATCACAGCGTGAACCTCCACTGTCCTCTTTAAATAGCGCATGCTGTACACTTGGTTAAAGCCCCTTAGGCGTCTTTTAAATTATAGGCGATAACGCGTTAATGAATCTCGTGCTATGTATGTATGTATAACAAGGCATCACTACAGGATTTATTCTTCCTCCCCATGACTCCTTTTCTGATGTCGTGTCCCATCACCCACATTCCTCACTTTTAAGTAGATTTGTCTCTGGCTGACATGCACACGCACGTACTCAACCTCATGGGATTCTTGCCCTGCGGTCCTCAAAACCTTCTGTCAGTCCCAGCTTCAGCAGAGCATTACTCAGTGTGTGTGTGTGTGTGTGTAGAGTCCCACGTATAGTGTTCATGTATTCAGAATCTTTTTAGTTTCAGCTCTGCTCGCACATTCAGCCGTGCGCTCTCCTGTGCGTGAGATTGTTTGTGCACAATAGTGCGCGTTCGATTGTCTGTATTTCTTTCAACTGCTGATAGCGAGGCTTTCTTTGGGTCTTTAGTTGCAGACATAAACAGTGGAAGTCCGACCTGCCGGCCTCCAGCGTGGTCATCACCTTCCACAACGAAGCTCGCTCGGCTCTGCTGCGGACTGTGGTCAGGTAGGTGAATGGTGTGTGTGCTGTCCACTTAGAAAACATTTCTTCTTTTCTCACCTTTTTGAATATGTTTTACCTTCCTATAAATTGCCTCTGCCTTCTCGGTTTAGTGTCCTGAAGAAAAGTCCTTCCCACCTGGTCAAAGAGATCATTCTGGTCGACGACTACAGCGATAACGGTGAGCGATTCACGCGAAGCAAACGTTCCCGCCAAAACAAACCCGGCGAGTTGAGTAATGACCGACTTTGTGTGCGTTTCAGCGGAGGACGGATCGCTGCTGGGGAAAATGGAAAAAGTCCGTGTGTTGAGGAACGACCGCAGAGAAGGTAGTTGGAACGTTTTACTAAAAATGCATCTCTTCACTGTTTTCATGAATGCAATGATTCACCGGGGTTTGATGACTGTGGGTGAAATCATTCTAAATGTTTCATGTTCGCACAGGACTGATGCGTTCAAGGGTTCGTGGTGCAGATGCCGCCACGGCGCCCGTCCTCACCTTCTTGGACTCTCACTGTGAATGTAACGACCACTGGCTGGAGCCGCTGCTCGAGAGAGTGGCTGAGGTACACACACACACACACACACACACACACACACACTTCTATACAGTAAAATCAGTCAAATATATTATCATCAAAGAAAGGAAAAGAGAAACAAGTCCTAGCAGATGATCAAGTAAAGGGTTTAAAAGTTGTGATGTCAAAGGATAACTTGAACATTGAACCTATTTTCCCATCTGTTTTTATATTTTACGTCCCCGTTAGTCACTCTGGGGAAAAAGTGTTAAAGTGCCGAAGTTGCCTTTTCGTAGCTCAAAAAGTCAGAGTGTGATACTGTAAGTCTCTGAACAACCAACACAGACCCTGAACACCAGCTCACCGTTTGGTGACATCACTCTCTATGACCTCCTCCTTTGTACAAACATTTCTACATTAGTTTTGTTTAGTATGTTTTTTCAGGATTTTTGGCCTCAACGGTGAAGATGTATTACATGTCCTCACATTTAAATATAAATAAAATAATAAATACATTACTTTTAACTCATTTAATATTTTGTATGTTAGTAGTTTCAACGTAACATTTCATCTTTAAAAGTATCTGATTCATTCATTCATTTAATATAAAACAAAAACTAAAAAGGATTCTTGAAGAGCTTTTCACAGATGTACTAAAGCTCAGGGCTCGAAACGGCTTCACGTTGATGATAATAATTCATATTTGTCTGTTAATCAGCTTTCCTTCATTCGGTTACATAGAGGTCAGAGATCAGGGTCCACTACAAAGCAGCTCCCCTGGTGTCAGTCAGTGTTTTATTAAAGCAAGGAGTGCATGACTTCAATAACACAGGAATGTTTGCAGCCCTTCAGAATAAAAGCACATTTTCACTGCTCGAAAAAAAAATCACATTTACTTTTTCTAATCTGACCTGGTTAAAATGTCCTTATATTAACCTTGTATTATAAAGAGTAATCATCAGTCAATGATACATGGGGATGCAGATTTTACTTTAAAAAAATGCTTTTCACCAGGATTGTTTGAATTTAAAAAGACAGACCTCTCACTCGTTTCTTTACTTATCTTCCACACCGAGTTGTAAAATGAATTTACTCTAACAGAATAAACATAAGCTCCATAAAAGATTAACAGTGTGTTGATAATTTAAGTGAAGTTGTTCAGCAATGACTAGAGAGGGAATCTCTTGATTAAATGTGACCTCAGTCTAAAGTGGGGCGTTGTTAAAAATCAAGGTTGTTCATTAATTATTTATCCGAAATGACTGGAAATAGTCTGATGGAGCATTTGATCCTCCCGAACGCGGCGTTTTGCCGTTCCCTAGTTGATAAACGCCTTAAGCCAAATCCAAAACATTTTACTGCAGAATATTTGACTTTGCTTCTCTTTGCTTTGGTTGCACCTCTAAATAATGAATCACTCAATGCAAAACAGAAAGGACAAAAAAATGCAGTCTGTGTGGGTGAAACCTCATGTGTCATATCAAAAGGTTTGGAAACAAAATAAATAAACCACCTCGCTTCCTCTGAGGCCTGTTTATGTTGTTGTCATTGTGGCACTTGAGAAATCCTCTCCCCTGCTGTAAAATGTGACTGTGAGAGTGTTTTATTGTAGAAAAGGGTTACTTTACACACGGCTTTACTTTCAGCTTCATAAACACTGCAATAAACTAAACATTTGACTCATTGGTGTTGAGGGAATGTTTACATCTGCTCCTCACAAAACACGAAAAGCCTGCACTCTGGTACATTTGAACTAATGAGCCACGTTTCCTGTTATTCCCATTCGGAGATTGTTCAGGACAAATTGGTGATTCTGTCTTCGTCCTTTCTTCTAAGGACAAGACGAGAGTAGTGTCTCCCATCATTGATGTCATCAACATGGACAATTTCCAGTACGTAGGAGCCTCGGCCGACCTGAAAGGAGGTACAGTACACATGATGGGTGCTTAGCTTCTAGATGCATTGATATCTACCTACTTTATTGTTAGTTTTCACACTTGCGCAAAGGATCCATTACCAGGTTTAGGATTTGTGCCCTCTGTGCTGACACGTGAACACAAGTGATCTCAGGCAACTGTGACCTGATCCCAACTAAATGTCGTTGTCCTTTCGTCCTCTGCCTGGCTGTGTTGGTGTCGGTAGGTTTTGACTGGAATCTGGTGTTCAAATGGGACTACATGACTCTGGATCAGAGGCGAGCCAGACAAGGAAACCCCATCGCCCCAATTAAGTGAGACATTCTCACTCACGCATCTACTCCAGTGATCAGACCAACAGACACACCTTTCTGGTCCATTTTCCACTTGTCCTAATCTGCTCTTTTTCACGCTCCATCTACCTGCCATCTCTCTCTCTCTCTGCCTCTGCAGGACTCCAATGATTGCAGGGGGGCTGTTCGTCATGGATAAGGATTACTTTGAGCTGCTGGGAAAGTACGACATGATGATGGACGTGTGGGGAGGAGAAAACCTCGGTGAGTGGCGCTAACGTCTAAATGCAAATCCAGACGAGCCACCGTGGAGCATGATAACTGTGGACAGACAGCGGTGGTTAGAATATGAAAATAGGACGGTCACAGATGAATAGTAAATGTAAAGGTGAGCGAAAGAAACAAATAAACTTGAAAGTAAAATGATGATGTCAGTCTTTGCCAATACAATTCTCTGTTGTAATGCGTTTCATCCCTACTGCCTCACTCCCGACTATCTGCCTCTTGACTTGACGGCTGTGACAGGAGTCTTACCCGAGGCACCGAAGAAAGAGTTTTGGGAAATTCAGTTTTATACTTGCTTGAGAGAGGTGAATGAGCAGATATATGTCACAAGTCTAATGTCTAATTTAGACTAATGATTTAGAGCTGGATTGACAATTCAGGAATCAGGCAACATTTATTGCCATAATATATCAGACATACAAGGAATTTGACTTGGCGGTTGGTGCGTAAACAGCGGACAGTACGACAATGGACGACAAGACAACAGTGCACAAGGAATAAAATAAAATGTATAATGCTATGGGTTATTAGTATTATTATTATTATTATCCCATAAAAACAATATTGGACTCCAATAGGTGTTCATTTAAACAACACGTATTGGAATGCAGACAACGAGGGAAGCTGACAATAACCGTTCACTGGCAAACAGTAACGAGGACTGAGTTGACAACAATACAAGACATCTTACTGCTTTCAAATAAGCTACTGTGGTATATTTTAGAGAAAGTTTGTTGGATCAAGTGTGTGTGTGTGTGTGTGTGTGTGTTTTAGAGATCTCATTTCGCGTGTGGCAGTGTGGTGGCAGTCTGGAGATCATCCCCTGTAGCAGAGTTGGCCACGTCTTCAGGAAACAGCATCCTTACACCTTCCCGGGGGGCAGCGGGACTGTATTTGCAAGGTAACACACACACACACACGCATTCACCAAGAGCGTTGAAGACTCATTAACTATCCAGGCTACTCTTATCCCAATAATTCATTAAATTACTGAAGCACAGAATGTCCCATTTACACACGTTTAATTATTAAACAATTCACTATTTCTTCAAAGTTATATTTTGAATATGCTTAGTTGGCAAACTCCTAATGCTGAAGAAGACCATGTGATATAAACAAAAAGCTTCCCAACAGCTGCTTCATGGACCTTTTCCCGACATCTAAGTTGCACCATGATATTACAACAACCAAAATACCAGATGGCATCAAATCTAATATTATATCTGATATCAATGTGTTGACGTATTGAGCAGCTTTGATCATTTTATTTCTTGTTTGTGAAATATTGTAACCATGATTTTTTTTTTTTGTATTATTGGTGTATTATTTTTGTATTTGGGTTCGTTAACATTATGTAGGTCTTATAAGTTCCTGATTAGTACAAACTGCTGACAACATCCGGTGCAGATGTGTCGGGATTCAAAGCAATTATTCCCAGATACGGTGAAGCCAGTTGCATGTTGCTAATAGTAGATGCTGTCTGGTGAGTTCACTGATGTTCAGATGCCTCTGTTCAACTAATCGAGGCATCTAGTAGCTGGTTCCCTTCAAAGTCCCCTTCAAAGATTCACAAGTACAGGCTTAAGGCTTCCATCGGTGTGTGCTGTCACAACTTCTTCAAATGTTTTTAGCTGACTGACAAGAGCTGGAACCTACAACCATTTTCAATACTGATTTCATCTGACGATTTCTGACGATGTCAAGCACAATTTAACAAAGTCTAAGGTGATTTCTTTGGATCGCTAGTTTTGTACAATTAAAGATATTCAGTTTATTATTACTCAAAACTAAAAAAGCATAACCTTAAAACTGTCAAGCTGAAACAAGGGAATGTTTTTGTTTTTTGCTTTAAAAAAAAGCAATTGTCCCAATGGCTTCCGATTAGTTGTAATGACAATTAATTAATTAATTAATCAACTGAAATGACTTTGCTGTTCACCGTGCCATGAAAATCTTCCCAAATGTGGAAAACCGACTCCTTTCCCCCCCACAGTAATTCTAACTCTGCTTCATGGGACAGAGCCTGGGTAAATATCGCAGTGCAGCTGCGAGTGTCGAGTGGCTTCAATTAATGTGTACTCAGCCTGGCACGTTTAAAGGCAAAATTTAGTCAAAATCCATCAAACCTGAACACACTGACATGATTAAATGGTTTTATATTCAGTGTGCTCCTTAAAACGCCTTAACTTGCCTGAGAATTGTTGTGTTCTTTTAACCCTTCTTCAGAATGAAAGTAATCCACTGCTGTGTCACTTCATGTGAACGCACTGTGTTTATTTTGACTCCTATGCTAAATCATCAAAAAAGTCTCTGGCCACAACTCAAGGGCCGGCCTCGGCCAAAGAAATATCTAGTCCAAACTCCATGTTGTTGCATTTTTCTTCATCCCGGTCACCCTCCCCTCATATTGCTTTTCTCACCTGTTCCTCAGGAACACCAGGAGAGCAGCAGAGGTGTGGATGGACGAGTTTAAAAACTTCTACTACGCTGCCGTCCCCTCGGCGAGAAATGTCCCCTACGGAAAGTAAGTACCAGTCGGACGGCATCCATAACTGCTAAATACTAAAACTAAGAAAGCGGTCTCTGGGCACGTTCACTGAATTGCCAATTAGAATAATGTCAGCTCACAAAGAACTGTTTGTGAGCTCACAAAGAACCGGGCTACTGCTTTTGATGAAGTGGCAGTTAACGGGTCTTATAAGAGGGCAGACGTCAATAGGCTGCCATATTAATTGGACGGCTTACGTCAAAGCAAAATAAAATGATGCACGTGCAACTCTTTGGTAAAGAGGAGCCAGGATCCATAATAAACAGGCTGGTTGTAGAGGACACGCATTGTTCTTGTGTGTTTCTGATCTGCCTCATAGCTGACTGCTGCTGGGAGCCTCCCCCCCCCCCCCCCCCCCCCCACACTTATCTCAGAGTGAGCCACACAGCAACGAGGCCCCCGTCTGCGGTTTCACCAGACGAATCGTGTGACCTTGTGGGAACACTCGGGTCATCTCCCTCCAGTGCCAACCGCAACAGTCATTTCGCCCCCCCCCGGCCTCCACTCTCTGCCCTAACAGAGTGGCTATAACTCAATGAGTGTTGCTTTGAGATCCACAAGTGATCAGCTCTAACATTCCCCCCCTGTGTCCTTCACGCTCTCACAGCATCCAGAGTCGCATGGAGATGAAGAAGAGATTAGGATGCCAGCCGTTCAAATGGTACCTGGAGAACGTCTACCCTGAGCTGCGGTGAGAAGATGATTGCATATTATGTTATATGACAGGGTACGTTTTATGACCCGTGATAAAATAAGGGTTAAATGGCACTTAAGCGTACCTCCCACCTGAGGTTGAGTAATAAGAGGGCTCGGTTTGTTTGAGATCACAGCTGTGCCGGGAGCATCAGTGTGACTGTGATCTCCGGTTTGATGTTTCATGCTTTAACAAGACAAATGACTGGTGACACTAATGACTAACCCATACTAGCAATTATGCCTCTGGCACATTACATCGTGGATGGTTTGCAATTTGTCACTGAATGGGATTAATTATGCATGTTCTTCATTTTAATAATTTCAGATGTAATAAGGTCGTATACCTACGACGTGTAGGAAGAAAATAGTACAAAAGCATTGTTCTTCTGTCCTCCTATAGTGTTATCTTCCACTGCACACTAATAAAAGAATAAAGCCGTACTGTCTTCATGGATCTGTCATGATGGGGTAACATTTAAACAACACAGTGTGTGTGTGTGTGTGTGTGTGTGTGTGTGTGTGTGTGTGTGTGTGTGTGTGTGTGTGTGTGTGTGTGTGTGTGTGTGTGTGTGTGTGTGTGTGTGTGTGTGTGTGTGTGTGTGTGTGTGTGTGTGTGTGCGCGTTCAGAGTCCCGGACCACCAGGACATCGCATTTGGGGCGTTGCAGCAGGGAGGAAACTGTCTGGACACTCTGGGACATTTCGCCGACGGCGTGGTGGGTGTCTACGAATGCCACAACGCCGGAGGAAACCAGGTAGCGTTACTGCGACGACACACTCAGGTCAGCTTGCCAAATTCGTTGCTCTAAATACACTGGTGGCGGTAAGTGGTGGCACTACGGGTGCTAGCGCATGGGAGTATGTCAAGGAGGGCCTCTGTTCAGAGTCTCATGACACACGCTGACTTTTATTAGCAAGACTGTAGTAACTATAAAAGAGTTACCATTATTCTGCAGCAAGAGAATGGTGAATATCTTTACAGTTAACACAGGGAATCTGTCTGTCAGGTCAAGCTGCAAGCTTGCACACTGACACATTTCATACGGAGCACCTGGATATGGAATTACTTTAACTTTGCTCCAAATGTCTTTGAAGCCGTTTTAATGAGGATTTGAAGCATAGGCTTGTGTCTGCAGTTTCTCAAATGGCTCATTCCTAATATAGATGACAGGTGTTATGGTCTTTCTGGGGAAGCTGAAGTCCCATAAAGTTCACAGATATTGCTTGTACACATCCTTTGTTTGATGCGTATTTTATGTGTCAAGTCCAAGCGGATGCTGCTCTCACTCTCAGGTATTGTCCACTTGTCCATACACAACAACTAGGATCATCCCTAACCCCAGTGTTTGGACATGCAGAAGTAATGTTGTTATCCCTTTCTGTAAAGGAGTGGGCCCTGACCAAGGACAAGTCGGTGAAACACATGGACTTGTGCCTGACTGTGGTGGACCGAACGGCGGGCTCCCTCATCAAGCTGCAGGGCTGTCGAGAGAACGACAGCAGACAGGTACAAACAAACTCCGGCTTCGCTCGGACGTTTTTACCGGAGCTGACCTCTCGATTATCGGTGCACGTTTCTTAACGTCTCTAATACGGGGGCCATGTCATTGTCGTGTCTCCCCAGAAATGGGAGCAGATTGAGTCCAACTCGAAGCTCCGTCACCTGGGCAGTAACCTGTGCCTGGACAGCCGCAGCGCCAGGATGGGCGGACTCACCGTGGAGGTCTGCAGCCCGAGCCTCAACCAGCAGTGGAAGTTCACCCTCAATTTACAATCATAGGGGGCGCTACCAAACCCCTCCCCTCCTCCCCGCCCCTTCCCCCCCCCCCCCCCCGGGCACAGCTGGATAAATGGATAGAGGCACCAACGGACTCTGAAACACAGATAAAGAGATGGAAACTTGAGACTTGAGGAGAAAGACAAACCGATGGATAATCGATCCCTCGCTTGTCCTCCGCCTGCTGAGAGGTGCTGCCAGTCACGTCTATACACCTCTCCCCCACCCTCACCCCGCCCAGTGTAACAAAGAGCCACACCGACCCGGGGAGGGGCTTGTAGACCATATTGGAGCTGGATGGTGACTGTGATGATCATGATGAGGATAAAAGCGATGAAGAGGCTTTCCATCCAAACTACATACCTCAGTGTTTCTTCATTGATGGTTCCAGAGGTTCATTTTTTTGTTTTACTTACTTTAATAATGATGAGGTAGAACTCTTTTTACCTTGTAATTGTATTATTTTATTGTTAATATTTTTTATCACTTGCTGTTAACTTTTCACCGAGGTTTCGCAGAAGTTAGGTTGTTTTTTTTCTGTTCTTTATTGAACGGGACGATGTTGTTGCTCGTCTCCCCCCCTCTCTCTCTCTCTCTCTCTCTCTCTCTCTCTCTCTCTCTCTCTCTCTCTCTGTCTCTCGCTCTCGCTCTCTCGGCCACCACACCGAGCCAGAGCTCGGGCCTACAGCTAGATTCTGGATCTACGTCAGATGGAGGCTTCAGGTTGCGGTTCTGGGAATAGAGGGACGTGAAAGGAGGAAAATAGACTCGAAACTCTTGTGCCCCCCTCATTTGTTCACAGGATCGACAGAAAACAGAGGCAACGTGGAGAAAAGAATGCTGTGATTTCTGATTGTGTCTTGGTGAAGGAGGGTGGAGGAGGAAGGGGTGCATGGAGGAACTTCTCTGCTTTGGATGGGGCCCTCACAGCCAGGAAGTGTCTTGAAGCCACCGCTCAGGATTTGCTGTTTGTTGTCGGGCTGTAGCACTGGCTGCCACAGCAGCTCCACTTCTACACCATTATGTCTCTAAAGGAACGATACAAAGGAGAAGAAAAAAAAGTCTCTTAACAAAAATTGTATTTTTTGTTTATTGTCGGTGGAAAAAAAAACGATAATTGAACCAAATTTCGAATGGATGTTTTTGTGTTTGAGGAATACCAGATGACTGATTAAAGGAGTTTTTTCTTTACGTACTGTCGCTGCTCTCTAACTGCTGCCTGTGGAGCAGCTCGGTTTATACATCTTCTTTGCCTGTGTCTATTCTTGCCATCGTAGTACGGTGACTGTACAAACCACACTCACGCAGAAGTTCATTATGCAGCTTTTTCCCCTGCGTTGGCTAAAAAAGGATATTTGTACATTTATAATATACTCTCAAACACCTGCCTGATTCTGCGTGGCACTAGAAGGAAACACCAGCGCTCATGTGTGACCACCATTTCGCCTCGATGACGAGTAAAACCTGGCTTATACCAGTCTGTGATCAGATATCGGCAAAAAAGAAAACCTGGCAGCAGTCAAATGTGCGTGCACACCTTTTCTAACCAGCTCCTTCAAGCTGCATCAACAACCAGTTCCCCACATTTGCACTCGGTTACAAATGATTCCTATCAGCATTTTTTTTGTATTTGTTGTTTCTGTTGGAGGGGCCATCCATTCAGAAGTTAGAAACTGCAATAAACAAGGTTCCACTGTTGGTCCTCCCTCTGTTTCTGCTTAAGGTGAGCAGGTTCTTCTGTTTGAACAAGCAGAACTTCACAGTTTTACCTGATGCAAAGTACGAGTAAGAACACAAGCTACTTCACACCGTGGAACAAAATCTCATTGCCACTTGTTTTTTTTTCTTACTTGAAATCAGTGTTACTGATTTACAGCACATGTTCCTGTTTGCTACAGTTTGTCGCTGGCAGTCTTTCCAGGGCTTCAACATGAGCTTTTCTGCTATGTTCCTCTTTATTGCTGGTCCCTGTAATAATAATTACAGTAACAATGGTGCAGTTTGGGTTATTGGTTCTGATTAAATTTGGAGGAACACTTGGCAACAACAAACACCAAGGATCTTTGAACGGATAATGAGCACTGTACAAAAGATATGGCCCATAAAAATCACATCCTCTATTTCTGGGTTTATTCAAGGAATAATTGGTTCATTCAAGTGTTCGTTAATGTCAAATCTTCTGTTTTCTTTCTTTCTCTCCATCGCTCACATTCACGCCGTTACCTGTAAATGTTGATTTCTTTGCTTTTACTGTGTTACCTAATGGACAAAGACAGCGCTTCATGCTCGATGAGCTGTCTGATACGTCTTCTATCTCTTTGTTTGTGTGCTGCCGTTTTGTTCCTTGTACCCGTTGGCCTTGTCTCAAACACTCGCACGTCTGTGCGCAGTGTGAGCGGAGTGGAGAAGGTCAACTGAGACTGCGGCAGGTTGAAAAGCCTGCGCAGTGACTTGACAGGTCGCTGCGTTGAGCTGCAAGGCCTGGATGTGAGGAAGGGCCCGAACCTGATTTAATGTTTCAGTTCATGTCTTTAATGTTACATTCTCCACTAAATAATGGAAATGCGTTGTTGTTTTTTTCTACAGACGAACATGAAACATTCTCAGTTGTCTTGACTTAAGTATGTTGCAAATCGATAATTGGAATGGAAGATTGACTGTGTACGTTTCCTCAATTTATCCACCCAACAGCTTTTGCGGTTCCATAATCTGTTCTTTGAGCCTGAACTAATGATAATTTAGTGGTCAGATCTGAGGTTTGGGCTTTCTTTGGATAAAAAGAATACCCTACGGATTTTGGGTTTAGGTACTTTCATTTTCTATCAATTATTCCATTACATCGCCTTGATAAGAGTTTGGGTCTTTAATAGGGTACATGTGTAAAAATGGTCTCCTAACTTGATGTCTTTAACATCAAAAACTGCAATGCTCAAGTATTTGTCTTCAAATGTTGATGCTTAAATGTTCTTGATGAGAGCCTCAGACTAGAAGTATCTGCTTGTTTCTTTTGTTTGGTGGTGTATGGCGCCCTCTACTGACACTTGTGCTTATGAAACATAAGGAAAGAAAGACCGACTCAATGTAGCACATTTCTGATGTACAACGCACCGCTGAGAATTTCCTTTTAGTTTTTTCTTTTGTCATTATACTGTAAAGCTGCAGTACAAAGTGAGCAGGCGTGAGAACCAAACTGCGCACAGCTGAGCGACCGCGGTCGGGCTGTCTGCTACAAAAGTTCAGATATGTTATTTAAGGCCTTTCATTTTTAAAACCAGTCTTATTCTTGTGAAGTTTAAGGGATTGTTATTTTACTTTTTATTGTTTCTATATCATGCGTAGAGGAAATGACGCCTCATTTTGATTGGACGATCATATGTTTACATCTTTAGCACAGTGTGCCAAAGTTTTCCTTCCTGTTTTTCTCTGTGTGACGAAGAACCAGGAGGAAGAAAAGTCTTTGGAAATGCAGCATGAGACGCAGAGAACTGGTTGCACATCTGTGGATGGTATATGTTGCCGATTTCTTTCTCCTTCCAGTTTCAGTTAGACTCTCATGACATGCAAAGACATCTCTTAGCTGCTGCTCTGCTGTCCTCCTTATCTACGGACATCTTCAGCAAGCATTAAAGGGAGGCGTATAACTGAACACCCAGTCGGTGAACAAGAGCGTCTTCCCCACTGAGCCAGTAGGACTTTATTCATACTCATTGTGTTTTGAGGGGAAAACAATTAATCGCTTATATTGATGGACTTTAACAAGAAAAGAGGTGTAAAGGTCCAGCTTGGTGTTCTCTCAGTTTCCCCTCAAACAAGGAGTAGAGTTACATCCCGGCTTGTCCTAATGAGAGGTCTGTCTTCCCCCTTCAGCTCACCTTAAATCTTAAATCCCCTTTTAGGATCAACAGAAGAGCCCTCTGATATGTGAAAAGCCCTGCTAAGACGTCCTGTTCAGGACGGCTTCAGCTCCTCCGTCTCTTGCTATAATTGACTGCAGCGTAATGTGTGAGTCAGTGCATAAGAGGGACTTTACACGGCCATGAGACTAAATACTGGAAAAGTCTCATCAACCAGTAAAGACGGGTTAAAGGATGAAATAGTAATCAATGTTTTCAAGGGGTGATGTGTTTTTTAAGTGGAGAAAGACTTCATTAAGCGATGGGTGGGGTATGGCACGAGGGGTGTCACACATGTAAAAGTGTATATTTTTGTATATACCTACATCAGTGTGTGTGTGTGTGTGTACACGATGTACATATATGCACAGTGTACTCTGCTGCAGTTCCTAGTTTTGTTGTCAGACTGTACAGCGCTTCTAACTGTCCCCTGTTTTATAGATCCGGCGGAAATTCAACTTTGAATTAGGAAAAATGGTTAACTTAAATAAATGCGTTTATATATATAAAACTGAACCGTGTCACGTATTTTATTATTTTTCAGGGAGCTCACAATAGATACTGTACAAAAACACAAACAAACCCACAGGATCTATTGACGTGTCTGTAGGTCTCTTTTGGTTGCACAGCAATGCAGTTGTGAAGCTACATCACTATTTGCAGAAACCTCAAATTTCCCCCCATTTTATTTATTTATACACATACGCACACACACACACACAGCATTTTGGTTATTCATTATAAGTAGTGCAAGCATCATTTTTAATTATTTACTTATAATTCATCAGAGCTGCTTTTTTTTTTAAAGAAGCTTAGTGTAGGAAATGTACAATGCAGGCGATATTGTACAAAACAATATGGAGCAGACAATCATCCCGCGTAAAACAAGACAACAGAATCACAACATTAAAGAGAGGATCGGCGACGTCCAATTAGAAGGGACAGATTCTAGCAAACACCGTAATCTTTGGAATATTATGCATCGATGTCATAGCGGTTCAAATGAACCCAATCTTCTGCTGCAAATATCTACAGCAGTCAAATGCAACATCAATGCAAGCGTAATATTACTACAGACCCACCATATAGAATAGTGGAGAAGAGCTACACAATACTGCACAATAACTGCCTTTTATACATAAGTATATAAGCACATTTGCTGATAATACTTAAGCGGGGCTTTCATTGCAGGGCTTTTACTTGTAGAGTTTTTCCAGTGGTTCTGGTGCATTTACTTAATTCCACCGACAGTCCTCAGCAGGCCTTCATTCTCTCTTGCTCTATTTCACTTGTCGCATCTCCACCGTGTCGTCACCTCTCCAGCAGGGGGCGATGAGAGCCGCCCGGACGCAGGGGACCGGAGAAGAAGACGAGGGGAGGGAGAGAGAGAGAGAGACAGAGGGAGAGAGAGAGAGACAGAGACAGAGAGGAGGGGGTGAAGAGACTCAGGACAGAAGCTTCAGCGGCACCCAGCAGAGGACTCGGGTGCTGCAGAAAACAAATAAATAACCACGAACCGTGAGCTGGACAGCAAACCATGACGAACGAAGGCGTCGAGGGCACGGAGCGGTTCCTGAGCCCGGGCAGCGGCAGAGGCCTGCGGGCGGTGAGGCACTTCTCTGTGGGGGAGCTGGTGTTCGCCTGCCCTGCCTACTCGTACGTGTTAACCGTGAACGAGAGGGCAGCGCACTGCGAGTACTGCTTCACCAGGTGAGCTCTTACACCCCCTCCTCCCCCTTCTCCCCCCACCTCCTCCCCCCGAGGAGCCAGCTGGGACCAAAACACCGCACGTGACACCTGTGCTGTCTCCGGCCCGCTGCGGTTGTGATCTGTGCGACGGGTCCGGTTGAGCCTCCTGACTGAGCTAAAGGTTAGCTTGTTGTGAACGTCCCGCGCGGACATCGCGATGGGGCGCGTGCACGGGGGCGCTGCAGCGTGCAGGTCCCGCGGGTCCCGCTGCAGGAGTCGGGACCACATTGAAGAAGAGCAGCAACCTGCTCTCCTGCAGCCCCGAGGGTCTATTTATACGCTAGCATGCGGTCCCAGGCTGCTCACTGCCATCGTGGATGAACAAGTCTGCACATCTTTACTTATTCAAAATAATAATACCACAGTGTGGAAATACTCCGTGACAGGGTTTCAAGTCATTGGTTACTGAATTATGAAGTGATGCATTCGTGTTCCTGATGATGGTGGATTTAACTTATATGAACATCTCATGATTTGTTGTATTAAGAACCAGAAGCTGCCATGCAAATAGTCCGTAATGAATACATGTGCATAATATGGAAGTACTAAGTAAACAGTAACACTAAATGTACTTAGTGACATCACTCAGGTATTTTGCTCATTTATAAGCAGCACTTTGGGTCACACATGCCTCGTACCTACGCTGCTGTTGAGGCTTTTTAGAGCAGTAAAAGGTTATTCTGCTATTTATAGTTGTCCATGTGTCCAAAGAGAGGAGGAGCCCAGAGAGGAGAAGGCCAGGCTGCTGGTGTGTATTGGGTGGAGGAGGTCGCCAGACCTTAAAGAATCTGTCATTCACTAGTAGTTCAACAATGAATATACTTAGTATCTAAATACAGCGGGACAAGACTTGTGTCCGTATTGTTTGGAATGAAGTCTTCGGTCAATCAAGTGAAAAGCATCAAGTAAAGATTGTTTTTACAGACGATGTACGGCCTGTGATTTTATGTAAATGAATATTATCGAATCCACACCTGTCAACTGATCCCAGCGGTAATGGAGGAACCGGTTGTGTCTTCATGTCGTTATAGGAGAGAAGACCTTTCTAAGTGTGGCAAATGTAAGCAGGCGTACTACTGCGATGTCGACTGTCAGGTAAGCGTCCTTTCTGCGCCGTGAGTAGTGGGCCATTTCATCCTTTCTCATCTCTTTTTTTCAAATGAAACAACAAACCGTGTTTGTAAGAGAAAGACAGATAGATTTGGGTACAAGTGGCAATCATTTGTAAAGGATTTGTGATAATGAAATAATGTGTCATCTATTGTGTTGAGTTTGCTCTTTTACTCTGACATTCTTTGCACTATTCTGTTAAATGGGATCACTTTTTGTAAAATCAGCCTTTTAGAAACCGTAACGACTCGTCTTGTTTTGTGTACGTGTGCATTCATACAGAGAGGCGATTGGCCCATGCATAAGCTGGAGTGTGTAGCTATGTGTGCTTATGGGGAGAACTGGTGTCCCTCAGAGACGGTCAGACTGGTGGCTCGAATCCTCATGAAACAGGTAAATGTTTCCAAGCATTCCGTGTGAGAATGTTAACCAGAATGTTAAAACAAGGTTAACCTCATGTTTAATGCATTTAAACAAACTTGAAAGAAGATAAAGAGTCAAATAATATAAGTGGCTGGCCTGATAAGGTGTTCATTTTATGAGCTCCACCTTTTATTATGTAGTCGCATAGAAGCTTCATGGGTGTAACGTTTTTGCTATGTGTTACAGTTCAGAGTGTTATTATTAATAAAGGGGACTTTAGCGGTGTGAACACGTGGCTCCTGAAGCCAGTGATGCGGTTAATGCTCAGCGGCTGTTGTAGCGATCTAATGACCTCCCAACGGGTCTTTAACAAAACCTTTGGCTATGATAAAGCAAACAACGAGGAAAGAAACGTGGGTTAATTTGTATTTTGCTCCCAGGATTGAGCTTTTCTTCTCCTAAAGGGACTCTTGTGTTGCAGAAAGTCACAACGGAGCGGACTCCTTCAGAAAGGCTGCTGCTGCTCACAGAGTTTGAGTCCCGTAAGTAGATGTATGTTTGAGTACTTGAGCGTATGTGTTTAGTTACATTTGTGTGCATTTTTAGTTAAAGTGTGAGCTTTCTCCGTGTCTATTAATACCCTGCGCTGTAGCCTCCAGTCCTGAATCTGTCTCTTTTTATTCACTCAAAGTTTGCCGAGCTCTGGGATTTAAATCCCTAGATTCTGGGTGCTGTAATTTCATGTCCTCTTTAAAAACTACTGCCCTCTGTCGAGACACGCAAAACAAATCTACCATTAACTCTGTTCTCGGCTCCTTCTGGTAGTAACGTTTAGTCTGAGCTCACAGCATCACACTTCACACCTGTCTCTCATGCACACAAACCAAAGCAGTGACCAGCTGCTGCCGTGTGTGTGTGTGTGTGTGTGTGTGTGTGTGTGTGTGTGTGTGTGTGTGTGTGTGTGTGTGTGTGTGTGTGTGTGTGTGTGTGTGTGTGTGTGTGTGTGTGTGACACATGGCTTACAGCAGTGGTGTAGTCTGCACCTGTTGCGAACACTAAATGGTTCCTCTATGAGGCAACAACAGAAAACACACTGATACATAATTCTGGTCGAATAGTCACTTTCTTTATTTATATGTCTGTATTTATTCTCTAATGCTTTTATTGTCCGTCTTTGATCGCCTTTTCCAGATCTAGATAAGATGGACAGTGAGAAGGACGAGATGAACCAGGCCGACATAGCAGCGCTCCACCACTTCTACGCCAGGCACATTAGTGACCTTCCTGACCAACAGGCTCTCATCGAGCTTTTTGCACAGGTAAAACTGGACAACACCACGTGCCTATGGGCCCTCTGCTGATTCTCATTTTTGCTTAACGTATTGTTGTGTTCACACATCTTCCCCTCACGTCATCCCCAGATGTCTTTCACTTTCGCACTGAAGAACATGTTGACCCACCGGCGCTGTCTGTTTAACTCTACAGTTGTCAGCTGTTTAATTTGATCCATCTCTCAGTGCTGATGTCCCTTTTCCGACTCCAACCTACACAAACTGTCTGGTTGCCTTGAATCCCACAGCTACATTTAAGCTCCACTAGTGGATTTCCTCCTCCAGCTCATTGGGGAGAGGGTTCCAGCATGTGTTAGTGGAGGGCTGTGCCAGTTGTAACCTCAGATCACTCGTCATGCAGCTCTCTCTGATGACCCTCCTTCTCTCTCGTGCTTTCTTCTTGATGTGCGTCCAGGTTAACTGTAATGGTTTCACCATAGAAGACGAAGAGCTCTCCCATCTGGGATCGGCTGTTTTTCCAGAGTAAGTATTCCACGTCAAGACATTGTGATCCGTTCCCCTCTCGCCCTGTTTACCTGTATGCGGCCCGAACACCATGAAGCTGCTTGTGCTTTTATCACAATTCTATCCTTTGCTTTAACCTCCTTCCAGTGTAGCGCTGATGAATCACAGCTGCAGCCCTAATGTGATAGTGACCTATAAAGGCACAGTGGCTGAGGTCAGAGCTGTCCTAGAGATAAACCCTGGAGATGAGGTACGCAATCACTCGACTCGATCAAGTTATTTTCATTGTTGCAATATAATCTTCCCGCCCTCTCTCTTTAGATTTTTAACAGCTACATAGACTTACTCTATCCAACGGAGGACAGGAGGGAGAGGTTGTTAGACTCGTACTTCTTCACATGCCAGTGCACGGAGTGCACCTTCAAGTCTAAGGTACTGTTGGCTTGTCTCTCTGAAGCCTGTTCATGTCAGGAATATTCGATCAAATGTCTTCTCTGCATCAGTCTGTGTGTTCAGTTGGAGAGGTGCTGCAGGTTTGTGTCCTACCTTTGTCCTCAACAAAACAGTCATTACTGTTGTTGTGTATCTGCCTTTCTTCCGTACTGCACACTGATATGTGTGCACAATATGCAAGTTGTATATACTAAAGGCTGTGGGGAGTAGACACTTTGAACCAATCAGAAAGGGTCCCCTGTGTTTTGAGAACGTGTGGAAAAAACTGCTTGACATGTGGTACAATCATCCACTTGGATACAACCATGAGCTGATTAGATTTATGTGGTGAAAGGCCACTGTGACCGCACAAAACAGGAATTAATATGCAAATTAGATTTCACACTAATGACTAATGGGATAAGATGATGAAGTGTTGCCCTTTTGGATATGAACTGTAACATGACTGCTAAGGGAGGCACACATCTGTTGATAATTCTAGTTGTTACGTGCTTCATCAACATATGAGAGCTTGAATGTTATCGTTGTTTATCTATTAAAATAATCAGTTCAACCACCTAAACAGGTTTTAGTGTCTTCTGACGTAAAATAATAACAGACTTGTGCCAACACATTAAATACTATGTGTAGTACATGTGGAATACTACATAGCGGTACTATGGATGGGTGTGTACAGTAGTGTAAAATTGGGACGTCTAAAAACTGCTTTGTCGTATCACACTCATTTTTACGTTGCTCCCAACATGCTTAATAGTATCTTGTTATGTTTCAGGGAAACTCCAATTCCATATTTCCTTCTTTACCGTATCTTTCTAGGACAAAGCTAAAATGGAGATCAGGAAGCTGAGCTCTCTACCAAAACAAGAGGAAGTCCGAACTATGGTCCTTTATGCCAAGAATGTCATCGAGGAGTTCAGGAGAGCCAAACACTACAAGAATATCCTCTACCTCTCTGTTTATACTTGTATTATTTCTCTGCCTTTTTTGCTGTCAGTTTGTCTATCTTCATTACGGACAACCTTAACTTCCCAGCCTCCTCTTGTTCCTCCACAAAGTTTGTGTTGTTATTCCTTGATTCTCTGGCACCCCCCAGTGAGCTGCTGGAGATATGTGAGCTGAGCCTGGAGAAGATGGGAGCTATATTTGCAGACACCAATGTGTACATGCTGCACATGATGTATCAGGCCATGGGTGTCTGTCTCTACATGCAAGACTGGGATGGAGCTATGAGCTACGGAGAGAAGATCATTCAGCCATACAGGTGAATTGATCCGTGTAGGGTCTGCAGAAGTTTCAACAAATCACTGACCGTGCAGTCAATCAGTTGTAGCAGCATTAATTGTCAGACCAGAAATCTCAGCATAAAGCTGGAATATAAAAAGTCTTTGGAAAGTCTTTCTATCCTATTTTAGTGTTTTAATAAATTTGCTTAGATAGTACTCTGCTGCTCAGAATATTTTTTTCTGTTTCATTGGCTTCAATATTTACAAAATGCAGAATATAGCGTATTTTACATGCAGTACAACATGTTGTACAGTGTGGTCCACTACACTACTATATTCTATTTACATTGTTTACAGCTTACCATATTTTTGATATTGTAGCTCTACAAGCAAAAAACCCATTGTAGATTGTTTTGTGTCTCTGTTTCTCTCACATTCACCAACTGGCCCATTGAATTAATGACTTTCTCTTCATAGTGTCCACTACCCAGCCTACTCTCTGAATGTGGCGTCTATGTATCTGAAACTGGGACGTCTGTATCTGGGGCTGGAGAAGAAGAAACAAGGAGTCAAAGCTCTGAAAAAAGTAAGTTTACTGACATCTGGCCAGTTGGGAGATTAATAACTGGCTAAGTGAACGCAGAAAAGAGTGTAGGCTCTAAAGAAATTGGTGTTGGGATAAAAGTGAGCTGTAAAAAGCAGCTTCAGTCAGGTTTAGAGGTACGTTGAGTCAGTCGCTCGCTCAAACCTTGATTTACAGAAAAACTGGATGGCCATTTATTTTCATGTGTTGGGAAATAACCACATTATACATAAAAAAATCAAAAATGCATTTTTTTTCTGTCTTCAGGCAGTTGCCATCATGGAGGTGGCTCACGGGAAGGATCACAATTATGTAGCAGAAGTCAAACGAGAAATTGAGGAGCAGAAGTAAACGAGGGGCAGCAGGAGGTGCATAAAGAGTGAAGAGGGAGAATTTGTGAGGAGCACTGAATTGCATTGAGGAGACTCTAAATGTCAACTGCATGCCTTGCAACTTATTGCCCCCCACGGTTTTTCATTGCCCACTCTTTTAGTTTCTTTTTCTAGGTCTACTTTGTGTTGCTGAGGAAGACCACCTTTTGTACCGCTTCCAAACCTTGTTTTAAAAGCAGACAGGTTAGGATTACAATCAGGGTTTTTTTGCAAAACAAAGGAACGGAATACTTGAAGTTTACAAAACTCATTGAATACTGCGACTCAAAACGGATTACATTTTGGTGAAAAAATAAAAACGTAACATCTTTTGAAGAAAACAAAGCTTTCGTTTTACAGCTACGTAAAAATTAATTTTCTGATGCAGAATGATTTTCTTCCTGAATGAATGAATTCACTTTAGGCCCCTCAATGCACCACGTGTTCATCATGTATGTCTTTGTTAGCAGTTTTAGCTGCTCAGTTGGGCCACAGATCAGTTGTTCAATGTTTTTTACTTCTGTACAAACTGGTGACTTGTTGATTTGAAGGTCATTGCTACCTTTTTCCCGTTCAATGCATTTTGATTCAAATCAAACAGAGTTTCTGTTTCATTAATTCTTGTTTAAACGGTCATTAAAAAGCATCAGGTACTTTGTAGCTACAGAGAAATGACCTCAAAGAACTACTGCTGAATGAATAACCATTTGTATGATTGGCTTGTCTTTTTGTTTTAAAGAACCAGGAAACATGAAGCCTGTTTATGTTGAAGTTTGTTGACCAAAGGGGCCGTAGGTTTGACCGACGTCTCTATCCAGTGTATCCTAAAACAGGGAGGGGTGCTGATCTGATGCCAGTGATGGCATTGGGACTGTGAGCTGACCGATGATCCTGGATAAGAGCTTCTATGCTCTCAGGAAAAAAGTTTCAACACTGTAGCTTTTGTTGCCTTTTTTCTTGAGCTACATTATTCCACCTTTTGTAGTGTTGCAAATCCAGGTAGTTCTAACCCTGGGAATGAAATAGCTTAAGCAGATTCAGTGATAACACTGTTAAATTTATCGCCAAAAACTAGGAATTCATCTCCCTCTATTCTGTTTTAGTGCCACCATCCTTTAGCAGATTAACTTCCTGTTTAAACCGTAATACAGAGCAAATGTACCAACATGGCCATGTTTTTGTAAGTATTAACTAATCAAAATCCTGAGGAGGAGCTGTCCCGGTGTTGACGTGACTGAATCACAATACATAAATCGGAGATTTAACATGCAGTGTAGGTAAAAGGCTTTATAAGTCCGGATCATCACATGGGCCTCATTTAAGGGGTTTGGTTGAAGTCCAAATTTAACAATATTTGAGATAATATGCCGTCAGCATTGCAAGCCTTTTAAAAAAATGTTTTGTTAATTATTACCACTTTATATTGGTGGATATTTGGCCCACCTGAAGACTTCATACCAGCAGAGAATCTACAGCCACATATCTAATCTTAGCATGTTTACTAAGATGTGGCTTCTCCCTTTTGTTTACTATGGATGTAGTTTCATGCACCATGTTGATGTGGGTTACTGAGGGTTAAAAGTAGCCCATTGTTATGACTTACCTGCGGTCATATTTGTAGCAACTCATGCATGTGTGGCTCTCTTGTCACTTGCAAAAATGCATTTAGAAGGTGCGTGTCTTGACAGTTTTGTCAAGGTAATCCCAAATCACCGCCTCATCCAATCTCTTCCACATTTTATTTTTTGCATATGTTTTTACAGACATTTTAAAGGAGGGTTTGTCGCATGGTTTGAACAAGCCATAAAACATGCTTTTTGAGTGCTTTATTTAATTTCTGGCTGGACTCTTAAGAACATGCAAATTATTTTGTTTCCTGTGACTTCATGAAGGAGAACCTGTGGCATAAGGGTTAAAACAAACATGCTAAACCTAATGGCTGTGCAGATGTTTTTGCAGTTTTTTTCTGTAATGAGCTCTTACTTAATCAGGCATGAATCTTATTCTATTGGAATGCACAAACTATAATCTGGGCCTCTGATTATTTCTGTACCATATCAGTGGAACTAAATAAATGGTAGCATTGCACTTGCTTTCCTAAGTACACTCATATTATGTTGCTGTGCTATAAATGTTTCTGTACCACCACTATTTCTGTGAGTTGTCTGCATATTCTTTCCCTACAGGTATCCTCTATTGATAGTGACCCATGGTAGAGGTTGCTCTGTTGGAGTCTACATTGAGTCCACAGGTTTGCACTTCAATCTAGTCCATAAACCTCATCACCTCGTTTCCCTAAACCAATTAATTAAATAATAGACCTATGAAACAGATTTGTCATCATTTCACCACGCAATAGGATGTCAGTCTGTAAATTGAGAATGAGTAGTTACACTACCCGACCACATGGTGGCCCCGGGATTACTGCAAGTAAACCAATCGAGTGCGTCGCAAGGGTGACGTCACATGTAGTAGCCAATGGGCGTAGAGCTCAGGGAAACGCTATTTGCTGCTGTGGAGTTTGAATTTTCAACGAGAAAAACCCAAACAGTTCGTATGTGATAGGAAGCGTCGCGCCCAAAGTAAGTTTGAATATTTTAGTCTTTTAGCCTCCAGCGATTCATTTAGTGTTATTTATCGCTACCACGGGTACTTTCACAAGTTTGTTACGTCCCGCCGTTAATTGTTTTTTTGTTGGAAATATAACGTTAAATGTACGTTTTCTAAAATCATGGTCATCGCAGCGAATGTTTAACGTTACGTTAAAGCTAACGTAAAGTGAAGGCTACGTGCGTTAGGTAATCTCAGACGTATGTTTATCTGGCGTCAAAGGTACCGAGACGTTTAGTCTGGTGATAACATGAACGTTTCTTTAGCCACGGTGAGCTGTAACGTTCAGTAAACTGACTTAGCTAACGGTTGCTAACTGCTATTGGCTAACTTCACAATGCCCCCACGCTGGTGAAATATAACGTTAGTTAACGTTAAATAGCAATACTAATAACGTTGAGTTAGCCTGTGGTGCCTTCTCTTTACAACTGAGGTTACGTGGATAATTACGATTTATAGACGTGCTCTTGTCATCGTTAATTAATCAGATTATTAGCGTTAAGTGAATGTGTAACAATGACGTCACATAACTTCACATTAGTTGAATTTGGTCGTAGAACTGAAGCAGAAGTCATTAAATGACTTCCTAACTTTCCCTGTCCAGTGGTCAGTGCTGTGCTGTTAGCATTGCCATGTGAGAACACATGTTTTTATCCTAACAGAACATAGCAGTGACTCTAACGTTGCTTACTGGGGATCATATCATTGTCATAAACGAGTTGTTCAGTCAGTGTGCATATTGAAACATCTATATTATTGATATCTGGCCAGTCAGGTTATAAACCATGAGCTGGGCGGTGGAGGAGTGGAAGGATGGACTTCCAGGCAAAGCTCTGCAGAAGATCCAGGAGATGGAAGTCCAGTTAGACAAACTGAAGAAGGACAGGAACCAGAAACAGTTTCAGCTGGACTCCTTAGAGGCCGCCCGGCAGAAACAGAAACAAAAGGTCAGTTTTTAAGGGTAATGGTTGGATGGAGTGTTGGTAACTAAAACTGTAGGTGGTGAAATTACCATTGCATTGTCTCAACTTCACTTGAAAATCCACCATAAACAACACAGAAATAATCTATTTTGAAATCCATTCATTCATTCATTAGTTTTCCATGTTTCTCTTCCCCCAGGCGGACAGTGATCGTACTGAGACCGCTGCTTTGAAAAGAGAGAGCCAGTCCTTGGTAGAGTCCTGTGACTCTCTGGAGAAAGCCCGTCAAAAGGCTGTTCACGATCTTGGAGTCAAAGAACAGCAGGTGAGTTAGGGATTTTTGAGGGAAGAAGTCCTCTAAAGACTTTAGAGAAGTTACTAAGAAGTTATCATACCACTGATAATTAATAGCTGCTAAAAAACAAAACAAGTTTAAGCCTAAATGTTTAGAAAGAAAATAAACCATGACTAAAATGACTTCTTGAACCCAGGTGTGCTATCTGGATGGTCAGCTTAATTCCTGTAGGAAGACCATAGAGCGACTGGAGCAGGAGCTGAAAAAGTGAGTTCTGTGTTTGTTGCTAGGCATTGTAATGTGAGTAGAGAGGGTGTATTTATACTGGGACTTGTTTCTTTGTCAAGTACCGAGTGAGTCATAATCAATATGAATGGATATTTTAAACCATTTGACCTAATGGAAAAACGTCTTTCTCTGTTTCCATCTGCTCAGGTACAAAAGTGAACTGGATCGTTCGCAGTCTGCAGGCTCTTCCTCCTTGTCATCCTCCTCCTCTGAGCTGCAGCCCTACACTACTCCACAGAAAACGTTCTCTACCCCAGCCTCTGTCCCAGCCTGCAGACAGCAGGGTATGTCCTTTCGTTTCTAACCTGTGGAGCTCTATGTATTGTGTTTTTCAAATTTTCTTTAATCTTCTTTTCCCTTCCACTTCTTCCTGTTTTGTTTAGTTTATTAGTGCAACTAATGTCGTATTGTGGCTTCTCATCTACTTATATTACATATGTATCTGAGCTACTCTGGAGGAGTTTGGCTTTGTGTCCTAACATGATTATTGTGGTCTATAGATAATAGACTAGATGAGCTTCAGGAGAAATACAACCAGGAGGTAGAAGGAAGGAAAAGGCTGGAGACTGAGCTCAAAGTCCTGCAGGTCAAGGTACGCACATTATTTTATTATGTGGGTTTGTTTATTTTGTTAATTGTAATAGTTGACCTTAACATAAATCTTCTTTTTCTTAGCTGTTGAATCACTCCTCTGTGACTGTAAGCCACAAAGACATCGCTGCCCGCCAAGCTGGATCTTCCATTTTCCCATGGCAGCCACCAGATCAAGCCCACGGTCGCCAGTCTCAAGATGCAATGGAAACACCTCTGAAGAGGCGGGGAACGTCCCTGTGGGAATCCCATGAGGAGACGCCTATTAAAAGCAGCCAACGGATGAGCTCTTCTAGAGCGGCGCAGAGTCCCTGTGGCTCCTCCCATCAGATGGACCAGCTGAAGTCCATCAACCAAGGTGGACTGTTCACAGCTTTTTTGACATTCATAGCTTCTAGTTATACTGTGTTTGGTATCTTTCCTGTAAAATATAGTCTTTTTAAGATTTTCCACATTTACTACCACTTAAAATAAAAAATATTTGCTTCTTTTTTTGAGTTAAATATCCTGATTATGTTCTCCCTCAGCAAGTGTTTACTGTTTCACCATCAGAGCTACGTGGCCGTGTGTTGGAGCTGGAAAAGAGTCTGTCCACTCAGGAGAAGGAAATTTGTGGCCACGCCTCCAGGCTTCAGGACCTACAAACTCAGCTGAACCAGGCCCGCAAAGAGCTGACTGAACGGGACAGAGACCTGGCCAAGACCACCCACGAGCTGAGCCAGGTCACAAACGAACAGCAGCAGGCTGTGGCTAAGGTACCATGATTGGTCCATGGATACTTCATAGACACAAGATACCTTTTTGGGGGGGTTCTGTTTCTGCCTGATTTACATGGTTTAATAATGCAAACTGGGTAAATCCTGACATTTGTAAATGACAGCTATTCTGTTTATGGTTCCCAGTGTTCATCAGTGGAGCAGAAGCTAAAGCAAGTCTCGGAGGAGATGAGCTGTCAGAGGCACAACGCTGAGAGCTGCAAACGAGCTCTGGAGCAAAAACTAAAGGACCAAGAGAGAAATAGTCAAAAGGTGCATATATTTGGAGACATAACATTATTTTATTTGGTTAAAACAGATTTTTAATATTTTAATCGTTTTATGCAGGAGCTAGCCCAGCTGCAGACTTCTCTCCAGGCTTTGGAACAGCAGCTGAACCAGACCAGAACCAAGCTGACCCAAGAGACTCAACAGTCCAAAAAAGACCACAATGTACTGCAGATGGATATGGAGAAGGTAACTTTGTGGGATCGCTCTTTTGCTCCTGAATCTACTCGCTAAACCTTCCCCGAGGGTGGCATTTAAACTCCTACTTGGTTTTTTTTTTCATGTTATTCAGCAAAAATAATTTTCTACCTTCTTAATAGTTTGGTCAATTATGTCACTGTTGACACAATATTCACAGATCCAGATATAGTTTGAGAAGAGTGCAATATGGTTCAAGGTGTGCTTTTGAATTTGAGGCATTCCACTTCCCACAAAGCTGAAAACACTGACCGTTATCTTGGAGCTAACATTTGCTGAATGTTGAAATTCAATAGTAACTCCAGCTTTTGCCTCACCTGTCTGTTTAAAGGTATAGGGCACTTGGCATTTGTGTCACACTTCTCACTTTTCACTCTTGTATGTACATCTCCCTCCTCATCTCAACTTTCCCCTCCTGTTGCTTTTCTCCAGATGTGCATCCAGAAGAGTCAGATGGAAAAGGAGGTAGAGGAGCAGAAACGGAAGCTGTTGAGGTCAGAGCAGAGCCTACAAGCCAGCCAGACCAAAGAGCAGGACCTCCGCAAGAAAATGGAGGTGTGGTTGCTTTGCATTCAGGATGGTGGATACTCCATTTTTTTGGACTTAATGTTGAGGTTTCTGTTATAGAGAGAGTGCCCTCCCGCACCTACATATCTGTCATTCCATATTTTCTTACCTACAGGAGATGCAGAAAGAAAAGAATATCGTGTCTGTCCAGCTGGACCAGAGTAGCAGGCGTCTGATTCAGCTGGAGGATGAGAAGAAGAATGCAGACCAGAGCTTGAAACGCACCCAGGGATTACTGGATGACCGTAAAGGTAAATTAGTTGTAGGACTAGCAATGACACCAGATGTTCTGGACAATTATTTCATGTATTATCATTTAATTCTTTGGCAATTTGCTCTTCAGCTAAATCAGAAGGACAGGCCGATGAGCTGAAGAGACTTCAGACTAAACTGGAGCAGCAAACTCGGGCTTCGTCCCAGGAGCTGGAGAACTTGAAGAAGACCGTTTCTGATGCCCAGGCCACTAATGACAGGTGAGCAGAGACCCAACAATCACTGATAGAAATATACAATGTATCATATTGAAATCACTTTTCAATTATTGCAAATTTATTTATCACATCGTAGATACCAGAGTGAACTGCAGAAGCTGAAGCAAGATCTAGAAAATCTGACGAACAGGTTGACGGTGAAGGAGAACGAGAGCCAAGAGCTGAAATCCAGTCTCACTGCGAGTCAGGCTGAGAGTAAGACACTGAAACAGGAACATCAAGCTCTGCTGGAGTGGAAGAAAGAAAAGGAGACCCTGATTAATGAAACTGAGGCTGTGCAAAAACAACTCACTGACAAAATTGGCCACTTGGAGAACAGCCTCGTCTCTCTGAATGAGGCTAATGATAACGTAACGGTAGGTGGCTGTGGCTCCCAATATATTCACTTGAATTATTAAACTGAGCTTGCATACTGAACCCTTTCCGTCATATTTTGCACACGGACATGCATATTTCAACAACCTGTTTTTTGTGAACCACAAAAACTTGTTTTAGATTTTTGCATTTGTTCTTGCTATTGTAGAAGCAGCTCTTGAGCATAGAGGGAGACAAGGCCAGCATGTCTGCCCACATTGATTCATTGAAGGGTGAACTTCTCAACAAGAGCACAGACCTGGAAGAGAGGGAGCATCAGTACAACGAGCTCCAGTCTAAATTCTCTGAGGCCGGACAGAAGAACATTAAAGACCTGGAGAATGTTGCTGTGCAAGTGGCTCAGCTCGAAGCACAGGTGATCCATTGTATTCTTTTATAATTGTACATTTTATGTTTATTAGCAATGCAATGAATAGCGATTGATTTTAAACTCTGCCTGGCACCTATTCTTTAATGGAAATAGGTCAAAGGTCTGGAGTTGCAGTTGCAAAAGGAAATGACCCGAGCAGAGCAGGCTGAGAGAACCAACGTTGAGCTGCAGGACGAGCACCAGGCTGCCTGCGACCTGGTGCACTCCAAAGACCAGCTCATCGAGTTGGGCCAAGCAGAGACCAGCCAGCTGAGAGAGAGCCTCGCTCAAGCAACTGCACAGCAGGAGGAGCAAACTGCCAGGTGGGGTTTCATTTGTTGTTTAGGTCATATTTTTGAATGAACTCTGGAGCATTCTGGATGCTTTTGTTTCTTAAGGAAGACGTTTGATATGAATTCTCTCTTTTTTGCCTGAACTCCACCAGGTTGTCAGAGGAGAAGGCTGCCCTGCTGATGCAGTATGAGGAGAGCGTTTCAGCAAAGGTTCAAGAGAATGAGCAGCTGATGCTTCAGTTGGATGAGATTAAGCAAGAGCTGCTGCTCTCCAAAAACCAGGTGGGTTTTACTGTCCTGCATCAGTAACTATTCTAAACAGATTGCCATTCGTCTGTTCCTTTTATATATGTAGCCGTCTTTTTTTGTTCTCTCTCTCTGGGCATTCTTTGCTGACTTCAGTATTGTAAAGAATTTTAGTGTATTGTAAACAAAACAATGATGTTATGACCAAAGTATCTTTGCTTTCACTTTGCTTTGTGTCTTATTTATCAATGTCCCTAGAATATTCTTTGAATTGACGGTTTTAATCTAATCTTCTGATTTTGTAATCTTCCCCCCGATGTTTTTACATTATATTGTGTATTATTCATTACTTTTGTCTGAACCAGTAAAAGCTACAGTAGTTCTGTTTGTATTCAGGTCAGTTCAGTGGATCAGTTCCTAAAGGTCCAGGAGCAACTGGGAGCTGAGCTGCAGAAACAAATAAAGACGCTGTCAGACAATGAAGAGGAACACAAAAAGTTGCATGATCAGAAAACAGAAGAGCTTAAACAGTTGAAGGACGAACTGAAGGATCTGCAGAGCCACACTGAAGAGCAGGAGAAGCAGTTCAGAGAGGCCAAGGCTCACATTTTGTCCCTGGAGAAACAAAAGGATGAGCTAGAAAAGGCCGTTCTAGAGACACAGCAAGAGGCGAAGGTAAAATATTGCTCCAAATAATAAATGATATTTCAGTAGTTGTGCATATTGTCTATTACTGTGTACATCATGCTCTTTAACGTTCATTTATTTTTTATAAAGAACTTACAGCAAGCTCACACTGAGAACATAAACAACCTTCTGGAGCAAATATCTTCATTGGAAGAGAAGGTAACAGCAAGCAGAGACGCTGCAGAGAAGCTTCCAGTCTTGGAGCATGAACTGGCCCTGGTCAACCAGTCCAACGCTGACCTTAATAAGCACCTAGAAGCTCTTGAGAAGAGTCACTCCTCCACTATTGAAATCAAGAGCAATTTGGAGAACACCCTTACTGAGAAGGTTAATCTGGTCTTAACACTGGAGAAAGAAGTCTGTGAGCTCACAGAGAAGACGAACAAAGAAAAAGAGAGTCACGCTTTGGATGTTGAAAATCTCCTTAACAAAGAGAAGATCCTCAAAGAGAAGCTTGAAGCCGCCAGGAAATCTGTGACTGCTGCTAAAACAGAATTAAGTTCTCGACGGGAAGAGATCAAGACCATGAAGACGACTCTGTCGGCAGCATCCTGCGGCTTAGAAGAGAGAGACAAGACGATAAAGAGCCTGAAGGAGAAGCTGAATAAAGCCGAGGCAGAGCAGGCCAAAACGTCAGAGCTTCTGAAGGAGAAGATGGTTTCCATGAACAAAATCAAGGTTGGTTTCGCATTGATTCTTGGTCATGTTTTTGCCTCTTACGACAATCTTATTATATAGCGAAAATGGTACAACATTATCTTTAGGTTTTTAGGGTGGGAAGAAATTGCTGTATTTGTGTAATTCTTCATATTAAGGTACAACTGGAGATGCTGCAAATGGACCTGGAGGACAATGAGACGGTCATGAACTCGTTTGACGGTCAGTTGGAGGATCTGAAGGGAACCGTAGCGTCACTGGAGGCTCAGCTAGCTCACAACCAATCTCAGATGTCTGACATGGAGGCCAGGCTGGAGGACAGCAAAGCCCAGGTAGAGCAACTTTGTGCCACAGCGGTGATTTTCATTGTCATTCTTTGGAGCTCAATATTTTTACTCTTTCCATTGTCATCATTTTACTAGCTCCTTTTGCTCTGTAGTGAAGAAAGCTCTGTTTGGATTCAATCTGAACTCTTAACCTTTTCAGGTCTCTGTCTTGGAAACCCGGTTAGAGGAGGTCCAATCTCAGAACTCCGTGCTGGAGACACAGTATGTTACAGCTAAGGAGGAGCTGATGGAGAGGAGCTGGGAACTAACCCGTTTGGAAGAAGACACATTCAAACAAAAACAGCTTGAGGAGAATGTTGCTACTTTAGAGTCTAAACTCAGCCAGACTGCAGAGGAAAACATCAGGTTAGAGAAAACTCTCCGCCAAGCAATGGAGGACAAAGACAATAGTCTTAACCAGTTCCAACAGGAGAAGAACCACCTAGAGACTACTTTGAAACAGTTAAGAGATGAAAAGGAGCAAATAGAAACTGAGGTGATTCATACCAATGCAGAGAAAGCGCAGCTGGAAGCCAGTTTGGATAAGCTGTCTGAGGAGAACCGACATCTGCAGGCCGACATTCAGCAGCTAACCGAAGAAAAGCAGAAGATGGATCAAATGAACGTTGAGAAACGGGAAGCGGAATCGACCCTCAGACAAGTCATGGAGAAGAAAGCCCAACTAGATATGACCCTTAATCTGATTAATGAGGAAAAACTCCAGCTTGAGGCGAAACTAACGGAGCTAATCTCAGAGAAAAATAAGTCTGTAACTAACTTGAATCAAGTAGTTGAGGAAAAGCTGCAGCTGCAGGGTGACTGTAACGAGCTGACGGAAGAGAACATCAAACTACAATCTAGTGTGAATCAAGCGACTGAGGAGAAGCTGCAGTTACTAGAAAGAATAGAAAGGCTTGAAGAAGAGGTAGCTTCACTTAAAGAGCAACTCGAGAAGAGGGACCGGAGGACTGAGGAGGACAGAAAGAGGTACAGCACATATTTAGTTTTCACGAGTCACAAACCTGAATTCGTCACTGCCATTATTTCTGTATTTTAGGAAAAGAAATGTTTCCCTTTGCTCGTAACATTAGCTGTATTTAAAACCGCATCATTTTCATGTTAACGTTTGATAGGATCCAACACTTTGAGGCGGAGCTGGCCGAGCTGCACCAGAAGCTGGCGGGCTTGCAGAAGGAGCTGAGTGCGTTTGAGCTGCAGTATGACTCCCTGCTGGAGCAGGTGGCCCAACAACAAAGCGTCATACAGCAGCTCTCCGACTCACGGGAAACCCAGAAGGAGCCAGGAGAAAAAATCAGCTGCATGGAGACGGAGGAGACTAATGCTGGTGAGTGCACCCAATATAGATTAGTTACTCGTCTCGGCGATACGGCATAGAAATAATAGCTTAGATTTTCATTAAAACAAACCTGTTAAAGACAAATACATTATTAAACAAACTTGTTTTTTTGTTTTGTTTGCCTTTAAACAACGTCATATATGAGCTGATTCAATTGGTTTATCAGCCAGAATGAACTTGATTACATATATTCATAATGTAGTAGTAAGTAAATGCAATAATTCCCCAGCAGAACAGGCTGATGTGGAGCCAATTCCGAATACGAGCACCGATGCAGAATCCCTCCCAGTGAAGGAGCAGCTGAGCCCAATGTTAGCTGAACTAGGGGAAGTCGCACAACAGTCCAGTGAGGCTTTCAGGTATAAATATGATTGAATGAATGAATTTTCTAAAAAGCACAAACACAGAATAATGTGCTGTTGTATGTGTTTTATTAATTGATGAGTACATTTTAAATCTCCCTCACCTCTTGCTAGTGAGACAAAGCTGGTCTTCGAGGAGGACTTTGTTGAACAGGAGATGATCCAACAACTAGAGGAGGAAAGGGAGGCTTGTGTGGCCGATAAGAGTGTTAACAAGGAGCAACATCTACAGCAACCCTTGGATCAGGTAGAAAATTACTTAAACTGTGATTTCCCTTCAGTTGTGATGGTTTTTGGGGTACTTCATTGATTGATTTAGCATTTATGTAAACAAAAGTGCTGGTTGCTACTAATAATAGAACTAATGTGTGCTTTGCTTGATGAATGAAGGTGTTTTTGCTGGTAATCAAGGTCAGAAGAAGTCAGAGCTTGAATTTTGTCTTCTGTCTTGCAGCCTTCAGAAGACAGCAGCAGTACTGGAGATGTTCTTGGAAGTAACTCTGAAATATGCGATATTTCGCTCCCATCTTCCCTTGCTGGGGAGACCATCCGTCTGTCAGCAGCAGAGCCCTCCGAGGAACACAATGACCTCAACCATGATGAAATGATCCCAAAACAAGAACTCCAGGCCCTCCGCTCAGAGTACGAGCTGCTTAGTTCCAACCTCGCACTGAGAATGGAGTTGACTTCTGAGCTAGAAGTCCAAGTTCAAAACTTAGAAAGCAGAGTTCAGGCAGCAGAGGAGGAGGCACAGGGTGCCGCACATAAGCTGAAGATCGCTTTGGAGGAGAGGAATGTCAACGCCGACCAGGTAGGGGCAAGAAATAGCAAAATGCCACTTAAAGGATGAATTCCATTGTTACACAGCCACTGATGCCGCATACTCAATTTTAGATGGCTCAACTGTCAGAGGAGAGGGACACTTTAGGTCTGCAGCTCCAAACAACCAAATTCCAGCTGGACGATGTTATGGAGATGCTGGAAGGACTAGAAATGGCCAAAGGTAAATATTGACCCGTCGTACTACCTATGAGGACCATGCCACATTATTTAGACTATATTTCAAATGCCGCTTAAAGGTCATGGCACTGCAGGACTTACAAAGCAATGTGTTTACTTTAAGGTCCTCACTACGTTACTGCATGTTGGTATCTAACAGATATTTCCCTTGGTTGTGTAGGTGGATGGGACGAGAAATTCCTTCAGCAGGAGAGTGAGCTGAAGAGAGTTCGCTCTGAGAAAGCCAACCTGGAGCAGCACATCCTGGGCATGGAGTCTGAGCTGGAGACCTTACAGGGGGAGAAGAGCAAACTGGGGAGTGCGATGGAGACCCAGAGAAAGGCTTGTTCCAGCATGGAGCAGCAGATAGAAACCCTTAGAACAGAGGTGAGGACTCGACAGCCTTTGAGCTAAAACGTCAAAATACTGTGTGTATAAGAACTGACTTAATGTGCATGTATCATGGATTTATCAGTCAAAACAATATGTAGGCGCGATCATTTGCTTTTTCTTGTCCAAAATCAAAACATTGCAGATTTTTTTAGGCTTACTGATCAGTGCGGCATAAAACGTCTTAATTCTTTCTCCAGACAACCCAGCTGAGGTCTGAACTTGTGCTGTGCACTGAGGAGAGAGATGAACTGAACCAGTCTTTGGGCCAGTCGAGAGAGAAAGTTCACAGTCTGGAGAAGAGCAACTGTGACACCAGAAACCTGATTTCCATCCTGGAGGACGACATCAGAGCGGATAAGAAGGAGTATGACTCCCTGCAAAGCAGCATGCAGGAACTGAAGATAGAGAGGCAACAGGTATGTGTGTACCATTCAAGGAGTTCCTTGAGTAAACTATTATGAATGATATGGGTCATAAGAGGTTTGACCTCTTATGACTTGTTTGGGCCAGTCGAGGAGGCACAGAGTTCTTCTTTTTACTTTTCTGTTTTCAATTCAGAAAGTGGCAACATGGACAGATGGTTAACTGTCAACAGCCAACGTGAACAACAGTTTGGTTTAACGTTGTTTCTGATGGGGTCTGATGGAAGTCATGACATGTGGGATATATTGCAATGCATGTGAGAGGGTTACAGAGCTGATTCCCTTTTCTTCTCGTTCTCTGAAGCTGTTGGAACAGATTAAAGTTCTGCAACAGACGATGTCCCAACAAAGTGGAGAAAGACGGGAGCTTATCAGCCAGCTGGACAAGGTCACAATAGACCACACCTCGGCCAATCAAAACACTGAGTCCATGGTTGGCAAGATACAGGTAAAGGCCTTCCTCAAGAAAAAGTTCCCTTTTTATCTTGTTACTTGCCGCGCTTATACCAATAAACCCTTGGATGATTCGGATGCTCTTTAGCTTCTAATCCCCCATTGTTTCTCTTCAAGGCTTTAGAGGGAGAAGTATGCCGTCTCTCACAGTCTCTGGAGTCTTCTCTACTTGAAAAGGGAGAGATCGCCTCTCGTCTAAACTCGACACAAGAAGAGATCCAGCAGATGAGGACTGGTATAGAAAAGCTGCAGGTCCGCATCGAGTCGGACGAGAGGAAGAAAAAGAAGATGGGCGAGCTCCTCAAAGGTGGCTCTCAACATCCTCCGAACTCGCACATCCTCTTGACTTTTGTGAGGTGTTGTTGTCGGTCTAATTGTGAGTCTTTACTTTTCTAGCTGCCCAGAGGAAGTCCGACTCATTGCATGATCGCATCGAGGCCCTGGAGCGAGAGAAGGAAGACCAAGAGCAAAGTCTAGAAGAAGCTGTGTTACAGGTATTCTGTTGTGAACAAATGTATGTCTGAGAAAAGTAACTAATTTGTCTGAGCGTTTTTACAATTGACTGGATAAAATTCCCGTTTGAGCGGGTTGCCTTTTTTCTAAAGTGTTTTCTCCTTCTAAAACAGGCCGAAACAGCCAAAGCTGAGCTGGAGGAGGAAAAGAGAAAGGTACATTTATATTTCGCTTTGAAACCTTTGCTATGATTGGGTGTTTTTCCTTATAAGCTAATAGTAAAATATTAGCTGTTTTGAAAGCACAGCATCACATTTCTCCTTCCTTGCTCTCATGCTGCTCTTTCTGACCCTCAGGTGGAGGAGGAGAAGAGACAGCTCCGCGAGAAACTATCAGAGCTCTCTGCCAAGCTGGAAAACCTTCGGTCTGAGAAAGACCAGATGGAGAGAGAGCTGGAACCAAAGAACCGAGAGATCGAGGACCTGAAGGCCGCTAAGGAGGACCTGGAAAGGGGGTTGGAGAGGGCCGAGGTGGACAGACGGGAGGAAGAGGAAAGACAGAAACACAGGGTGGAAGAGCTGACGAAAGGAATGAGAGAGGAAGCGGAAAGGCTTACGAGTCAAATGGATGACCTGCGGTCACAGCTGTTGGCCTCTCAGCAGACCGAGATCTGCCTTGAAGAAAAGCGAGCCGAGGCGGAGGGGGAGAAAGAGAAAATACAAAACCTGCTGGTGAAGATGGAGAAAGAAAAGACGTCTCTGCAGTCTTCTCTGGAGGAGTACGAGACGGAGGGCGAGAGGCTCCGCTCTGAGGGAGAACAGTGGGAGAAAGAGAGAGAAACTTTGAGGGCAAGAATTGGGTCTTTGGAGGAAGAAATGAAGGAGCTTGAAACACTCATGAAAGCTAAAGAAGAAGAGCGAGATGTGTTGGAGAAGGAGGCTCATCAGAGGCAGGCCTCATTACAATCCATCTCGTCCATCATGGTGGAAAAGGAACAGATGGAAGAAGAAAATACCCGACTGGCAGAGGAGAAAGAGCAACTGCGCTCGACCCTGTTTTCAGTAGAACAGGAGAGAGAAGATCTGCGCTGCACTTTGTCGTCTGTTGAAGAAGAGCGAGAGAGACTGGAGCGCGAGAGGGGGGCGTTAGCCCACGAGAAGGAGGAGCTTCAGTCCAGTCTCTCCTTGGTAGAAGAGGCGAAATGTAACCTGCACCAGACTCTTTCTTCATTGGAGGAAGAGAAGAAAAGAATAGAGGAGCAGAAAGGGGTGTTGGAGGCTGAAAAACAAGAGATGCAGTCTTCCCTTTGTAAGAGTGAAGCGGAGAAAGAGAAACTATCATCAGCTCTTTCTTCACTGGAACGAGAGAAGCAACACGCCGAAGTAGAGAAAGAGAAACTTACAGAAGCCCAGGAGGCTCTTCGGTCTACAGTTGCTGCTTTAGAAAAGGAGTTGGAAACATCCAAATCGTCTTCTCGACATCTCAGCGAGCAGGTACACCGACGCGTGTTGATCTGTCCAAACATAATCCATCTCAGCCGCGAGCTTTGACGAATAATGATCCCCGGTTCTGATCATGTCTTTATCAAAAGCAGGCACTTCAGTCCACAACACATTTCAGCTCTGCACTTTTTCTTCAATACTTGTTGTAAAGAGTCTTGGATGAGCCGTGAACAATGTCATGTAAAAAGTATGCTGGCTTTCTGTAGAGCAGTTGTGTCTACTTGGCTGTCCAAAAAGTGTGTTAAAACCACTTTACCCTTTTGTCTCCACCCATCCAAGGTGTCGAAGCTAACATCTCAGGTCGCCCGGCTGTCTAAGGAGAGGGACTCTGCGCTAAGCAAGATGGGTCTCTGGATGAAGACCTGCAAACAGGTGGAGCAGGAGAAGCAAGCGCTGTTGGACAGCCCAGGTGTGGAAACGCATTTAAGCTTTTTGTTATTATTTGACTTTAACTTAAAGTCATCAGACTGACTTAAAATCTCGCGGTGGTTTGGCATCAATTTGTTTTACTGGTTGATTTGACTTTGATGCTCAGACCTGCATTTTACCCTGAAAACGTGGAGATTAAATCCGGCTCTAATTGCTAACTTTATTATTGTAATTCCTTTTTGTCACAGGTGAAGGAAAGCGCAGTGAGGCGATGCAGACTGAGGGGAACCAGCTGAAGATGGAGGCAGAGAAGAGGAAGAAGGAAATGGAAGACCTGACCACTGCCCTGCAGGAAAAGCAGGTGGAGGCAGAAGCCAAAGAGAAAGTGGTGGAGGAACTTAAGTTTGCCCTCGATGGGAAGAAGAAGGAGTTGGAAGAGAGAAACTCCGAGTTGGGGCTGATGAAGAGCGAGTTGGATGAACTGAATAAACAGCTGGAGGAGAAAAGCAAGGAGTCGGATGACAGCATTGACAAATACTGCGGCTTGATGGTTAAAGTCCACAAGCTGGAAGAGTCCAATGATGCGCTGACAACCCGGCTGGAGCAGCTCACCGCTACCCAGCGCGCTAACAAAGCCAATGTCCCGCCCAGCAGCACTGACGATACTCGCCGCCTGCGGCGCTCAGGCCGGAAGTCTTCCTCCAACGCAGAGAACACTGCTCCTTCCACACCTCAGAGGTCTCCTCAGAGTTCGTCTTCAGGGAAAAGGGCTCACCGGGACATCAGTAATAAAGACAGTGCCCAGGAGGCCCTGCTCAACCTGACTAAGAAGATCAAAGCCACCACAGTCTGTACACCCCAACCGAGAAGAGAGCACAACGACGAGGAGTTCAAACCAGAGGGACTCCCCGAGCTGGTGCAGAGAGGTACGTTCTGTGTGGTGATCTAATGGATGATCTCACCCTCAGTTCACCAGCAGCAAGAAGAAAAGGCTCCTCTAGTTTTCTGTGTGTTGTAGTGTGAGTCTTAGTTTTATCAGTCTGCCCCCTCATGCTAGTTTGATTATTTGTGTGTGTGTGTGTGTGTAAAATGAATTGTGTAGTAAACAAAAATGACACATGAATGGTTGTGAACAAAGCACATCTCATCACTGCTGCTCTGCGCAGGTTTTGCTGACATTCCTCTGGGGGAGGCCAGTCCATTCATTGTGAGAAGAACCACAGTGAAGCGCTGCAGTCCTCGACTGGCTGCCCGACAGACTGCTCCCACATCTGGATCTGACGGCAATGTGAGCAGGAGCATCCATCACACACACATTGCCAGCCTGCGGCATCTTGCAGCACAAAATGAACATTCTTTAAGACAGATAATCATGTCCCTGCATTATACAATATAGTCCGTCCCATGAGGAGGTCTGTGTGAAGCACACTATATGGGTACTGCACATTCCTCCAGTCAGCCGATTTTGTGTTTGTTTGTTACAACTGGCCGTATTCCACCGGTGATTCTCACTCGGCGTGTCCCGGGAGCACGACACAACCATGTTATGGCCGACGTATTGCTCAGAACACGCGGTAGCGCCGGGTGACGGTGTCTGTGAGCGCTTCTCCGCCATGCTTCCGTTGGCGCTCGCTCGGGTGTTGAATCTTTGTTCCACGTTGTTGTTTTTTGTCTTTTGCTAATGTTGTCGTTCGTCTCTTGCTCTTCACCCACAGACTTTGGGATCAGTACCTTTCCAGAGTCCTTTGGCAGAGAGCTCCAGCAGGAAGTGTGTCTCCCCGAGCGAGGAAGGGAAACTTGCACATAGTTTTCTCCAGAGACCGGAGCAGGCCGATGGAGAACAAGAAGGCAACTGTCAAGTCCAGTAGATCGATGGATACGATGTACATACACATGCACATTCAAAGATACACAACGCATGGATACTTTTTCTGAGGACACTTTTTTTATTTTCTAAGTAACACTTTTCTTTTTGGGGAGGAGACGGGAGTGTGTAGGTGTGTGTCGATGTCTTGGTTATTTTTCCTGTTTGTAATTTTCTTTCAGGACTTCAAAAGACATCCCTAGAATTTAATTGTCTAACTTAAATCGGCAATATATTTTTCAAACCACTTTCTTTATTGTGCACTCCGTTTTCATGCGTCTTTCATCAAAGCCGTCTTTGAAATGTCAGAGGTGTTGTACAATCAACAAGAGCCTAATTGTTTGTTTACATGCGGAGGGATCGTAAAACCATCTTTGTTTGTTCCTTTGTCTGTGTAACGGATCGACTGGTTGTACTTGTTTCCTTTGCTCTGTGTTTGTGATGTCCTGCCTTTTGTACGCGGTAGATGATGTACGTCAGCTACGCGTCCTGCACCTCTCAGCCTTGTAACTTATATAGTGGCAGCTACCAGTTTGTAGAATTTTTTAAAAATGTATATTTTTCTTTTTAAATATTTTAAACCTTTTCTGCCTTATCTTTTTTTTTTTTTAATTGAATGCAAGTTTGCATTTTTTATGTAGGTGTAGTTAAATGTTATTGATCCTTGTACATTGTTAATTGCCCCTTTTCTATATACTAAAACGTAACAGCTTTAAAGCTTGTGTGGTCTCTTTCTTGTGTGCGAGCCTTGTCTGCTGCTGTTATTTACTAACTTTTGAAAGGATACAGGAGGTACAGTGGTGTACGTAGCTGCGTACTGGTACACCGCAGCCTCTGCTACCACCAGGTGGAGAGCCTGAGCCATATGGAGGAAAGATGTTTGACAGGTGACCATCAGTGCAGAATACGCCTCAGGCTGGCGGTAAAGACAAATGAGACAATTGAATACTCCTCAGGATAAATAGTCCAAGTTGATATCTGGTTTCCATCATGGTCTTGGTCAGGCACCAGCGGCGCGCAGCCTTTTTTAATAAGGCTTCTCCTCATCCTCATAAAGGTCACAAGCAGTTGTACTGCAAAAGACGACCATCCGTCGCTGAATTTAACATCTACATTTCTGATTTATTTTTTTACACATGTTTCTAGGGCACAAAAGCGATGCACGCTCTTCCAGAACATCCCCCTGCTGATTTAAAGCAGCTTTTATGCCACACGTATTACCTTAAGTGGCGTACATGCTGACTGTGACAATACAAACCCGCGGGGTGCTGTGGCTGAGGTAAAATGCCCGGAAGTGATTGATTTCTCCGAGTGAACCTGTGCAATAACGTCTACGCTGCGCTTTTGATCAATACGATTGATTTCTCTGGTGCCTGGACGTTAGCATTTGCGGTATCGACGAATGTCGACCCTTTGACCCCCCCTTGCTTGTCCACGTTAAGATGGGACACTGACATCGGTTTCTTCTTGGAGCGTCACTGAGGTTTTCCCGCCCACCTGGTTTGTCCGGTCGCCCGTGCATTCCCGTCCCTGCACCGCGCGGACGTGAGTGCGTGGGCGGCGGGCCTCGCTGGGGTTGTGGGAACAGAGACGAGAGGACACAGTCACACACACCTCAGAGCGGATACTGTCCTGCTCTGATGTCTCTGGCTGGAGCTGCGAAACGGAAGCCGCAGTGCCAGAACCAACTCTGGACGAGGACACGGGAAATGGGGAGATGGGCCCGCTGAGCTGTGTTATCACTGGCACTCGGACTGGAGAGTGTGTGTGTGTGTGTGTTTGTGTATGCGCGGGCGTGTGTGTGTGTCTGTCTTTAAAACTGACAGACTGACCGACCGTCAATCCCCCTGCTGTATGCATGATTTGTCCCATTCTTCACCAGGCAACACTGTGTAAGCAGCCGTTCTCGGGGCGAAGAGGGAGTCGCTGACAGGAAGTACCGACCGGGTTGTATGAACAGGACCGAGGGGAAGAGACACACCACAGAGTGAGACTAATGGTTGTGCATTTTAAATGGTGTTAACCAAGTCATGCAATCTGCAATGTTAAAATGCAACACTGAAGTAGCTTTTGAAGTGGGAGGGAGGCATAAATATGGACTTTAGCAACGCACCAACATGGGTATCACTTATAGATTATTATCGATCACTGTTTGACCAGTAACGAGATATTATCAAAGGCTGTTAACTGATATATGAAACAATAAGAAGTGTTACACTACACCACAAACAGCTTTGGGGTAGTACTGCACTTGTTTCTAGGAACAGCTTAACAATGGCTGCAACAAGTTAGAAATAATGTAGAAAAATGTGCTTTTTCAGTACTTCAATTTAATTATTTATTTTTGCAAAAATTGGAAAACGAAATCCATGCATCCAACATTTTTCCAAATCCCCACAACTTTTGCTTATGTGGCCTAATTGGAATTTTTATTTCATTTTCGGGGCATACAGAATAAATGTCTTTGATAAAAATATTATTTTAAGCATATTTTCGGTTGAGTTTTCTGACGTGCGTGTCCTTTGCACATAATGTGTGAAGTAACAAATCTGACAATAATGGCAGTTTTTTTAAAGCTGGCTTAGGTAGACGGGCCACTTTTGGCAAGAAAAAAATGTTTGGCTTTAGGGTCCACCGTATTCTAAAGGCATTTGTCAAATACTCCCATGATTGTGGTAAAGTGTAACAAATATCATGTTTCTCATATGTTCTGTTGGTCATCTGTCTGTAAATGTGTTGTTGTGAAGTTATAGAAATATTAACAGGTAGAAACTCTTGATTTGTAATACCGTCCGAATGGTGGACCTGAAGAACAAAACTAACTAAACCAACCACAGATACACTGTAGCGTCACCAGATGAAAAATGATCCCGTTACATTTCCATTTGGCACAAACCCAGTACGTTGTTGGTCGAGTGAAAAAAAATCTGTAAATTTTCATAGATGGGCAAAAATGATCGTTACTTTTGGAATGGCAGAATCTTTTAAATCCAAAATCTTGAGACCTCACGGGTAAGTGAGGTTGTTACCGTCCACTAACCTCACTGCAAACTGTAGCGAACACTAAAAACTATGCAATAATTTCTTTCTCTAGTTGTGTAAAGTGATAATAGGTTTTATATTTGTCTTATTTATGTATAATGGTGTAGTAGAATAGTAGTACTTCTCAAAAACATGATTATGTATTACTGTTTATGTTGTTATCGCATATACATATCTTTGATTGTACATAATCGTATTATTCTTATTCTTCTGATATAATGATCAGAATTACCATGTTTCTAAATCATATTATTTGAAACACAAAAGGCAAAAGCTTTGCCATTAATTCAGAATACATATACATTGAGGCATGTGCCTTTCTTGAATTTAAGTTCATTTCTATCTTTACTTCCCTGCAGACATGTCAATAAATATGGAACTATAACCTATAACTTATAACTCTATTCTTGTTAGCTTTGCATAAAGTGGGAAACGGACGCTTGGCTGTATCTGAAAATATATTAGGATTTAGTGTCCGGCTCACATAAATGAGCCCGTGTACTGTATCTGACTGTGGATTCGGGTGTGTACTTTCTGCTTTGTTAACTTTATCCCATGCATCATAAGACTGGCTACCACTGGTCCGTCACACTCATCACACCACTTCATCACCCAGGAAGTTTTAACTTGTAGTAGTGAGTCAGTGCTTCACTGACAGACAGACCTGCAGCGGAGCGGAGCTCGTCTTTGCATGTCTGGAGGAAAACTTTGGGCCGACTGAAAACTGGAAAACTGAATGAATGTAATAGGATATTTCTCTATGACCTTATTCAAGATTATATAAGGAACACTCTTACTTACTTCACTCAGATCTATGCCACCAAATTACGTTGATTCTATAAAAATTGTTTTAAGTGATTAATTAATTAATACAACAAATTACAAATGAATTATGCCTGTATGTTCAGTTTTGACTGAGTTACAATGCAAACTTCTTTGTAGTTCTTTAAGAGTTGCAAATGTTATAATTAAAGCTTCAGCATAGTGCACGTGAGCCCGTCCCACCGGTCAGCTCTAACAGAACTCATCATGTCTGATAACGCCGGCCCCACCGATGGGGATCGGCGGCAGCCACAATCCAGTTTGATCTGTTAACGCTGTCGGGTACCAAAGGCGATCCAAATGCTGCTAATCTAGTGTTCAGCACCTTTAGAATACTGATGAAGGAGGATGTAAGCAAGGAATAAGACGGCAGCCAGAACAATTATTCAAATCTGTTGTATTTTCAAGTCAATGATCTTACTAAAAATCGTTTTGTACATTGTGTTTAGATCAGCTGTACAGACATTGTTATTAAAATGTGTTTCCCCAGACTTGCATCGAATCACTACAGAAACACAAAAGAAAACATACTGTTTGGAAAAATACAGTTTTCGCCATTTTAAAAAGTATTAACCAACAATATCTAGTACATAGGCAGAAAATGTAATACCTCAGTTAAGCAGAGCGGAGATTATTTTATAACATTTGTTTGCTAGAAGAAGGCACAGGCAGACCAGCCAGCTACAACACAGTGCATCTCCACTACTGTTACTATTATTATTATTAGTAGTAGTAGTACTGAATCGTCGTCCGCTTTAGTTAAAATCAAAACGTGTACAGGACTTTCCTGCTGCTCGCTCGCCCCTTCTGTCAGTTCAACTAGGATGACTAGTGGGCTCTTTAGGACTTATGGTTAAGTTTAAAAACACATTTCTAAAGAATACAAACTGGAAAGATCCAATCATTTTGTGCTGGATTCTTTTTGAAGTTTTCTCATTCGTTAGGATTTGACCTGCTCTTCTCAGAGGCTTACTGCTGCCAAATAAAACTACAAGCTGGACAGCAGACTTGTTGCATTACATTCAATCGATCAACCTGTTAATCGTTTTGTCAAATTATCAACGGAATCAAGCTGTCAGATATAAAATGGTTTCATGCTCCTTGTCTATGTGGCTGAGGATCCGAGGGTTAAATCGTCACAGTAGTGAGAAAAGTTTGTGTGTTAAACCGTGTAGTTGTTGTCGATGCCACATAACAACTAAACAAAGCCTCCTCATTGGATGGACTGGATAACATGTTGTTACGTTCAAAGGCAGTTAAATCAAAGTGCATTTTCAACGGCAGGCGCACACACATGAAGGACACCCATCACGTGTGTGCGTGTGTGAATGAGCTGGGCATTAAAAGTGAATTGATTCTTATAGAGTCACAATTGAACCTGTCAAAGTGCAAATCCGTATCTGTGCATCAACCTTCAAAACTGCACACACACATTATTTGCTCTTAAACATGTTGACAGTAAGTTGAATATAATATAAGTACAATGTTCTCAAGGACAGCAGAGGAACGACAGCTAGAACTTTGACAAATACAGATCAATCCTTTGTAATTCAAGAGTTTTTTTGCAAAAGCCGTTGTATTCTATAACCACACATTTGGCAGCACCACTCGGAGCAGGAATTCACTGTGTTGTTTTGTAGCAGTTTACGGTTGGTCAGCAGAGAGTAAACTGAAACTTTTGCTGGAACAGCGAGACCGATCAGAGGCTCAACTCTTTCTAAGAAAGAGAGCTGAATTTAAACAGAAAAAAAAGCATTTGTCTCTCTCGCTCGTATAAATGCTTCTGGCCTATAAAGCTCAGGCACTTTGCAGCCATGTAGACCGGTCATGGCAAGAAGAGCTCTCAGCGATGCCTCTCTTCCTAAGTGAGCCGTGACAGCGAACCAGCGTGAACCATGGGGGGTCTGAGCAACTGGTTCAGGTTGGTTGGACTGGATAAACACCAACAGTAAATAACCACTTTGTTACATGTGTTACCCCTCAAAGTGTGTTGTGCTCAGCCAGTAAAGAGTTTAAGGCACAGGGATGGTTTGGAAAATCTCTTCAAATAGCTATTCAGTGTCGTCATTTATTGTAAAGCTACGTCCACAACCACAGACACACTTTAGATCACTTTAAATCTCTCGTCCTTTCCTCCTCTTCACTAAGAAGAGTCGGCAGCAAGTAACATCCAATGACGTCTTCTGTCAAAACTATATTGTTGAGTCAACATTATAAAGTCATGGTTCATACTGAACTTACATGTAGAAATATTTGAAATTGCTCGTACTTTTTAGTTTCTGATTGGTTCGGCACTGACATTCACTCAGACCTAAACAAATATATATGTGAGATCTCTATCTAGAGATTCTCTCTTCTCTGCACCGTCGTTATTTTTTAAGCCATCATTTAGCACAAAATACGCCTCTCACAGTCACACACAATCTTTGAAGTTTGTCTTGTGTAACTTAAACAATTAGAATATCATCACATCTCACGTATAAGAATCATCTCTGACGTGTCTTGTATTGTTTCAGCTAACAGCCGGCTGTGGTAGCGAGTATCCTTCTGAGTTGTAAAGCTTTGTGCTAAATTGTATCCTAAGTTGTTACACTTTAACATATTGGAGTGCTGCTTACACAGAGAGGCCCCATGGACATATTAGGTCACCTAATGCAGCGATAGTATGTTACAGTATGCTGGAGACGTCTATTTATCCTTCAGGAAAGGGTCAATGTCAACTTCACCGTGGTCCAAGATTTAAGTGATATTTAACTTAACGACACTCAACACATGTATCAAAATTACCTCACGTTCTGTGCGTTTTCTTTTTGCTCTTCGTTCCACCGGCGGGATGGAAAGTGCTCCGCTGCCAAAGTTCCACCAAACAGGTTTTTTTGAGCAGATCTTACATCCCTGCAGAGGGGTCAGGGGGTCACTGCCCACAGAGAGCTTGACCGTCATCTCCCTACTTGAGGCGTTCAATGACTGAGACGTCTCCCCTCTCGGGTTCGTAACCGTTCATGAACAAACCGCCGTTTCTGGCCAGCGGCGTCACCGGGCCCTGCGGCCCGGCCTCCCTCCCGCTCCTGTCCACTTCCTCGTTGAAGTTGGCCGACGCGGCCCTCCTGGGTAGCGTGAGCTCGGGCCCGGGGCTGAATCCTAGTTCAGAGGACAGTTTGCGCTTTATTGACGTGGCCCGCTGGAACTTGTCGTAGACCTCGACGCTCACGCGGCGACGGGTTTCTTTGAACTCTGCGGAGACGTTGGCCGTCCACTCCGCGGCGTGAGCCCGGATCTCTACTACCTGTGAGGAGGGAACAGGAGTGCAAAGTAGGAGTTCTGTTGCACTGTTTAGTAACAAAGTGTTATTTTCATCACTTTGTTAGTTAAATAGCTAAAACACAATGTTAATTCATAAAATAATTTAAAGAAGAAGAAAATAGAGTAAAAGAAAACCTTTAAAAGGACCTCTTTGGCAGTTTTGGTTGAGGAAGGGGATAAAGTGGTTTGTTTATAATAACTTTATAATGAGTCACTGTCTGAATTTTCCTCATTAACACAATAGCATATAGATTCTTGGTGTGGTCTTTGAATTAAAGTGCCACAAACATCTGGAGATATTCAGCATTTTTTGTGACTTTTTGTGTTCAGCCTTTAAAATACAGGCTCAATTTTAAAATATCAAAATACCAATGTTGATAAGAGGCTGATGCTACAGAAGACACGTTGATGATTTTTCCAAGACACATTCCTTGCTTCTGACAAAGTAACATACTGACGTACTTTGAATCACTACAGCCAGGTTTTTAGTAATGCTTCCTTTTGCATTCATTTATGATATACTGCTAGAGAACATCAAAGTAAAAATACTGACAAATGAACATTGACAGAAAATGCAGACTGACACACAGAAAGGAGACTTAATGGGACGCTAGAAGTCAATACATTTTCTGACGAGGACATCGTCGCACATTTTCAAAATGACCTCTTTCGCTCCCTTTATCTGGAGATGCTCATATGGCCAAAGCTGCGTTTATGTGATGGCAGACGGTGGATTGGATTAGAAAACAGTCTTGTCATTGAAATGAAGTTAAGCAGAGGGCAAAAGTTGAGGGACTATTACCGAGTAGCTTGAATAACAACATCTGTGTCGCCGCACCAACAGAGAAAAGGAGGATAGGAAATGAGAAAAGGTCAGTGAATGAAGGAGTAAATGAAACCAGTAGGTGCGTACCTCTTCTTTCGTCCTCCTGGAGATAACTCGGAGCCAGTCTCCTATCATGCTGAGGATGGCGGCAAAGTAGGCCAGTCCCACCAGGATCCAGAACCATACAACTGGTTTGTAGTAATCTAAGTACTCTATTTCTGAACCACCTAGACGCAGACAGGCAGACGGAGACAATCACACATCCAGTAGAATGCACCTCATGAGGCATGCAGGCATGATGCAGAGAGACATGCAGGTTCTCCCTGGTGGTGCTGAATCTCTAACTCTGGTGTTCATACCTGCCACAAAGTCTCCAAACCCTATGGTAGTCAAGGTGATGACCACGAAGTAGAGCGACTCCAGCGCAGACCAACCCTCGATGTGTTTAAAGATGGCCGCTGGGAGCGCCACAAACAGCAGGCAGCCAAACAGCACAAACAGCAGAGTGGAGATGACCCGGATCTTCGTCTGACTGATGTCCCAATGCTGCAGGAGTGAGAGGACCGGACAAAATCAGCAGTATGATACTGGAGAGGTCCGATCGGTCATCGGTGCGAAGATACATGGAGCTTTGGGGCTCTGTGTTCATTGTTCGTTGGTGACTGAAAACTTATATGAACCCTAAACGATTTGATTATTTTCTGTAACTGTTGAAATAGAGAAACCAGATCCAATGCAGTCATCTTTATGCTTTATACTTACAGTATATTTACTTAAAGGCAAAACCTGAACATTTAAAGTTTATCTTGATCAGTAAGTATTGGATAATGGGGAACTTCATCTGATAAAGTTGATGGTGCTGAATAAAAGGTCAGAAAATCCCCGGAGCATTGCCAATTCAATTTCCTAAATTGGACTTTAAATTGTGTTCCAAATTGAATGGCAATCCAACCAATATCTGTTGGCTCATTACACTCAAAACCAAATGTCACACTCAAAGAAGAAAATTTAGAGGATCCCAAACGTCAGTAGAAATCCTTCTCTGGGGTTCATCAATTTGTTTCGGGTAAAACAGCCAGATGCTGTTAGCAGTAATAGCTTTATTCCATAAATTGGTCCTCTGGGTGCTGTAGAGGAAGGACATCCACAGTATTACAGCCACTGAAGATACTGCTGCAGTCATGCAATGACCAAGCAATAAGGCAAACACACAAACAAACACAAGCTTACACAATTAACGTTTGTCTTCAGTCGTTATATTACTGAGGGCTTTGTGAGTAGCATAATCGTTCTAAATTATACTGACTCAACCCTCTAAGGACAGGCGGTATCTAAGGGTGAGTCTCTCGTTACAACATGTGAATGCTGAAGACTCACTTTTGGGCGGATAAGAGAGTACAGACTTAATATACTCTTTTAGCTGCAAAAATGAAAATATCTACTGCCACAAAATTAGTCATTATTAGCAGCTTGAAGCCGTTATGCACAGAAATCTTTTCTGTGTGTCACTCAGATGAATAATTATCACACACACACATAAATAGTTCAACAAGTGATTCTCTAGGAAATTAAATATGATCTAGAATCGTATGTGTGAGGAAATGATTAAAAGAGCGTTCATGTAAATTATTCATTATTATTCAAACCTGTCACCTGCAGACCATAATCTTCACGATCCTCTTGTTCTACTGTAAATTACAGAATAGTAATACATCAAACTCACCACAAACATTTTCTCCACTCTGGCGATGCCCTTCCCAAATATGGTGCCGAGCTGATCTCCTACTCCAGCCAAAAGAAAGCCAAACAGGGGAATCCCCAGCAGCGCATAGATGATGCAGAAGATCCTTCCACCTTCTGTGTGGGGAGAGATGTTCCCAAAACCTGAAGGGAGGACAGAAAAAAAGTAAATCAAAATTTCCCTTAAAACAATAAAACACTTAACTGATGCAACTACAAGATTATGAAAGTCCTGTGGAGAAGAATCAATATCTAAATACATGAGCTACATGATTCATTTTCTTAATTAAAATTTACATTCTATAATTTCCGATTGTGCTCTCTGAACCCCTGAAGAAAGAGCTTCAATCACAGCGCTCCAGCCAGCAGGTGTGAGTAAGAGAAGATAATCATGCTGACGCTGCACTTCTCTCAACAGTAAGTGCAATTAGTGACCATAAAGGCTTTATTTCCTCACTCACTTGAAAGCCTGTGTGTGTGTGCGTGTTTGTGTGAGAGAGTGTGTGAGTGTGTGTGTGTGTCCTACCGATGGTTGTGATGACAGTCCCAGCAAAGAAAAAGGCGGAGCTCAGGTCCCAAAGGCTGCTGTGGTTGGTCAGTGTCCCTGCAGGGTTCACGCCTGAACGGATAGCAGACACAACTTGCTGAAAGGTTGAAGAGAGAGAGAGAGAGATTTTAATTATCAAAGATTTATCATTAAATACTTTTGGATTTTTATTTCATTGAATAATATCTTGCTGATATACGTAGTATAATAAACTATTCACTACTACCATGCACTGCTTGAAGTACTGTACTTTTAAGCCTTGTCTGTCCACTGAATTAAATATATATAATTTGAGATTGTTGGTGATACAAAAATCTTGAACTGTCTTCTCGTTGAATCGAGGAGCCCCAGAAAAGATTTTATACTTAAAAACAGAAAAAAACTCGCTGTGGCTCCACCTTTGGGCCTCCTCCTCCTTCGAAGCGCTGGAGCTGTCCCCGGTGCTGAAACCACTGCAGCTGTGCTCGGCTCACAACTGTGCACAGTGCAAACAAAACTAAAGCAATGTCTCACGTCACCTTAACCAGCTCCTCCAGCTGGCTCTGGTTGACACAGGAGTGTCTGGACAGGAACTCCAGCTTCTGGGACAGGATGGCCAGTCGCTGGGCACTAGTGGAGACGAAGTGCAGACACATGGTGAGGCTCGAAAATGTTTGTGTCACAGAATTATGAATTAACCACAAATCTGAATACTAAAACTGAAATCCAAACAAACCAATTTTGGGATTTTTGTTGTAGACCATATTTTGTTTTTTTAACCGTTTGGTGAAAAGCAAACTAGCGGCACCACTCTGAGCTCTGTGGTGGTACAGAGTTGTCTAGTGGAGTGAAAACGGTGGTTTTACAGTCATATCTTAATTAAACTGTGGGTGACGTACTCACATCCATTTGTTTACTCGCTGTAATATCCTACTGGTGCTGTAAAACTGTAGCACCATTTGACGAAAGACATAAATCTGGAGGTCGTTTAGGAAGCTCTGCTAATAAATCTTGCTGTCCTGCCGGATTTGAGGCTATACGGGATTGAACTGTAAAAGCCCTTCCTTGAACCCTGGGGATCCCACACAGTAGAGCGATGCACAGATGAATTTGTACCATTTGAACAACATAACAACCTCTGCACACAAGCTACAACTCGATCAAGCACAGTTCTTTGACAGAGAGCCTAACAAAGTTTCATTTGCGGAAGTAATTTGCATTGAAAAGTGGCTTCGAGGAAAGACCCAAGAGTCATGGGAAATGTATAGTTGCCAGAATTCACAGGCTATATATCATTATTAAGGATGAAGAGAGGGGTGTATGATACTCAGCTTACCTCTCGTGAGGCTGCTCCAGGGATCTGAACACTGCTGCTCCCACCACCAGGTACAGAACCACCAAAAGAAAGATTGCTGTCACCGTCTTCCATTTCATCACTGTGGCAACCACCTGCAACACTTCAACTGATCAATCAACCCACATATACACACAGGAGCCCCCTCCCCAAATTACCTCTCATATCTGGATTTCGGTTTATTTCTCTCACCTCACTCTCCTGGCGGGGAGACATTGTGATTGGCTTGGTGGAGAAGGAGAGGCGGGGCTTACTGTTGTGAGTGGCGGATTTAGGGTCCAATAGGTCCGGAGCTGCCACTGTCAGGGGAAATGAAAAATGGGATTGAGATTTTTTTTTTTGCCCTCGCATTGTTCCCCCTCTGTGTCTCTGCTCGCTTACTCATAAAGCAGACACGTAACATTTTAGAAGTCCTTAAGAAATCGCAGATTTAAATCTGGAAACTTTTGAAAGCATGAATCAAGTACTGACTTTTACTCTGACTTTTAGCTTGTTTTTTTAGGTATTTTCCATGATGCAACATATGTCATGCAGCAAGAAGAAAGAGAAAGGGGTCGAGAGAGTTGTGTGTATATTCAATGTAAATTGAATGTAGAATGTAGAAAGATGTAGAAATACAAAGTCAAGACTGAATAAGGAAGACAGTTGATGTGTCCCCCCCACTCATAATAATAAGTCGGTATTATGAACAGAGCGAACTAGACTAAGAACATGTTGCATTTGCTGTTCAATTAGTTTTCAGGCAAAGAGAACGGAAAGAGACGCATTTCTCAGTCTCTCAGTTTATACAGTTAGTTTAAATGTTGTCTGTCTTAACTACTGTGTCACTTTTTTAACTGGGTTAGACAGACCAGGCTCCCACAGCGGTACATTTGATTGAACCGACTTATTGTGTTTATCATTTTGAAGCTGTCAAATCCAGAAAAAAAAGCCCAGCCGTTTAGAAGTAAAGTGGTTTTATTTATCTGGCATTAACTTGTATTTTCTATCATTCAGAGCCTGATAAAGAAAGTTAAAACATTCCTTCTATAAAAAGTGGATGCATTACCAGTGTAAGCTGACATATACTATTTTTCTTCACTATTCTTAGGCACTATCCACATTCATGTTTGTGTATTACACTGAAAACATTCATCCTCCATCTATTCATCAATTCCCCCTCACTCAATAAATGGCTGAAGGGCTCTTGGACCCTTGTGTTTTAATGTGCATACCCGCTGGAACCTCTATGGGTCAACCTCATACTCACTAATCAGGCCATAATAATCTGACCCTGGTGGCCCCGTCCCTGTTGTGCGGCTCCATAGCATGAATATGTGTGTAGATGTGTGAGTGTGTGCAGTGTGTATGTGTGTGAGACGTCTGGAGAGGGGGGTGTATGGAAGAGGAGAGCGAGCAAAGAGCAGCAGAGACGAGGGGACCATCAGGAGGTGCAGTCTATAGTCTATTCAGGGTCACTTTGTCTCAAGTCATGATTAAAATGGTACATTTGGGCAGAAGTGACATCATTACTAAACCCAAAAGACCAAAGGAATAATTTTACAGGATAACTTGTGATGTTTCCTGAGTTAGAAAGAAATGGACATAATCCCTCCCAAGTAACCATTGGTATTGTATCCACAAAATATTCTTAGTCAGAAGTGAATATGGCTTCCAACACCTGAGATGAATTACAATAAGCATTATTTTTTATTTTTATTCTACTAACCCATTGCATTAGCATTTCATTTTACTTTATTTTATTACTTGTGCACTGCTGTCTTGTCTGTCTACCGTCGCGCACTAACCGCCAAGACAAATTCCTTGTATGTTTGGCATATTTTGGTAATAAATGTTTCCTGATTCCTGATTCCTGATTTTATCTTTAAAAAATTCAGTATAATTCAGGGTTACTGCATAAGCATTCTGTGATTCACAATCACACAGCTTCACCTCTCAGTGGAGAAGTGAGTCAAGTTGAACAACTTCAAAACCACCTTATTATTTCTACTCCAATATGTCCTGTGGTGCATTAGAACAGCTCAGACGGGGTAAACAAAGGTCACGCATAGGTCACGCATAGGTTTGTGCACTTACTCCTTGTTGTTGCCTATCCGATGCCCTCCGCTCTCCTCTTCTCCTCATTCGACACTCTCACTGCGTTTGGGGGAATCTTTCCTCCTCTGCGCGACGGAGCGGGGAGACGAACAAGCGCTCCTCCGTTTTTTTCTTGCGCTCCTCTGCTGTCCTCGGACCTCCGATCGGACCCGGCGAGCTGCTCTCACTGCATCCACAGCTGCCGCGGAGGAGCTCTGCTGCGGTCCCCACCTCTCAGTGCCCGAGACTCCGCCGCGCGCTTTTGAGCGATCCGCTGCCTCGGTGGGGCAACACCGAGAGGGGGGGTTGCAGAGGTGGAGAGGGGGGGTGGGGGGAGGGGGGGGAAGAGGTGGAGAGGGGGGAGGGTTGAGTGGGGAGAGAGGGGTAGATAGGGGGACAGGGTGTGGGGGGTGCCGGAGGCAAGGAGGTGGGCCCCAGACTCTTATTTCAGTTTCAAAAGGACATAACTCCATATTTTGATGTTTTTTGAACGAATTCCTCCTTAATATAAGCAGAGACCAGATCATGATTTTGTGCTAAACGTTTATGACCAAGATCTACTTAAAGCCGATCTCTTTGGCTTGTGACGCCTTTTCACAAGTCTCTTAACTCATTGTGTCGAGTTACAGCTCCACCTAAACCACGTGTTTGGACTTTTAGAACTTGAGATGCTGGAGGCAGAAGAGGCAAAAGTATCCTGTTTTTTGCAAAATAAATAATAATTTGTCTGATCGTCTTAAGAGAAAGGAATTCCTTTCTCTCCTCTTCCTTTCATTCTCCTCATTGCTACAATCAAACACCTGTTAATTGCTTGAGGATATAAAGCTTTGTTGCTGTCATCATTTCACAGATTTTTTATTTATTGTGTCATTCTGGAAAGAAGAAAGGCAGAATTCCAATTATGATTTTTTGGATGTATTTGGGTGGTGGAAAGAGGCATTAACGCGATGGAGACAAAACATGCTCAAATCATCCAACCGCCATACATTAAACAATCAAATGAATCAATCCGAGGATGTAATAGTTTTTGTACTGAACGGATATTCACAAAACTACCTGTGTTCTCTTTGTGTGTTTGACTTTCTAAACTACAGCAATTAATCTGCTCTCTGGAATAATCTAGAATTTACACATTTACTTGAAAAAGATGCTTCTTTTAAAATAAATGATGAGCACTGGTCCGGTATCATCCGTCTCTGGTCCTCTACTGGTCTCCCTCTCTTTCTTTTACGTTCTGTTAGACTTTTTCTTGGCCTCTCTTCCCCTGATGAGATATTAATAGCAGTTTAAATGTTCATGTTTTCACCTCATGACTCAAACGTCTAAACATTAATCAGACGCCTATTTATGCAGCTAAACATAGACAATGTTGTGACTGGCTGGGCCTCACTGAGTGTGTGTGGGATGCTTCCTCTGTTACTGATACCCCGCGTATACCTGCAAAATATACTCTGTGAGTGTGTGTGTGTGTGTGTGTGTGTGTGTGCGTGTGTGTATGAGTGTGTTAGAGAGAGAGCATAATTTGAGTGACAGTCTCAGTCTAAATCTGTCGACACACCTGCTGCTTGGTGTAGGCCTGCTTTCTGACATTGTGCTGAACCTGCTGATAAGTAATTGCGGAACATTTTCTGATATATTATAATGTTGCGCTGATTTCGAGAAAAATAAAAGAACCACAGAAAGCGACAACAAATCTTTGAATTGAATGGAGGGAATCAATTCAGCAATCACGAATGAGGACAATCACTTATTAATTAGAGGTTGTTGACTTGTGGAAGGTGGATTATACACAAATGAAAACATTTGTAAACTTAATCATTTAAAGCAACTGCAGGAACTTTTCTCGTGTTTTGGAAGCAACTTAAGGATGCAACTTTTTATTTTTGTTTCAAGAATAGCTGGCAAATATAGCGATGAGGTGATTTATCTCTTTCTTTCTGTATACAATTTTAATATGTAGATGGAAAACCAAGTCAAGTTTATTGTATGTGTCATTTGATATCTAAACTACACACAGAAAAGGATACTTATGAATCATGCTTGATAGAAATATTATTTCAGTTGTCTTGTACGTGCCTGTGTCTCTGCATATCTTTGTGTCTCGTGCTGCAGCAGATTGATTAATGATAGCAGTCATTCCGGTGTATGATAATAAGTGATGCTACTTAGTCATAGTCAATTTACACAGCAGCAACCAAAATAGAATTCTAATTTATGTGTATTTTCCATCATTTGTTATGGAATCTATTTGAAGGAATTAAATATATATATATATATATATATATGTATACATATATATGTATTACTGCAATGAAATGAAATCATGGAACAATTTGTGCTCCACTGATCTGATTGTGTTTAAACATTGTACTAGTTTTACTATTCTCAGGATCATAAAGCCCAAAGTACCGTGTAGACTTGTAATTATGAACTAACAAAGTGAACGAAGAACAACAGCAGCTGACTTGAGTCTGATTTTTAATTTTGTGCAACTGTGTCAATATGTCCATTATTTTCACATTCATACAGAAACACACAGTATCTATCGTTACCCAAAATAAAACATAGTAATAGCAGAACTTTTAGTAAAAAATGGACTCGTACCTCCAAGTGAGTTCACACATTTTCCGACTGAACATATTTTTTTGTGCTCACTTGTGCTCAGGTTTTCATCATACATCATCCCAACCATTCAAATAACCACTAAGGGGTTCTGTACATTACTAAATCATTGTCTTGCACCTGTTCATGACTTTGTCTCTATTTGTGTTTCTACGTGTGTGTGTGGGTGTGTGTGTGTGTGTGTGTGTGTGAGTGACATTGTGCGCGGGCACTCTGCAGCAGAGTACACGTGAGCAAACACAGTATGTGTACTGCATGTACATGTGCATAGGTGTATCTCACTGGTGATTTGTCCTGACATTGTGGTGCCCCCTCAAATGCCTGCGGAGAAATGACCCTCGGTTCCTGGACACAAGCCTTCAATTAGACGACAGTGAGGCGGAACGACCCTCTGCGCGCCTGCGTGCGTTTGTGTGTGTGCAAAAAGTACAGTACGCGTTTCCATGTGTGAGTTTGAGTTTTGGTAGAAACGGCACACTGTTTGTGTGTGTGTGTTTGTGTGCATGTTGGTCAGTGTGTGTTTTCTGAAGCCTCACAGAATCACTGCTTCCTTTGCTCTTCCAGTTGTGATGACCTGAACTCCCCGAGGCCTTAGCTTGTGGAATGTGACAGCAACTATTTCAAACACACTCATGGTATGGAGCTGTCCTGTGTGTTTGCGCGCGCATGTGTGTGTGTGCACGTTGCAGGTCTCCCAAAACCTTTGACTCATAGGACCCAGACAATGTCTCACAATCAATAGTTGACAGGATCTAACATTTTCCTGTTCTATCCATTTTCTTCTGGTCACACAGGTTCAGTGTTGAAGTCACAACAAGGGGGTTCCCCCTACGTTCCCCCTACTTTTTAGGTTCCCCCTACTAGGGGGGAACCTAAAAAGGGTTAAAATCTGAAGATTTTTTTAAAATCACATTTCAGTATTTTCTTACTGAAAATTAGCAGCACTACACGTTCTACTTCTCCATATACAGTTGAATCAATAGATTGAGTGGAATCAGTGTCGATCGATGAACATGACTTAGCAACAAGCTTCATCCCCAAGAAGTAAAAACAGACTCCCTGACATGAATCAGCTTTGAGCCTCAGATGTGTCCGTGCAGTGAGAGTGGCTGTTGGTGTTGGCACAGGAGGCCCATGCGGTGGATATCAATGCTAGTAGGACACGTCCACATGAGCAGCAATGACTGTTAATATTGCCATTATCACGGTAAGCGCCTGTTGATATTATATCGGGGTCCAGGGTTAAAAATAGCTTTCCTAGTTTTGACTGTTGGGGCCAGGGAATAGTGCAAACTAATCCTTGTTACATAACTGAAAACTGCAAGGAGGGTTTCTGTATAGCGTGCGTGTGTGTGTGTGTGTGTGTGTGTGTGTGGGGGGGGGGGGTGGTATGTGTCCAACAGTGTGCAGACTTGTGTGGGTATGCATATGGATGCACTTGGGCTATGCTAAAAACAAACAGAGCCATGCAGTAGCGTGACATGGTGCTGGGAAGAGGGAACAGTCATCGGAAAATACCCTTCGTACTCAGCAGCTGAAGTTTTCGCCAAATTTTAGAAGGGGAATGAAAACCCCACAATATTTTCCATGTTGCTGCTGGTTTTGTGGTGCTGCTGCATGGTCTGTGTACAGTACGCGGGGAAAAGGAATATCTATGGCATGCAGAATCTCCAAATCAAAGAAGGCAATGTCATGTTCTGGAATATGTGCGTGGCAAATGTATTTGGCGGGAGTCACACATGTCTCATTGCACCTGACCGATGGTCACATACAGAAGGGGAACATCATTGAGGTTTATAGCAGTTAAAAGCTATTAATCATTTATCTCTGACACAAATCGATCTAAACTGTGAGGGATGATGTATCTTCAGCGCTCTGGCTTGGAAATTTTGACGAAAACTGTGACATTAACACATGTTGGCTATTTCTTGTGCATTGACTGATCTGACGAGAGCGTTATTGTTGAATAAAACTATTGAAACACAGTGCATGCCGCATAGTTCAGTGTCCTCCTCACCTGATCTTGCACAACACACATGGGATATTTTTTATTAAGGAACCTGCAGTGAAATGAATGTGTCAGTATAAAAACAAGATTTTTACCATACAATTAATTTATGTGTCAAATTTCTCCCCATTTTAATTCTGTAACTTTCTTTTTTCTTAGTCGTTCTGGAACCACTTCTGCATGTCCTCTCTTACCTCAGATGTGGGTCGTAACGCTCTTCCGTTTGACCGTCACTTTTCCTCAAATTCAACAACTAACTGAAAGTCACCAGTGGATCCATCCGTGGTCGGTCTGCCTCCTGGAGAATGTGTGTAGCTACAATGTCTGTCCATCCCAGTCAGAGTGTGAGGCCTGTTTATCAATAACTCCATGAAGTTACAATTATGTGTCATAATCTGTGCTAAGAACCTGAATTTTCTACTGTTTCTGTGTTTAACAAGAGAAGATAAATGTCCCCTTTTTAAATATGTCAAGTGAACATTCATCCGTGCTACGTGATAGAAAACACATCCCGCTTGGTGGGGGGCCAGTGGGAGATTAGCTTGATAATTAGAGCTCAAAAGTAGGACCTGATACGGGTAACGCACCTCGATCTGTAAATATGTGTGTGTGTGTGTTTTTGTCTGTGTTTGTTTTCAGTGGCACATTAGTTTATTATATTATACTTAGTTTAGCTATTGTAATTTATTTGATTAATGACAATGAAGGCATTTCAACCTATCACACATGTCTCACATAATGAAATTATTATATGTAGTGTTTGGATTTTCAATGAGTCGGACACATTCATTGTAAGTCTGCCTATTAAATAAGTACATACCTACTGGTAACCGAGCAGCCTCTGTGGTATTTTCTGTCAGACAATTCGTTCTCAGCGTGGCATGTTTAACAGTTTCTCTAATAAAGCATGATCTACTTATAACATTTCTAATCTCTTCAATTATTTTCTAGAGTGGGCCACACTTCATCATACAGAGCTTACCAGCATTTCAATTAGAGTGTTAATGTGACATCTTGTGGTCCAACAGGTGCAGTGCAGACCTTTTCTCTCAGGCAACTTCTTTATTTCAGCAAATGGGTTTTCCAATTTGCTAATTTACTTGATTTCGTTTTTAAAGTCTGTCTGTGTTTTGGCTTATTGAGGCCCTGTCCCTCTAATAACTATATGTAAATTGTATACCTTCTTGGTGATCACATTCATGCCCATGTCGGTATTTTCAGGGTAACTGTTGATCTTAAAGTCAGGTTGTTGTTGCCTTTCATTTGTGAGCTCTATTTTTTAAACAGTGTGTTGTTCCTTTATTAAAGTGGCAGTAACGCTGGAAATGTTGTCTTTTTAAATAATTTGATATTTACAAACGCCCTCAAATTAAAATGAATTTATCATTCCAACTAAGGAGAATAAACCTTTTTACCAAAAAAGGATCAGACTACACATGTGCACGAGTACAAGTTGGGTTTGATAAACAGGGTGAAGAACTGCTGCTGAAGAGGTTTCACATTAAACACTGTAATTAAATAACTGTTTAATGAAATCTACACTTCTGTCATTTAATAATTATAAGCAAACAACTTTACAGATCATCTGTTTTATATTATGTGTTTCCTTCTCCTGTTTTCCTTTCTCAAAGACTAGGAAAGGTTTGTTGAGCACCAGATCCATTGGAGGCTGCTCACAATGGCGTGTTTTCAAAGTTCCTTTGCTGTTTTTCCAATGAATATTCATCCATTTTCGTTTTTGCTTAAGAGCGACCGTTTTCAGCGGGACAGAAAATGAAGATCCATGTGACCACACAATATTTCAGTCACTTGTTTTTGCACTCTGACTCCTGCGGGAAGAATGGAAGAGAGAAACCGCCTTCACACATATTAAGAAACACGCAGGCCTCCACTTTGCGCGCTCGCTCCGCCCGCGTCACCGGGTCCGTGGGCGAGAGGACGTGGCGCGGCGGAAAACCCGGAGAGAGGAGCGCGCACACAGAGCGACGCGGCCCGCGCAAGCTCGCTGACACGACAGCGGCTGCGTGCTTCCACGTGGACCCCGTCATTGACCCTAAACACTCCGGTCTCCGTGGCAGGGCCCGGGTGCGCGCATGCCGCCGCCGTTGCGCAGTGCAGACCGCGGTGGTTACATCGCGAGCGGTGGGCGGTGCGTGCGATCCAGAGGTGTTCTCCAGATGTGAACCTCGGAGCGCGGACCTGCCCGAGCGAAAAGCGTTTTTCTGTCCACGCATCTTCTGCGCAGACAGGTAGGTCCGCTGTTGCCCACCAGCGATTTAGAGCATCGCGGGTCTCTTATTTACAAACACGCACGTACTCATGCTGGAAGAAGCGTGCGCGCCGCCGCCGCCAGGCTACACTCGCGCGGATGCGTGTCGCTTTGTTAGCATCGCTGCTACTCCTCACGAGGAAGCTCCTGTCACGTCAGCTGCAGTCTCGTTATACACGCGCCATTAGAGCATTGTTGTCTGTGTCTGTGCGAGTTGCATCGGAGACACGCACGGACCCTCTTTGGAGGGAGCAGGTGTGAATGTAAATAAATCCATCTGACTCTCAGGCTGCAGATGCATCCAAGCAGCCACATTGTTGAGCGAACTGTCTCTTATTTCTCAAAGACAGAGCAAGTCCATGTATATTCTGTTGTTATTGTATTATTCAGGATGTTGTAACTTGGCTCTGTGCTTGTAGGTGTGTTCATGGAGTCTCATCTGGGCAGCTTGGTCCCGTGTGTCCTGTCCCTGTCCCTGTTAATACACGTGTGTCCCGCTGCACCAGGTGTCCCTGGGACACAAAGGTACCCGTGCCGGCTCTACAAGGTCTCACTCTATTTGGTCAAACAAACCAAGACACAACAGTTTTTTTCAGGCCTTTTCCTTGAATTAATCTACATGTTTAGTCTACTTTTAAAGTTAAGGGGAAATGATTTTGCACTAAGAAGATGCAACATCAGAACGGACCAGATCAACACATAAAAGTGTATATTTGAAGAAGACCTTTGCAAAACGTAGCAAGTGAAGAATGCCTCATGTGCTTAGGGGTGTACAGAAAGTGAACCAAACTTTGTTTCACTTCGCTTCATTCAAGTACTGAGATACAAAACATCTAAGTCAAGGGAATAATGACAACACGTTTTATATTGTATTTCAGGGAGGAATCGGTTAATGGCCTTGACCCTCCAGTGGAACTAGCCAATCCATTTGGCTCCGGAGACCGCAGGTGAATAACTTACGAGCATGAAGCTGCTTTCACAGCTGCACCTCATTTTAAACTGTGCATTTGCCCTGAATTGCTTTCTTTAAAAGAGAAGAGCGAATCTATTCCACATTTAGAAAGACTGTCAATTCAGCTTGAAATCTTTTACTCAGAGGGGGCGATGAAGTATGTATCACATTGAACGGAGATATATACAGTCTACTCTACCCTAGTAGTACTGATCTGCATGTGTGCTTCTGTGGAGCGTAGCTGCTCTCCGCTCAGTCTGTGGACTTTGGCAGCTGTGTTGTGCTAATGATGTGGCCACCGCCAGACACTGATAAGATTACACGTGCAATAACACTTAATGCTTTATGTTGACATCGTGCAGTCTTTTCCTATTCATGAAGATAGAGGAAATCTAGAATGTCCTCATTTAAATACGAAAGCTGAGCTTTTGCATCGAAGCCTGCAGATCTTTTACTGTGTGGTAGTGTGAAGTTACAGTTAATGAACCACAGATTCATTCAGGAAACAAAAATTGGTCATAACTCCATATTGTTGAGGCAAGTGGAAAATCAGCACATACAGGGATAGTGTCTCTTTGAACACGATGCTTTTGGGGTCACTGCTGTACCTTCAGGGCAGGTCAACTGGCAGAGAGAACAAGAGCAAATTACCGAGAAATAGCAAAGGGATATTTGACAAAATTCAACATTTAGATCCTTCTTTTGTCTCTGAGACTGACTGCGTTAGTTCCTTGCTCCTAATGTTTAACTAATTCATTTGTACCTTCTCTGTCCTGTTTATACCACAGATTGCTGCAAAGTTACATTCAATCGAGTCTGAGTGATGGACAAGGAGGACCAGAAATCAACACCTGGGAGCAAGGTAGACACCTGCACGTGCTGCTTTAACCCTTATATAAGGTCTAACACAAAAAGATGTCCCATTCACCATCAAGGCTAAATATTTAAAAGGCTCTAATCATTTACTCAGCATTACTGAACTATAATATACCGCACAACGTACTCTGCAGTCATACTTCAGGGGCGTATCAAGTATGTTTATTAAACACGTCGGCCTTCTGCTTTTGGTCAGAGGTGTTCTTCCTGTTTGGTCTGTATGACTACGATCGCAGTGGGCTGCTGGACGGCTTGGAGATGATGAAGCTACTCTCAGACTATAACTCCCATCATCCACCTGGAACCGCCACCAACAAGCTGGTGAGGAAGAATGTCTCATCTTACGTAACCGACAACGTCATCATTTCTGTCCTGTTGACCTGACCTCGGTCGTGTGTCTGACTCCAGGTGGTGTCCATGGTAGATTTTTTACTACAGAGTCAAGATGTCAACCAGGACGGCCTGTTGGCGCCGTCCGAGCTGCTGTCTCCCGCAATAACGCACACACAGGTAACACAGGCTCCGCTAAACACCACGGATTGAAAAATAAATATGAAGTAATGTTTCTTCAATTTTTTGGACATAGCAATCCCAACTCATATTCCACTTTCTTTTTTTTTCAAATGTATAAAAAATATATATATTACATAAAAAATGTTTGTGTACCTAGACTTCATTATTTGGTAAACTGTGGGTTCATTATAATACAGAATATATTTACAGAGCATATTTCCCGCCTCTCCTTTGGGTGACTGCAGTAACAACTCACATTTTCCACCACAGGACTCCAGCATCAATAACGCACCTCAGGGGGACGTGGCAGCAGAGGGGAAGCTGTCTCACCCGGGCCCCGGCGAGGAACAGGCAGGGGAAGCTGCACCCAGAGAGGAGGCGCATGAGAAGTTGCAGCATCAAGGTGAAGAGCAGTTAGAGGTTCAGGCGGAAGAAGATCACGTAGTGGATGAACCTCCTGGACAACAAATGCCAGGACCACCGGCAGCGGAACACGGACAGGGCCACAAAGTCCCGGTTCATCAGGGGCAACCAGAAATGTGAACGCACACATCGTGCTCCACATCATCATTTTCTCCAGAGTCAGCCGAAGACTGTTGATTCAAAATTCAAATTACCACTAAGGGGAACTCTTAATCCCCCACAAATCTGTCTCTAGACTCGATTTTTGAATTGAATTGAATTTGACTGTTTAACACTAAGGTGGTTGTTTAATGAAAAGCTACATGTGTTAAAAGTATTGTCTCTTTTCAAACCAAGTTTCTACACCCAGTAACTAATCGTTACAAGTGCAAATATTTCTATACCTGTAAAAGGGGCAACGGTCCTGGATTCGAAATGCAATATTACTTAAATTAGTGACAGAAGCCATCCTTAATGAGGATTACCGCATTGCAATATTTGTCTTTTTCCAGTTCATTATCTAATGTTAAATCATTGTATTTTTTTTCTTCAATTATATTTATTTTATCTTTTCTGGGATCTTTTGCATGAAAAATGTTTGCATTTTGCTTTTCTCTGCACTTTTCTTATGTGCATCCTGATGGGCCTCATTGCGTCTGCCTCTCTTCAGGATTATGATTTGCACCTAATAGTTATGCACCAGGGGCCATTTGTATGAAGTGAGGCTTATTTAGGTCAGTCCGACTCATTTTCAGTTTAAAAAAGTGTAACAACGACCACGACTGTGGATTTTACTTTTTTACTGACTTTCTGAAGTGATGCCATATTGTTGGACTTTATTAACCACTAGTTGAAGTTGATGAATAAATGATACAATAAGGAATGCTAAGACAGACAGACATGATTCTAATTAAATGGGATCTGATATCAAACGTAAAGGCTTATATCTAGCTTATATATTAGCCTTTATGAACTTTACCCCAATGTCATGATAGTAGTCACATCAAAAGTTAAGAGGTATTGCAAACGTTTTAACGGTTTGTGTTCTGTTCTTACTATTTAAATGTATTGGCCTAATATTTAATTTGATTTTATCTGATTATTTGATTACAAATCTAATCTATGATTACTGTTATCTAACCACCCAAATGCACAAAACGACAGCAAAGCGATATAATTTTTAAGAGGTCTTCCTCATGTATTATCTAAGGGAATCAGTCTAATCTCAAATCAAATCAAATCAATTTAAAATTAGGTTAATAAAAAAGATAAAACATTAATTTGCATGATCAGCAAAGTCAACGTTTATTTCTTTTGATGCACTTGTTAAAGATCTAGTATTTTATTTTGGTTTTATTATACGTGAATTAGTTGGTAGCCTTGGAAATACAGATCAATATTGAGCTCTTATTGTGTACGTAATGAATTGTAGTTTTGTTTTTTAATCTTCATTTGAAAGTCAAATTCAATGTTTATCTGCAAACTGGAATTTGTTTACAGTACGAAAGCCCTGGTTTACTATTTGTGGTCATTTCGGTTGTTTACCCTTTTCAGCCATTTAAAAAATAAAATAAAAGCAAAAATGTCTATGCCCCCTTTTCCTTTCATTCCGTCTCCTGTTTTTAGAATTTTGTCAGAAAAAGAATGCATCTGTTAAAATGAAAACACAGGGTCCCATTTATCCTGAAGTATCACAACTTATTAATAAGATACTTGTAAGATGCTTTGAAAAAAAATAATTTCACCAATAGAATACCGATACATATACAGAATGTGATTTTTAAAATTAAGTTCTTATTACATATTGTTGCATCTCCACTGTAACGGGCGAGTAACATCGCACCTGCAATGCCGTCCTGTCCCAAGTTTTATGTCCACTGTCCTCGCTGTGCCCTTGGTTCTGACGTCACATTGGTTTCCACACTCATGTGACGAAGGTCAGCTGATCATGTCGTGGCTGTTTTGCACACTGTATGCAAAAGTAGGGAAAGTAGAAGTAGACCAGCCACCAACATCTATTTCTTTGTTTAAAGAAACAGATTTCCATTTGGATACACCCACCTGGTAACAACGTACTGCATAGACCTCATTACTGATTTGTTTTATGTATTGCTTAATTATGGTATGGTAAATAATCTCTGCATTTGTAACGTTTTCAGAAGTTTTAAGTCACTGCACATGATGCACTTATTGGTCGTTGTATCATTTTACCATCTGCATAAAATCATCAGGCGTACTATAGTCAGTCATTTTTTTCAATCAAAATATGACATTCATTTTTACAAGAGCTATTCAGTCGAAGTTACTTGGATTATAAATGTTACACTATATAACTGTATTTTGAAATGTAATGAGGTTATTCATTTCATAAGACTGTGTGCAGCAAATAGACAAATAGGGGAAGCAAATTGGTTTATGTGTTCAGTTTTGTGAATGAAGGAAACCACGAGTTGACAAAGTCGGGGAAGTGTTTTTAAGTCCAGAAGACCAAAACCGTTTGCAGCCATGATAGCAGTGAACGCGTGAATCAATGATGCAGAGAATGAGAACATAAACAAAGCAATGACTGCTGTATCAGCGTAGCATTTTATCTGTTGTGACTCTGCATTGAATAGTTAACATGCATGAAACATTCAAACCCAGCTTGGAAACAAGGATGGTACGACTTATCTAAAGCTTCGATAAGTATATTATATAGTAGCAAACAAGCAGTTCTTTCTCTGAACATGAATGCACTTTGAAGTTAATTCACAGTAAAAACACGACCCGTAACTCTTCCAATCACTGTGCAAGACAAAAACATCAGAGAAAAAACATAAGCCTACAGTAAAATAATTAAATATTCCCTTTTCACTAAACATCAAAACTGAACAGAATAAGGCTCGTTTAAGTTCAAACACAATGATAAATCAGAAGCATTCAGGAGGAAACATTTAAAGTGATTTCTGTAGTTCATACTTGGTGGATTGTAATGAACAAACACGTTCCTCAGCAAAAAGGCGCTTTGATAAGTATGTTCAAAAAAACATGCAACAATGTAATCAAGAAAAAATGAGAAGAATTAATTCATATTGTATGGAGGAAATGAATGAAACAGCGATGGAACGTTTGTAGAAAGCGCTGCAGTGAAACAGGAGTCGATGGCCAATCAGGCACGGACACGTTTTCATCTATAGATTTTCTCATTAGCCGGCATTGAATCCAATGAAGAACACACACACATTTACGGTGCGGTCCAATATTTCACAGATAATGGAATCCATGGCAACAGCACAGCTTTGTGTGGAGCTTACAATAAAACAGCAAAAACAAGAGAGAAAGATGTTCCACTTTATGCATCATATCACAAGAGAACTTTAGGAACTCCACACTGGTTATTTGGTCCTTAAAGAGTTAAAAAAAAGACGAGAAATGAGACAGGTGAAAGTTGGACAAAGTAACAGAGGAAAGAGTGACGGAGGTAGACAGGGAGTCTTTGACATCATACCAAGCTACCAGCAGTGGTCTCTTTACACGGTTTTGCGGTATTGCACAGAAACGGACGCTGAGAGGAAAGAGAATCCTAAACAAACAGAAGACACCTTTTCACATATAGTAGGAAGAACAGGAGGTGATGACATCACTGGCTCACTACGTTGAATCTCTTTTCCTTTGATAATGTATTACATGAGGGAAGGAGCAGGACAGAAGCTGCTCATTAGCTTCACGGTGCCGATCGCGCCACCTTACCAACCTGACCGCAGTGGTGGGAGAACTATGCTGCGCTATTCATTATGAGGAATTGCCCTAAAGTATATAATTGAATTGCAACTAGCGATGCATTAATGTTTTAATTTTGGAGCTAAATGTATTAGCTTTATATACTGCTGGGTATCCTAATTCATGTAAACAGATTATAATTTCTTAGTCAAGTTATATTTTTGATAAATAATGTAAATCTGCAAATGTATGTTAAGTTATCTAGCAAAAATGCAGTAATTGCTTCAAAAATGTAGTGCAAAGTAGAAGAAAGTGAAAATACCCAAGTAAGGTAAAAATGACCTTGAAAAGTTACTTTCCACCACTGCTGACAGGTGGAAACATGCGGCAAGGCAGGTGTGGCAAAAGCCCAGTTCACCCGTTCTGAGCTGTAAGCAGCAGTATTCTTAGGTAGCAGACACCTGATAAACGTGCTCCCTGAAAGCAAAAGATTCAGCGTTTTAAATAATTACCCAACTCTGCATAGCGGAGTCACTTATTGAAACCACGCAAAGAGAACTTATCCTACAGCTGAAGTTGTAAAAGATTTGTCAGCTACTAGCCGCAAAACAAAGCTTGATTTTTTTGTTGGACCTTATCCAAACCGTATCCCTCCTTATCTACGCTTTACTGAAGCCCAGGTCTTGTAAGGCCTCGGCGGAGTAGAGGAGAAGCGCTTGGTGCTGAGCCCATACAGCTCAAATCTCATGATTTACCTGATTAATAACCAACCCCCCCCCCCCCCCCCCCGCCCATCTGACTCCTCAGAATGACAGTACGCTTTGGTCCACATGGGATATATAGCCCCATACATTTCCCAATCATTGCATCCCATCTGGATCACGTCTCCAGAGTCACATATGCTGCCAACATGTAGTTAGCACCACACACACCCACACACACACACACGTCATATAGTTCTCATATACTTTATATTCTAGATCTGCAGCACCAGGCCAGCAGCTGAGATGTTGTCTCCTCCACCTGCGGTTTGGTAAACCTCGGTGCACACGAGCACGGGCGCCACACAGATCTCGTAGTCCTCTTCATCCCAGCAGCTGACCGGCCTGCTCTCCTGCAGCGGGATGCGCTGGCTGCCTTCCTGCCGGCTGACGGAGAACGAGTCGTCCATGATGAGCCTCGCCTTGCTGGGGTCGATGGCGTCGGAGCCACAGACGTGGCGGTTAGCCGTGAGGGAGGCCTTGGCGGTGGCCGACATGGTGTTCTTCCACTGGGAGCCGCGTGTCACGATCATGGCCTGAAAGGCCAGCGTGTGGACGTGGAGCCGAGTCAGCGGCTTGGCTTTGGCCCCATAAGTGTCACTTTCTTCACTGGCGTCCTTGGAGCGCTGGTTCACGATGCGATAGACCTCCCTCATCTGGTCGAGGACGGTGGCTACGCGAGGGTTTGGGTCCGACAACACGGTGATGTTGGTGCCTTTTAGCAGGCTGAGCAGGTTGGGAAGCTCCTGTTCGTTCATCCCTAAAGAGTCCGCCTGGAAGAGCAGAGGCAGGATGAGGGAGTCAACTAAGGGTTAGAGGAGAACGTGTCACTAACTTTCTTCATTCAGTCAAGTGTTCAGGTCTACTTACGTGGGGAATGACGTAGTGAAGTAGGTCTTCCATTATACTCTCCTCTACAAAACTGGCCATCTCAAAATGCACTCCAATGGATGGAGACGAGGAGGCCATGAGGCCCGACAGGCGGGAGAGGAGAGCGTCCCGCTCACCTGGAGTGACGATGCGCACAGAAGAGATTCAGACAAAAGGTAACCACACAATGAGGACTGAAGGAAACAAACAGGCTGGGGTACAAGGTGTATCTCACTCAGGAACTCATTTTACGCCTTAACTAAGCGTATCTCAAAATAGTATATGGGGTTCAAAAAATAGCTTTCTTCAATTCATATGCATATAATTTTCTAAAAATGGTCAACTGAAAAAGGTTCAGCCCGCTCTTATTTGAGTTGTGCGACACAGAGCAGCAGACGCCGCTGCTCAAAGAGATCTCAAATCAGAAGCGGGTAAAAAGCTCGTCTCTCACCTGCTTGGAAGGGGAAGTTATCCATCATTTGCAGCCCACCCACCACCAGCAGATCTGGTTCAAAGTCTTTAAGTTTCTCAGCAAACTCTGCCATGGAGTCCAGGTAGGGGTTGTGGTCATCGCTGTGGACGATGTATCTACGGAAACAAACACGGTCAGCGGCCAGTGTGCTAGAGGCTGAGACACACACACACACACACACACACACACACACACACACACACACACACACACACACACACACACACACACACACACACACACACCTTGTCTCTGCATTAAATGATCTTACACACATAGTTCACCTCAGTGACCCCTAATTACTAAACTAATACATACCTGTTGGCTCTACGTGAGGTATACTGACCCCAGCTAGCACCAGACGGATACTCCAGGATTAGATGAATGTCCGGCTCTTCAATTATGTTACCTGCCACTAAGAAGATAGTTGGGTTAGTACAGGCGGCATGGGAGCGAAGGAGGCAGGAAGGGCCGAGGAGACGCAGGTGGGTGTAGCAGTACGTGTCTTTTGGGCGTGTACCTGTTATGTGTGGGGACAGGACATCGGTAAAATCGGGGCTGAAACTTCCACCCAGCAAAATATCGCACCCCTCCGTTGCCATGCGACTGGCCATCACCGGAGCGTTTCCACCTACGGCCCACCTGTTTCCAGGGAGGTCCCGGGACGCTTCGACCAGCTCGCTGAATAGCGTATCATTCAGCATAAAACGCCTGCAAAAGAAACAAAGCACTTAAACATAAATGTGTCTGTTTTTTCATATATTTGTTGGTACGTATATATTTTGCATGAGAAATAGCTGGCCAGAGGAAATAAGTATACGGCTGCATGTATTCGCGTGTACGTTCTTTATAAATAAACCACTGAACATTCCTACTGGCATACGAGGGTGTTTGTGAGAGTGCATGTGACGGAGGGTGAGTCCGGAGCGCAGCAGCCCGAGGGCGTAACGGCTTTGCACTGTGTGCGCTTCATTTTCCACTTCTTTCTTATTCACATTCAAACAGGATTAGACAACAAGAAACTCGTAGAAAAAGATGTTAAATCAAAGCATGGAGAAGAACAAAGTATTTGCATGAGCGAACATTTATTTCTGTAATCATACTGTGAATTCAGGGTTTATCAACTAGACTGCAACAATCGGATGACAAACTAATAGTCACGGCAACACACAGACACACAGCACTTACTCTGCTGCAGCTCCTGGTGCAAAGAAGTAGGCAAAGCTCTGAGCCAGCTGCACTTCACTTTCTATGTAGTCGTGGTGCAGAGGCTGGTCGGTCGGAGGGACGCCGATCTTATTCAGCAACATCACCCCGTCCACTATCAGGTCAACACAACCCCCAAAACCTGTGGATGAGAGAAAGGCCCAGTGAGATCAACACCTACACATAGGAATCGTCTTGAAACCTGGGCCCATCGAGGAGGAGCAGATGAGGAGCTGGCCCCCAGGTCCTGCCCATGTGGCGGGATCAAATGACACTGTGATACGGTTTCTGCTGCGGGATCAAACATCCCAAACGTATACGTTTCCTCTTCTGTCAAGTCCGAACGAAGGTCACAAACATTGCGGTACAACAACCGCAGACGGCCTCCCTGCGTAGGCGACCTGCTGGGGAAGGCTGAAGGCAAAACACGGCTCTCACTTGACTGCTAGCTGCTATGTTTGCAACCGATTTCCAAAACGTCTCACTACAAAATGGCAGTCTGCAACATTCTTCTGACAATCTGCTGTAAAACAAAGAAAAAAAATGACCTGTGCTTATTTTGTAATGCGGCCGGCACCATTGGAGCATAATCATTGTGCTTCTTGGTTAGAAGTCAAATGGCAGGTATTTAGAATAGAATGCTTTTGGGGGGGATTGTGTGTGTTTTTGTATGTGAACATTCCTTCTGAGACAATGCAGATACCTTGAACTTGTAAAATAATAGCCGATGATGACTAATAACGAACCCGACTGCATGGCAGAGCCTGTTGTTGAACCGGTTAAAGGTTGGACGGACGCGGGGATCACCAAGATCAAAGTACCTGATTTAAGGATTAGATCATGACCAATAGGACACGGGTCACGCACGCCTTATGTTTGCTGAAACCTTTGTGAAGCGGTTTGTCCTGAGAGGAATTCCATCTCACATTACTGCTCATCTACCTCCTCCCAGTCACTATTTAACCTGTGTAGCTTAATCTGTACGAATGGAGCCCCCCCCCCAAACACACACACACAGGGGATGAGTTTACACAAAATACTGCAACCTGAGTGCCCATATTTGTTTACACTCCTTGTGGAGTGCTGTTGATCGAAGGAGGGTTTGCGCACAGAACCAAACTGGACCGAGACCTGAGTCTTGTGTCATCACGGCCTCTCGCTCCCTTTGTAATCTCCCTCTTCTGCTTTTTATCTGCTGTCGACATGCATTTGCTCAAGTCTCATTTCTGCTTCGTAATTTGCTGACGAACCAGACAAACTGGAGCAAACAGATTAGCTGACGTTGACAGGTAGCCAGTTTGACTGGTGCCGTTTATAATGTCAATAACGCGGGACTGATTGTTTAAAATTGAGTGAAACATCTGTCAATGTTAAAAAGTTAACGTGAAGTTAAATCACTTGATGTTTAGATCACGATTGGGAGCATTCGCGTTACGTTAATGCGTTAAACTCATAAATACGGAAGAGACTCGCAACGTCAATAACATCCGATGCGGAATAATTCCGGACACGATAAATGATTAAACCGTTAAAATAGGAGTCGTCTAAGCAGCGCTACCGGACGTTAGCTAACACCTCGGGCACCTACCGATCGCCACTTTGGGCTTGGCGACGTCGCTTACTCCGACCTTCCCCTCCGCCCGGAGCAACGAGGACAGCACGGTGTCCAGCCGGTCGTCCGGAACCGCGTCGTCAGGGGACCGAAACCAGACGGCCAAAAGAACCACGAACAGGGACACGACGGGCCCGTATTTCACCCAAGAAACCCTGCCTCCTCCCTCCATCGCTGAGCCGTCTGACTCGCTGCGTATAACGAACGAGCCGATCCGCACGCGCGACGCTGGGTGGAGCCGTGGGTTTGGGTTATTGGTTTGTTTTATAAGCCGGAGTGTCCCGGTGGTAACTCAACGATAAATACGCTACAGGATTGTTCATTCATTTATTTTTAAACCGTTGAAACGTGTTTATGCTGCGGTTGGGAACCAACTTCTACGCGTGTATGTGAAGTATGCTTTGCGTCTCGTTATCACCCAACCACCGCTGTCCGCCTGGGTAGAAAACAAGCGCCTTGCATTCTACTACGGAGGGGAGGGTTTGTTTTGCTGACAATGCGGATGTGCCAATCAGTTTTTTTTTTCGCTGAACATTTAACTTTGTCCCCACAAAGTACAAACAACATTTGTAGTTCGCATAGAAAATGTAATGTTTGTTACGGCTTTAGTCTACAACTCAAGTAGGGTTTTACTCACAACTACAAATCCATTCATCACATCTTCGCCCACATTTTCCTGTGTCAAGTCACATTACCAGCATTTGTATTCACGAGTTACACAATATTGGGAGCCACATTGTTTTATTAAATGTCAGATTATCACAGTTCTGTGCCAATATTTTGATTTATACAGGCAAACAATAAAAACATCCCATCACAAGTCAGTACATCCTAACATTATGGTGGCATTTGTGGGACAGAAATAATGTTGAATAAAAATATCAACTATGAAAGCTGTTAATTCCAACGGTCTTCGCTGTACTAGGCATATAGTCTTGTAATCATCTCAAGCATTGGCGGTGTTGCTCCAAGACACTCTCTGCTCGTGCCGAAAACGTAACAAATACACGTCAGAGAAAATTTGCATCAAATCACATGAGAAAAATTGAATGCACCTAAAACATTTAAAAAACATTTTCTTACTGTGCAACCTTGATTAGCATTGTTTTAAGAGATGAAGGAATAAGACCGTCAAACTAAACACCTTCAATAAAACAGGTGATTTGTGCTCCGGTACATATTCTATCTGCTAACAGATGAGGCGATGGTTGCTTTAGACTTGTTTCTGGCTGTTGTCAAAAGGAATCTACATACATTGTGTGCTAGGTGATCGGAGGGCTTTATCTTAAAAAAAAAAAAAAAGGAAAAAAAAAAAAAAAAAGGCCCAAGTAGCCCTTAAAGAGTTTGAAAAACTGGCGTTTATGTGTCGCTCTCTGCAGATCAAGTACCAACCCTGCAGCTCGATATCTGTAAGAGAAACAATCAGTAAGCCACAGATTTTAAGCTACATGCATAGCTTTATACCGTAGTTGAGGACTGCACAAAGAAAGCTGCTCTGACTTGAAATGGGAGCTACTGGGGTGGCACAGCTGTGAGGGCTCTGCACAAAGCCATGCTTTACGGTCAGGTTTATGACATTACACAAGGGAGGGTATATTGTCCAGCGCCCCCAGTGTTTGAGGCCAATATGATATATTGCCGTTACATAGATGATCTGGCTTACCTTAGAATTTATTTTGGAATCCCCGCCACAATCTCAGACTCGATACCACAGTGATCAGATCCTCGCAGGATCTTAAAGAATCCTGAAGACCAGAAACCAAACATTAGCCATTGTTCCTGGTATTTTTAAATATCAAATAGGGAGACGTTTTACTTGAGACTATTGGTATGTGCATTCAGAACCACACGTGCACATTTTCACGTGAAGCAGGAAAGTGTTCGTATACAATTATTAGCAGATAGCAAAAACACTATGCTAAAAAAAAATGGCATCAGCCAAAATGCACTTGGGTAACCACGTTTTAAATTGGTATGAAAGTTTGTGTTGCACCATACAACACCTGGCAGTGTATTAACAGGTAAACTTCATTAGAGTAGTCATATGTGATACATGCATATAAACATGACATTTTACACTGCATTTCATCCACGCTGAGCATTGAGCATGAGGAGCAGTGCGCTTTAAAGGGTCGAGCGAGTAACTTTATCTTCAGTGTCTCACTCGAGGACCCTTGAGATGCCAACAGCAGGGACTCTGAATCTTCCTTTCCCTTCATACATATAAATAGAAAGGCTACCGTTACAGGGACTGTATATGAACACTAGTTATAAATCACGCAGCTCTGCATACCGTTGTCCCCCCAGTCAGTGTTCCAGGAGTTGGCACAGAGCCAGTAGGGAACACCGTCCTCCTCTCCCCAGCCCAGCATCTTGATGGCATGGCCCCCAACGGCAGACCCAGACACATGCTGATAGACACCTGGAAATGAGGGCGAGAGGAGTGTACAAGCACTCAGCATTCTGTACGTTTGGAGTATTCTGTATCTTTGTAATGCAGTTTTATGTAAATGGTGGACATATACGTACCAGACTTGTACAGCACAAAATCTTCATAGACTGTGAAGGCGGCCTCTACTGGGCCATTCTTGGATATCTCGCTCTGAATCTGCTTCTCGTCTGACAGCACGGTGTAAGACGTTTTACCTGCAACAGTTTGGAATTAGGAGCCTGTGCAGTATGTGTATGTATAAAGAGATAAACGGTTTGCGTCATATTTGATAATTAAAAAAAAAAAAAAAAAAAGTGTAATGTGGTCAGCTTGATTGCATTCACATTGACTGACCAATAAAGACCATATAATAATTGCCTATCAATTCTAGATTATTATTGTTCCAATTAATTAGAGGTATTGGAGTATCCAGAATTTGTTTACAAATGTTTGTATGCATGCACAATTATCTTATAAAAGTTTACTAATCACATAAGTGCCATTTTGTACTGTATTGAGCAACAGTGCCCCATAGAATAAAATCCAAAAAGTTATACAACAATACTTCATAGTAACATCTTTCCAGGGAGAAAAAAAAAGAAAAAGTTTGGAAGTTTATTTTCCCTCCAGCTTCTTACCAAAGTGCTTGTCTCCTTTGTAGCTAGGTGTGTATCCAGCTTCACACTGGTGGACGCACTGGGGTGTATCTCCTCCTTCCCCAGAGCAGGAGGGTCTGCTGCCATTCACATGGTGTTCACAGGGGGGGATGGTGTAAGGCCGACAACCTGCACGCACAAAGAGTACGACACATGGATTAGAAACACACACACACACACACACACACACACACACACACACACACACACACACAACTCACCAATGTGGGAGTCATAGAGACCGCCAGAGACCAGCCCCTCATGGGTCCAGAAGTCCCAGGCAGCTGAAGGGTAGCCACCGTTGCATCTGAGTAGAAAAGGTTCTTTTTTTTAAACACTTACAAAAACACCAAATGTTCACACCGTACAATTCAGGGGCGCTCGACTAACTTCTCATTGACCAATGGGGATTCTGAATCATACTTGTCGCAGCTCTACTGGATCTGCTGATACCAATTATCGTTTTACAGTAAATAAAGGTCATTACGAGGATTCCCCTGGAATCGTCTCGCCGTCAGGTTGTGACCTCTGTGTTTCATGTGGATCAGATACATCATGGATACTAATTCCGTACATTGTCAGACCTTATCTGGTCATTAATGGAGCGCTCGTATCAAGTGAGATCATTCTCCTTCCATTAATGACCTAGTTATTCAAATTCAAATCAAGTGACAGTCCACATAAAGCGAATCACGGCAATCATCCAGTGGGGACAGTTGAAGACAGAACCAAGTGAAGACATTTGCCCCGTTGCGACCGCTCACCCCATGCCACAGCTCTCGCAGCAGCTCAGCAGATCCTCTGAGGAGATCTCCACGTTGACCTTGGCATTGCTGTGGATACACACTCTGTCGGAGATGGCCTCTGCGGCGCCGAATGCCTGCAGGGAGAAAATCAAAGACGTGACACAAACACAATTCAAAGCACGCAACTTTTTGTAATCAGAATGTTAACATTTAATGAGCGATGGCCTTGTTTACACTTATGGCCAGTGTGCCATAGTTAAGAGGGCATGCACCCCTGCACTAGAAATTCTATATAATAATAAAAATGAATAGCTCAACCACAGTGAAATGAGTTTTTATCTCACCCAGCAGGATCCACAGGAGCCTTGGTCTCTGACCTCCTGCAGCGTGGGGCAATCGGGCCACTGCTGTCTGGAGTCAAAGTTCTTGGGCAGATTCAGGTCTCCAGCATACTGAACCCTGCAGAACAAAACCACGTTAAGGAGTCAACATTTACGGCGCTCCCCTCCAGCTTTCCATCCCGGTGTAGGTCGACTGGATGGATTTTACACTTCGTGGTGGGCCGGTCGGGAGCAGAGGTTTCCGCGGCACTGAAACTACTGCACAAACTTCTACATACAAGTGTACTCACAACTACGCGATGTGCAGCGTGGCAAATAGTCACTCTCAATGTTATGCGTTACTAACGTAAAGTTCCTCTCCAGTGCTTGGAGACTCACATGACTGGCAGCTTCGGTCCCTTCAGCAGCGTCCCACAGAGTCTCTTGACATAACTGTAGTCAACATTATGGAAGTTGTGACCAGCCTGCGAGAGAGGAGGGAGATTAAGTCAAGTAGAAAGATGAAAAATAAAAGAAAGAAATGAAATAACTCACCTTCCAAGTAGTGTTGACCTTGTTGATATAGTTGACCATCTCACTGGACAGGGGTGTGAAGCGGGGTCTGGCCAGGCTTACCGACAAGCTGGCAGCCAGCAACAGAAAGGCTGAATGCCACATTTTGACTGAAAAATATAAAATGAAGGACGTTTATTCCATGTTGAGATTATATATTGAACGGCTCGGAGGCGCTAATGAGGACTAAAAGGGTTAAAAACGGCTCAGAAAGAGCTACCAGAAAAACATGCAGGTACTTGACCCCAAATGGTTGTGCATAAAGAAATATTAAAAACCCAGAATAAAAGTGAGTGTGGCTTTATCAGTAGATTCATAATGAGTCAGTTTATAAAAAAAGGTTTAACTGGAGAAAGTCATCCACTTGTAAAGAAATCCAAAACTGACAAAATACAGGGACATGGTTGAACAAACTTCTGAACCTGGAACAATGAAACCCCCCCAAAAACCACCCACAGTTGACTAGACGTCGAGGCTCTGGATGCAGCTACAAGTGGAAGGTGTGTGTGGGACCGAGGGGAGAGAGAACCTCTTCAGACCTCTCCAGTGGTTAAACATGTGCGTCAGCAGGCCGCACACCACCTGTTTAGACACGACCTTTTCCATTACAAAGAATACCAATGAAAAGTGTTCAATATCACATGACTGAGGCAAAGAAGTCTCATGAGCCAAACGTACACAAGAGGAAGTAAAACCAGATTGACTTATCAAACTGCTTTAGAATCTAAACAGGTCTTCAACACGCAGGTGTTACATCACATTCGGTTTTTTTTGGAGAAGTGGTTCCACCACACATGCAGTGAACTGCCTTGAAGCTGAAACAAAGAGTCGCAAGTGATTTTGGGGGAAGTGAGCCTTCAGACTGCTGGGAAAAAAGCAATTACTCACAGTACTCAAAGCCCGCTTTTACAACGGCTCCATTGGCTCGTCGGCGGTGCTCCTGCCGCTCAAACATTTAGCGAAAACAACCTCTCTTTAATCTCGGTGACTTGAGGCAAACAAAGATTAAAAAAAAAAAAGAAAGGGGGAAGGCCGTGTGACGTGTTTTCCCCTCAAGTTTGACATCAACCGAAATTAATGAGTCATCTAGAGGAGCCCCTTCACATGGCGTTCCTCTAGAGGAGCCCCTTCACATGGCGTTCCTCTAGAGGAGACCCTTCACATGGCGTTCCTCTAGAGGAGACCCTTCACATGGCGTTCCTCTAGAGGAGACCCTTCACATGGCGTTCCTCTAGAGGAGACCCTTCACATGGCGTTCCTCTAGAGGAGACCTTTCACATGGCGTTCCTCTAGAGGAGACCTTTCACATGGCGTTCCTCTAGAGGAGACCTTTCACATGGCGTTCCTCTAGAGGAGACCTTTCACATGGCGTTCCTCTAGAGGAGCCCCTTCACATGGCGTTCCTCTAGAGGAGCCCCTTCACATGGCGTTCCTCTAGAGGAGCCCCTTCACATGGCGTTCCTCTAGAGGAGCCCCTTCACATAGCTAGCTACCTTCGTATTCTTATTTTACGGTGTTTTCCACGCCTAAACTAACATTTAATCCAAAGATCAAAGGCCGAATGGATGACTTGGTTGTTCTCATTTACTGGCAGATACCGCTCAGTTCCTCATTCCTTGTCACAATGCAAAGGACCAGCTGACAGGAAGCGGGATCAATGCATTGATACAATAGTATAGAAAAGGTCCATATCGGTTTTGTGGCTGGAGATGGACAAACGTCACTTTTCCATGCATTTTGTATACCGTCTGATTGAAACCGTCGTAGTCATTTTACACAGATACAAATATATTCTTATCACTTGATCCTCCTGCTGTGTCCCCGACTCTGTAAACAAGTCTCTCTCTTTGGTCCCAGTCAGCTGAGGCAGAGGACACAATGGCCGCACACAACTCACTAAACATGGTTTCATTTTCCCTTCCCAGGTTGTAACAACGTGCTTGGCGGGTCAGTATTAAGTTTCATGATCATTTTAACTTGTGGTTTTAAGTTTAAGTCCTAATCATTCATTAAGAAAAGGGATCTTACACAAAAAATAACCCGGCTTTCAAACGATTATGTCATCCCTTCAGAAAACATGGAGACTAAACAGGGCCAGCGTTCAAAAACAGCGACCAATATTTGAGCTAAAAAGACAAAGCGGACTGACACCGCTTTCCCCTTTTGCACCAAACAAGTCAATTAGTAAAGAAAAGAGTTTGAGTGCAACACATTCTTTCACGTTAGCGAAGTGAACGCTAGCGGTTAACGGCTAAACGCGAGTAAACAAGCTTTAGCTTAAATAACGTCTCGCGAAACGAGGAACAAAGCAACGGGAATAAATCATTTACCTGCCAGGGGTTCGTCAGCCGAGGGCGTGAACTTTAAACCTCGGGCCGCTGGTTTGTGTCTTTGCGTGACTCGTCAACAATCTGTGATCGAGGGAAGTTGCTCCTCTTTATTTATGCACCGGACCACGTGACCCCGGTCACATGGCTGCAGCTCATGTGACCTGGAATCACACCAGGTCGGAAATCAGCACCCCCACCCTTTTCTGCCATAAAGGGAAACAACGGCGAGGGATAATGACGTGTCGCGTTTATTTAACACATTTATTTAATCTGTGACTTAAATAACTTATAACTGAAATAAATAATAAATAACTGATTTGTTGCTGATGGTGACAACGAGCTTTTTTTCTACTGTTCAAGCGGAGTCGCGCTGAGCGTCACTGACCACAGACAACATGCTGATCATTCGGCAGTTTTCTCTTCCTTTCTTCCCTTCCTTTCCTGTCACCCGACTTTCAAAATGTTGAATAAGGGACAATTCTGTGAGAACAGACTGTTTGTAGGAAGAAAGTTGCTTAAGAGATCTTTCTAAAGTACCAATGGACCAACAACACTTAACTGGGCAAACAAACCAAAATTCATTTCACTTAAACTATTATTTAACATTTGCGTTGTGCGAATACGTATGTACATATCTGCTTACTTATATTGAAATATCACATTATTCTGTTGTCTGTCTTCACTATTATTCATAAATCCTTGTGTGTATGCATTACCAGCTGAATAGGGGGTTATAGAGTGTAACCTAAACTATTTTTAGTTCTTAAGTAACAATGTTACTTATATTTTTTCTTCGTCCTGTTTTGAGTTGAGTTGTTTGGTGAGATTTTCTTTACAGTGCTGAATAAAGTTGTGTTAGATTGATTGATTCAAAGCATAATATCAACTTTGGTAATAAAAACATTTAGATGTTTCTGCTCTACGTGATGGTTCAAGGTTAAGACCTTCATTATTATCAACTATCATTACGCTCACACGCTGCCGATATTATACTATCATTTATGTACAACACATTTTGCGCGTTACATTTAGCATTATTTTGCACAATGTACCAAAGAGTGAGAGGAATCGTTGTTAATGCCCACGAACCCCCACCCGGCCTTTGATAATGTAACAACATTATGTTTATTTTAATGTTCAACTAGCTATTTTTTAATGCATTTCCACTTGTCTAAAGGTCACAACAACGTTCCCAGACTATACATTAATAAGGATGATCAATGCAATACAATAAAGCACTCTGATCAGTGTTAATGACTAATGATTTTATTTTGTCACATCAATAGCACAGTACTCACTATGACCAACCAAAGTTGCTCTGTGGACATCCTTGCAGAGATAAGGTGATGGACGTTGATAAATGGAGGCCGTCCAGTGACTAAGTGACATTCCACTCAATCTTCAAACTAATGTCTGACTCTCATTGAAAGTAATCTCTCTAAACAATTCCATGTGTAAAACGTCTGCAATAAACCTCGACTACTGTTGTTTCATAACAGTAAATGTAACCAGATAAAGAAAAGGAGATTTAAAAAAACAACAACTAAAAGAGACAAACAAGATAAAACACAAGCAAAGAGTATCACACACATCAGGTACACAGAGCAAAGCATATTGATCTACTGAGAAGGAACGCACATCTTTTAAGACAAGCAGCTGAATCTGTTTTGGGCAAAGCGCTGATTCATGATGATTAAGCCAAGGCATCATTAGCAGTCTAAAGCGTGGGTTGATATTTACATTTATTAGTGCACTAGTATACATTTCATTAGCTGGCTTATTGCTTTTGCGTTCACATACAATCTAGCATGTGCTGATTACAATTGTTGTGTGTGCGTGTGTGTGTGTGTGTGTGTGTGTGTGTGTGTGTGGTTACTGTGCGTTTTCTTTCTCTAAAGTAGTAGATACAATTATCTGGATGAATGAGTAACATGCAGTGACTCTTGACCTTTACTACTCAGCAGGTATGTGGATACAGTTTGACACAGTTTGATGGAGCTGTTTTCTTCTCTGTACTATAAAACCCAATTTATGCACACGTTTTATCACCAAACACTGGAGTTTCAGATACGTACCTTACTTTTCTTATTATATTTCTTTAGAAAGAAAGACAGAAAGTAAAATGACATAGTAGGGATAAATATTTAAAGAAGTCTACTTTTGTTACTCCCAATCATTCACATGATTAAATAAATAATATTCATAAAATGCAATAATACTGGCATTGACAAACTCATACTAGCACATCATACCCATTTAACGTCATGTAGAATTTGTATTACTGTTTCCCTTTTTTCTGGTAGCTACATTAGAAATAACATTTAATAGAGTTAGATTAAAGCATTTCCTGTCATTCAGTGATCAATTAAATGTTCTCACTGGGCCATGAAAAGATACTCAACTCATCAGTTTTGTCACTTGAAAATTTCATTTTCCCGAGAAAGGAACTTCAACTAAATAATAGCCGGAAGGACGAAGCAACTTGTTTCTTATTGGACACAAAACTGAATGGTTCAAATTTCCTCTACAGGAAGTAAAATACACCTCGTTGTTACTTATTAACAAGACGACTGGCTGGTTTCAGGCACAACTTCTGCCCAATTGACGACGTTGTATTTCATCCCAGCTCATACAGGTCTGTTGTAGAAACTCACATTAACAGTACACACAACGCTGTTCATTACCTTGTATTATACATGGTATCTTATCTTAATTTACCTTCTTTCATCAATTAATACAAATAACTATGTCTTTTGGAGATGTTCAAAGTTACCTCTTTTCTGTTAGGGACAACAACACCCTCTCACTTCTCTATTTGTTTTATTTCATAGTTTTTGTCTCACAAAAATGACTCTTTTGGTTTTTGGAAAAGGGGCAAATTGTCTAAAATTGTGGAAACATTGTTACTTGTTCAAATACGTGAAACATTTATGCAGTTATGAGTTATAAGTTATAACAAACAGATAAAATATAAAATTTGAAAACAGATAAGTGATCATTAAAATACAAAAAAGGTTTTAAAGAATCAGACAAAATTAAATGAAACAGATTTAACAATAAAAACATCTTCTGATCTTTCTTGACCTAATGTTGTTACTTTAAATGCACCTTTTCTGCTGTAAAGTGCCCACTGACATTATTGCAGTTACAATTATCACAGGAAAGCAGAGCGATTAATCTATAGAATCATAATCCCTCCAATCTTCGCTTTTTGTAATTTGCTTTGATAGTTTCTTTAAAAATATTAATCGACTAACAGATTTGACTATTTTACAGATTGTAAAAAGGCTCTGTGTGTATCAGTAATGTAATTAAATACAATAAACTGGGGGGAAGGGGGGTGTTTTTTGTTAAAAAAGAAAAAGGAATAGTGATACTAATAATAGCAATGCCTTTGAAGGCGTGCTTGTATTTGCATCACGTCTGAAAGGTCGAGTGTCGTTACAAGAGAGTCTGTTAGACGTTTGATGCCCGAGATTAATTAGCACCTGTGGATTTGTAACTCTGTTTCCTTTCATAACCATGATGCAATCTTCTGTAAATACTGATTTATAATGTATTGAATTCTTTTTTAAGCAAATGGTTGTAAATAACTTTAAAAATCCCCCCATCCCCGAAATTAAACATATCTGATTTCCCAGCACTGCACGTTGATGTTTGTCGATTCTGACTCCTCTGAAGACCAATCTCTGACTTTCTTACCATCAACACTGCACAGTGTGTTGATAAGAATGAACAGCGAGGTCGGAAACGTGGCACACGTCCCTGCAGTGATTGACAAGGTGCTACCTGTGCTCCCTGACTTTGACCCTTGTATCTGCATGTCAGGGGGAAACAAAAATAATAGTTTACAGAGTAAATCCTTCCATGACCTCCAAAGGAACTGAGCTGAAAAGGCTCATCATCTCCACACCAAGCCTTCAACAAAATAGATAATGCATTGATTTATTGAAGTCCTCACCCGCTAAACCAAAAAAAGACATAACTTCCCACCGAGTTATTCTTACCCTTCACCCACCTTACACCATCCTCTCTCTGCTGTCCACAATCTGGACCATCTGTTTGCGAGCGTGGGAAATGACCGGAGTGAGCGGAATGATTGGAGTACCGGGTGTGGTGGCGCCCGGAGTAGAAGCGCCAGGGGTTGAAGCGGCGGGTGTTGACGCGCCAGGAGTTGAAGCAGCCGAAGCGGAGGCTCCAGGCGTGGAAGCAGCCGGGGTCGAGGCGCCAGGGGTCCCGCCGCCGGGGGTCCCGCCGGGAGTGGGGCCTGGTGTTGTGCCGGGAGTGGCGGGGATGATGACAACAGGGGACGGACCTGGACCTTCGGACCAAGCTCGCGGCTCCAGGCGCGGGGTGGATGTGATGAAGCGGGCCTCTCGGATCCGGTAGGGACTTCTGTAGGTGGAGATTGGCGACAACTCGGAGCCCCAGCCGAGATAGCTCCCGCTGGAAGGGGAGTGTGCATCCGCGCTGAAGTATAGCGTAGTGCTGGACTCTCCGGGGAGTGAGGGTTTCTTCTCGGGGGAGCCAATCAGGAGAGGCGAACGCCGTTCCGGTGACCAGGCGGGAGTCTTGATGTCCAGGGAGCACACGGAGGACGAGGCCTCCGTCAAGGACACAGCGTTGCTGTCGATGTGGTGGAGGCTGTCTGGCTGCAGTGGTGACGACAGTGTCGGTGAGCCGTAAGCGGCACTCTGAAAATCCTCGTCACCTTTGAAAAGGAATCGAAAAGGTAAAATGTGTTTAAAACAGAACACAGGTGCTATAATAGGTAATAACATGCTCAAGGTTCTATGACGACGAATCATTAGTATTGTAACATTCAAGGGCAGATAAACACTCATTTTCCTGTTTACAAAGATTGAACACCAACATTTTACTAGTTTAATGTTAAGTTAATTGTGTGTTTTGTGTGTGTGTGTGTCTGCATTCATTGACCAGAAAGTGCATAGTTACGTATGTCGCTGCGTAAACAACATTATGCATAAGCAACACTTTATTCAAATCTTACTTTGCATTGAATTCCTCAAATTGTTAAACTACAGCCAATCCAGCTACAATCAATGTTTTCATACTATCAATGTTTGCGTTAGTTAAAAGCTAAAAGGCGATCGGAGTAAATATCAGACTATTCCTTCAAGTAACGCTAATGCTGTTTGACCATTATATGGTCCGGTGTTTATCAGCATCCAACCTTTTTCTGATGGTTGGGCGCTGGACAATTCTTCTGCGCTTTCTTCAAGAATGACCTCCTGGACCGGGATAATCTCTGGAAAAGTTCTCATGTCCTGGATTGTTGTTGGTGGAGCTCTTCTAACCGGTCTGGCCACTACAGTCGAGGGAGCTGGCTTTGTTGGGTGGACCACCTCTCTCACCTGGGGACAAGACAAGCAGCTGAGCCATCAGTCTGAAGACGGACAAACTGAAACTTAAGAGATCAAGTCTTTTTATAAATGGTTTAATGGCAAAAAGTCTTTGTTGGCATAAAAATGTGCCACACTGGGAACATTTGTGAAGTTTATATTTTGCTTCCGGCTAATCCGTCGCAATTTTTAAATCCTGGCTTCAAGAATAAATGCTGTATGCTGCTGTATTCCTAGTTGGTATGAACATCTTGCCTCTGTAGGCTGGGTCACCTGTGGTGGAGCAGGTTCAGGAGCTGGTTCAGGAGCTGGTTGTGAGATCTGGGGAACCTGCGGCTGAATGAGTGGACCCTGGGAAACCAGGGCACAAAAAAAGAATGAGAAACCCTTTTAAATATAAATATATATATCTCTACAAGAATGCAACCAACCCGAGGAAAATGATGTTCATCAGGGGAGTGAACCTCTTCGGACAGACCCATCAGTCCGGCCAATCCCCCCTCGCCATACGCAGACCAGATGTTTGTTACATCCCCCGTCTTCATGGCCAATCGAATCAGCAGCCAGTGGTGATGTTTCCATCCCTCCCATTGGATGGGGAGATCCATGAGGGTCCCACCTCCTGTTTAGATGAACAACAATAGTCGTTATGATAAATAGAAAAACAGAGAGAGAGAGAGATACAGACAGGCAGATCTGTAACAAACCGGACAGTGTGGCATGACGATGGAAAGTGGGTGTAACTTTCTCATCCAATGACAGTGTGGATCCACGCTCCGTGCAGGCACCACCGATCCCCCTGCGGCGAATACTTTGGAAAATCTCAAAGGATTTAGGGTGGAGAAAACGATAATACAGCACCAACGCTATCACTCCTAGAAGAAAGGAGAGAGACGAGCAAAAAAAACAGGGAATTATTTTGATGGAGGCGTGCAAGAGTGTGTGAAGGTTATTAGAGCTCAAAAGAAAATAATGTTTTTTTGATCAAAATGCTTATTACTGTCCTGCAACAGCCACAGATATTTTTATCTTTTTCTTGGTCAGAGCATTTGACTTATTGATCAGTTGGTTTTGTTGAAATTATCTTTGCCAAAAAAAAAAAAGCTTCTTAAATACATTAGCAACCATAGCTTTGACATCACAATGTTAGCATCAGCGTGAGCGCGTTAGCATGCCCATATTATCATTTAGCCCAAAGCCAGGAGAGCTGCTAGCATGTCTGTGGACTCTTGGTCTTCTAATGCAGTTTAGTTGTGTGTCTCACCAATGAGGAAGCTGGAGAAAACTGCCGCTGGGATTCCCACTGTGTCCCAGGAGATCATCGTAAACAACCACGAGGAAGCCAGAAGAAGAAACGCGTTCTCCAAGAACATAGCCTGAAGAACAATAAACAGAAAACACAGGTGTGTGGTTGCATCTCCACATTGCACATTCGCATCTCAGATTAGCCGAATGGTGAACATAAACTTCACTAATGGACACACACACACACACATACCAGATAGAATCCAGCCATGCGGTATCTGGATTGACCGTACTTCACGTTGAGAAAAAGGAAAACGTGAATGGCTCCCAGAACAAAATTGAAGATTCTCCAGCGACTAGTAGAACGTATGATGTCGGTCTGCTGCGACACCATCCAGAAGGTTGTGCCCAGCCAGTGCACACCTGACACACACACACACACACACACACACACACACACACACACACACACACACACACACACATACACATGTCAAGAATAAACATACTAATAAAGATAACCTGAACAGTTGAGGTAAACCATAAAAGGGTGTCTCACCAAGACTCAGCCAACAATAGTTCAAATCCTTCCCCATCAGAATATGTAATGTTTAATGGGTTAAGAAACAGACATGAAGACCAAGCAATACCAGACTTACCAATGACTCCCAGGATCCACTGCTTGAAGATACGCGTAAAGAGCATGAGAACAGCAAATCGAGATCCCAACATACTGACCTGTGGACAGAGAAAATATGCCTTTCACCCAAACATAGGATTTACATATATGCCACCCGTTACATAGAGGCTGTTACATGGAGGGTGTATGTGCATATTGGCTCTTGCTAAGTGTGCAAATGTGCCCACCCTCCATAGAAGTCGACAGAGAAGGGCACTAGGGGTCATCTGTAGGTGTCCTGGTCTGATGAGAGAACAGGCTCTTGCGTAGAGGACCAACGCCCAGGACAGAGATAACAGACACACCACAAAACACACAGAGGCTGGATGGCACAGAGGGGAGGAAGAAGGCAGAGAGGAGACAAAATGTGAATACTTTCTCTATTTGTAATGCTTTACTGTACATCAGAGGAAAGTCGGCTGCACACAAACACCGGAAAAGGAGGGTAGAACAATTGGTTAACAAAAGGCAACAGCACAATCTGAAAACAAAATATCTGATTTCCCAAAATACAAAATATTTGATTATCTCCATATCACCCAGCCTTAAAATGAGCATTCATCAGGAGCTTTGTTTCTGGTCAACTGACAAACATAAAAATTGTACTGGGTTTTTAATCTTAATCTGGTGTGTGAAGACAGCCCACAAAGGGGAACTATTCAAGCAGCAACTAACTGAAACTTTTTAGAGTTGAGGGGAGTCAATGTTTTCTCTGTATGTTCATCGATACAAGCAACCAATTTCACATTTATTTTTCCCCTGTTGCCTAATAAATTCAACATTTATTGTATTATTATGTTATGCAGGTCTCTCAATTGGGCCACAGTTTCATTCACATTTTTTGAGTGTCCCTTCAATGAACAAGTACACACCGTACATACCTTCACTACTATGCACACAACTTCACACGTGTTGTTTCAGACCTTACCACCCCACCACGCATGCTTTCTACAGTTCCTTGTTCGATTCGTCGTACCTGGAGATTTTATTCCTATATCGGTGCAGATGAGCACGTAGGTCTGCAGCAGCGTCTGAGGGAGGGTGACCACCAAAGCCTCAAACAGACGTAAGGCAGACGCATCAGCCTGCTGCATGATTTCACAGTACACATTTTCGTCTGGCAGACACATGCATTCCCAAAGCCTGTGGAGGCCAGAGGTGAATGAGGGAGAAAAAGAAAAAAAAACAAGTGAGAAAAAAAGAAACGCCCCCACGCACATCAGTACACGTCATCTTCATCATAACCATCGTAATCAAACCGACACATTTTGTCTGACTATCACTCTAAACTGTCCTTGTTCAATGACTTTTAAGCAACAGCATTATCAACACACACACACACACACACACACACACACACACACACACAGATGCACAGAGTTGGGCCACCTTTTGAAGATGCCCAGGTGCAGTATGTGTGTCCAAGTGAGAGACTTCCTGCGGATGCGTCCATCCGACAGGTACCACAGGTAACTTAGCCACTGAGGACCCCAACCTTTGAAACGTGGAATCAAACAAATATGAATAAATAATCTTATCTATCATCAATTTATCCAACCACCAATTTATCACCAACAATTTATTCATTATGCAAAATTGTTCTATTACTTCACAATCAAAGACAAAACATATCGGTAAGCAGAATGTAAGATTTCTTGTTATTCTATCCGTCTCTGGGGCGACGCATACTTTACTAAACATTGATTGGAATGATGTAGTTGTTGTTGTTGTTCTCTCACCTGGCAGCAGGAACAGGGCAGTGAAGCCAGCAAGATGGGCGTAGCAGTAATTGTGACCGACCCACAGATAGTACACAAAGCAATATATCACTGGGGAGAGAGGGAGGAAGCACACATGTATACTCAGTCCTAAAACACAAAGAACTCAGGTGATCAGGATGGAAACATACAGGTAAATAACGCTGTGTATATTCGGACATTTGCTGGATTACATTAATGAGTAAGTACTTACAACTAAGTGTGTAATTGCCAAAAACAGACAGGGAGTTTTTTATGCTGCTTTTGTTGCAGTGCTTAGCATTTTGTTTTTTACACAACAACATTCCATCAGCACGTCAGATCACGGAGCTTTTTGTATTTTGTGAGTGGCCACCGTTTTTTTTAATCACACCTCTAACGTGTACTGCATCAATGCTTTATTCACAAGAGAGTGCTGTATTTGATCCCCTTTTCTCCCCACGTACAGACTCCTCGATCCCGACAACACACTGCCCTGCTTGAGTTCTGCTGCTCTGACCGCCTCCCTCAAAATGTAATCCGATCCGTTTCTGATGCAAAACAGGCGGGCTGTCCAGCCAGACTGGGCCCAAACATGGGGTACGCCCATCCCACCGTCCATTCATGCACCTCCAAAAAAAGGGCGCTGAAATATGACAACATGGCTCTGCTTTGTTGTTGCTGAGGAGAGATCAAGAAGCGGAAACTCTACTACTGAGGCATGAGTCTGCAGTTTTGCTGCATTGGCTGGGATTTCATGACATATTTGGAGAGGGGCGCACTAGTGCTGCCTGCAGACTCCACTATTCATGATGCAGAATCTGGATCCTCTATTCATGATGCAGAATCTTGATCCACTGTTCATGATGCAGAATCTGGATCCACCATTTATGACAACAAACGGCTGCCAAAGTGAAAACAAACGTCTAACTTTTTATGTTGGATTATTGTAGCTAGAGTTTAACATTTAACAGACCAACATCAAATCCCAAATGATCCGTCTCATCCACAGGATGCAAGCATATCCCTTCGCCGTGGCCCTCACACTGTGCATCCCTACACTGCACAAAAAGACACGCACACACATGCAAGCGCACGCCAACACGGTACTACACAGCCGGGTTGCGCCTGGGCCCGTGCCACCAAATTACAATCAACCATCGCAGTGAAAACGATACTGCGCCCGGTTATGTTAATTGTGCAAAGGGCGTACAGATCTAATGCGTGCGCGTAAGCGTGAATTTATACGTGTGTGTGAGTGTGTGTTTTTTGAGCGGCCGTGCGCACGTCCCAGGTAAGACTTACGCGCCGTCCTCTCCGCAACGATGAGAAATGCGGTAAAGGCGAAGACGCAAACTTGGCAGCACGGCGTGCAGGCGCCTCCGTGGCTCGCCGTCGCCGCGTAGTCTCTCATCGCGGATCGAGAACCGCGGAACTGTCGGATCTGCGGAGATGACGGCGCGTCTGCAGGAGGATGTTCTGGTCCCGGTCGGGAGTCGGTCCAGCTGCAGCAGCCTGGTCTCTGCGCTCAGTCAGCACGTCCCGCCGTCCCCGCCCGTCCCGTTAAAGAGGTAGCACATAGGAGGAGGTGGAGGAGGAGGAGGATGGGGGGGGACGAAGGTGTCTATACAACGTACTTAGACATATAGGAATCGGGGCACAAATGTTTGTATTTAATGTAGTGATTCAATATATTCTAGGCGGTATTGTTTTAGCCTCTCGTACCTGCATTTTAGATATTGGGCTAAAATATGACTTACTCACTTAAGTGTCAGGAAATTTTATTATTATTATTTTATTCATGCTCACAAGTATGAACTTGAGACTTTAAACTGGATTCAGGACCTTGTGAGGAACCAGAGGAACATTTCTGCGTTCTACAGAACTGTGTTGAACAACCCAAAACCCCGATGAAAGTGACCAAACCAATACTTTAAGGGAAATATGGGAGTTCATAGAATGAAAAAAATAAAGCAATAGAGCTGAGTTTTCACTTATTCTTAATGAGGAATATAACATCGTTAGTACTGAATACAATAATGGCGGCGCTTGTGATGATTTATGTTGGTTAAGTTAATGACAGTCAGAAGAGCCATATCCATTACATCATATACAAATATTATGACCACTGTTGCTTTTATTTTGTAATCACCTGTTCATCTATTCATGTTAATTCCATTTATCTGATTGAAAGTTGCATTTGCATCCTTATGAACACCAGGGGGAGTCTGGCTCCAATGTCCACGAACCCAGACTCAGTTTGCATTGCATCCAATCTGGCGTCCCAGCAGAGTCCATCATACCAGCGAACAGGTGACGCCACACATGTACAACATCCCCAAGACATTTAAAAGCTGTTTCTTAAAAGCAAGAAATGTAGGCCACAATATTTCATTTCAACAGCAGACTTTACTTAATAATATATGTACAGAAAACCGCATCAATGAATTCTTTCTTCTTTTTTTTCCAGCTCAGAGCCAATGAAAGTTGGGCAGCATGAGCCTCTCAGGGATGATGATCTGCTGTCCTCTGTCTTTGTGCAACAGCACCTGTACCTGATAAGCCTCCATCTAACAGTTGTAGTTTTCAATTTTTACCATGCATATATCAGCAGTAGAAGCACCGTCATGTTTTAAATGGGTCTTGGCATTGAGCAACATCTCTCACTATTTTATTCTCTTCTATTGTTTCTAAAAGGTGTCAAATTAAAAATTCAGAGCATTAATATAGCACCAGCAACCGTTTGCAATGTAAAGTCACAATGGATTACGTCTAGATGTCTACTTAAGCAAATAAATAAGTCGCTGTCAGACGTGTGTGTTGTAATCCAAGCTTCTCTGTGTTTCATCAGCGGGGCCAGAGGTTTTTATCTGTCTGTTTTCATCTGATTCCTCCCCAGGTAACACCCTTTGCACTGTCAGCACCGTTGAGTTATTTTCACTCCTTCACTGTTTCCACCTCTAGCTGCTTGCCGCCAGATCAGCTGTCTCCATGTTTAGAGCCATGTAGAGGGCAGTGGAAATGCTCTGAATTTATTGACTACCTTTAACTTCCCTTCCAGTTTCCCCCAAAAAAGGGTGATCTGAGAAAAGTGCAACATCACATTATCACCCACATCTGGACAGGCACACTGACAAACATCTGCAGCGCTGCAGCCACAGTATTTTCTGTCCGTGATGCTCAAAAGCACCTGTTAAAAATGTCATTCCATTATAAAATCCCGTGAGCAGCTTTTACCAACAGCATGTTACACGTGGCAGCGAATGCTCTGAAGCTTCGCTGCGTCTTCAGGCTCACTTGTTCACTGCACGGTGCACGAGGACAGTCTTCCTCCACACCCTTGAGTGTCACCCTGCTTTGGAGGAGTGAGCCATCGCAACTCATATGACTTGGAGGGGACGGCTCCCGGCAAGAGTTTCATCTGTTAGAGTCTCTTTGGTGAACTGCAGACCGCTTCTGATTCAATCCTGTGGGGTTAATTTTCTTCATTTGTGGATTTTTAAAACCTTTTAATCCATGTGTCTACTCGCTATCTTCTCGTCCCTCTGACTACCTGTTTGATTATCCATTAGTAATATCTGTTGAGGCTTTGAGTGACTGTACTAATGTCCGGTTGTCCGTTCATCCAGATCTCTCGGAGAATCCGTTCCCGCTCTTCCAGCCTCTGGGCGCGGTCCAGCTCTGATGGGATACACACGCACACGTTCGCACACACACACACACACACACGCACACACACAGGCTTAAAGCACATCCATACATTATACATTCACATAACATTCACATTTCCCGCCGCTGTTGACGAGACTTTCTATTTTAAGATATGAGCATGCGTGACAACAGTGAGATACAGTCTCTGAGTGAGTGTGTATAGATGTACACATAAAAATGACAAACACTAAAATGAAAACTCATTCTGTAAAACTTCCTTTCTAAATGTATTTTGTATCAACCCGTATCAATCATTTTCACACAAATATTGAAAGCCTTTTTGTTTACAGGTATAAGCCATAAGGCGACTGGATGGTAGCTGTCAGAGAATCAGATGAAATTATAAGCATTTGGTTGTTTAGCTGGTCGAAGTGGTGCTATAAAATTAAAATAAAGAGAAGTAGAAGCATAAAGCAGATTAAAATGGTTAACTATCTTAAAGTTAATATTGTACGCAAATAGTAGTTGAGTTCATGTATATTTACATTTTTATATTACTGCATTTGTCAATCATTGGGTGGATTTATCATATGGTGCTTTTTCAAGACAGCGCCGATCCTCTGGATAAACGTAGGCCACGATCTGAAGGTGGATAAAAAACATAACGTGTGTCCCCTGTGCTCCTGGTGCACTCCACAAGTCAAACTGACTAAAAGCTTTTAATATTTTAAACTTTCTATTCATAACAATGCCATAAATGTGTGTGTGTGTGTGTGTGTGTGTGTGTGTGTGTGTGTGTGTGTCTGTGTGAGCGGTACCCTCAGCTGACGTGAACATGGTGGCGTGCAGCAGAGCCCTCTCAAAGCGCCTGCGTCTCCGTGATGACAGGTCGGACGCGTCATCCCAGTCCTCTGATTCGCTGTCCCCAGCAGGCCCGCTTCCTCCAGTGGCAACAACAGCAGTGTTATCTGCATTACTGACCGCGGGCTGATGGAGGGGACAGCTGTGATGGCGACGGTCGTGATGCTTGTTCCTGCGCCGGTGGTTGTGGTGCTTACTGTTGCCGTAGTGACAGTCTGCCCGACAGTGTATCTGGAAGACGATGGCGCAGAGCGTGACGAGAAGGCCGACACAGACGCCGCCCAGAAACACCAAAGCCGTCCTCTCGGGTTGGTCTAAGAGAAAAAGAAGAAGCAGACATGAAGCATTGCCCCTGATCTTGGATGATGTTTCACACTGCTCCCCTCCTCCGCTCCCTTCACCGGTTACCACATCTTCTTTCTCTCACCTGTCCACCCTTCTCCCCTGTTGAGTTTCCCCTACAGATCTCTCACCTCAGCCTGCTCACCTGTTTTCTATCTGCCCTGTGGTGGTTTTTATTAGTTTGTTCCATAGCTAGTGGAGTATACAGTGGGAATACGCATGGCAATGGGGCTCAACGGACTTACCTGCAATGAAGGTGTAAGCTGCCAGTATGTTGCTAAGCAATGCCATCTCCTGAGAGATGCCCGTCACCTCCATATTTGGGCCTCCTGATGTGGGAGTGCTCATGATTTTGCAGCCGGTTGAGCTTATTTTATTCTCCTGCAGAGGTCAGTGGAGTTCATGCTGGAAGAGGAGAGAGAACGGAAGTAAGAAATGGAGAAGATTAGAAACAAGAAGAAAGAGAGAGCGGAGGAGAAGTTTCGGCCATAAATCATCCTTAAGTTGAATTAATAATAAACACACGCAGAGCCCAACACCCTGACTGGAACTCGCCCATGCAGGATTACACATTCCGTCTAGCTATCCAGTACTGAAACTCTATCGTGTCAAGAGAAGCTGCGGTAATTATGATATGATTATAGTTCTTTGAAAGCTTGGAGGCCTTAAACCTTAATCTATACACCGTTTTCTCACTTTCTCTCTGCTTACCTTAACATACCTGAGCTGTTAGCCTGCAGGGTTTGGGAGAAAACCAGGAAGCTTTCCCGTAAATTACTTTTCACAAAGAACAGTAAAATCAATAGATGTCTGACATACAAAGAAAGCATTTGCAATACTTTTTCTATATTGGCACATCTAGCATGCGTTGACTTCCTGTGGAGTGTTCACACGTTCCAAATCACATCACTTTTAGCACACGTTGCAGATTTCCCTACAAAGAACGCACTGTTACATGCCGAATGAGTTGAATTTCAACCTTGTACGTCCTCATAATATTGCACCTTAAACTTTGACCTTTTATCGTGGAGAGGATTTGGGGTCAGAATAGCCAGAAAAGCATGCTGGATTATAAAATGAGTTCAGATGCAGTATGAGTTCATATGTGTGTTTGTATGTATTTAACATACTACGTATTGAGGACATACTAAATCTTTTTCTAGAATACTCTGGAGTAATATGCCAGTATGGGTGTTGGAACGCACAGATACTGCGCAGTTAAATTATACACATGCTGTTTTTCAAAAGATTTAATTTTCATATTAAAATGATTATGTATGTATGCAAGCATTAAGGTCATCAAGTTATTTAAGTTATTCAACAATGTATTTCATGTGCTACATTGATTATTTTCACTTTATGTTTGCTTATTATTTGTTATATGATAAAAAAAAGTCAATCCAAGCCAATCTTAAACATAGTTGTAGACTTTTTTCTTGTATTAACATTTACATCAGAATCCCTTTGTGCTACGCCTCTACATTAGAATACAATAATAGAATTGACTCAAATAAAGGTAAACAATGAGAGGGTGACCACTAGGTGTCAACAAACTGCCATTTGGCGACTTTCTCTTGTATGTTGTAAATAGAATCAGATCAAGACGTGGCTGTCAGACAGAGGCATGTATGAAAAAGGCTTCAACGCAATTTGTAAAGACATCACTCAAACTTGTTCATCTGCCATTATGCTAATGGGGCTGAAGATGGGACATTACAGCGATTTGGTAACAGTTGCCGCCGACGTGTTGTTTGCGTGTTTCAGGGACTGAAGTTTAAAGTCTCAGCCGGTGCCACATACCACACCATTTATTGCCCACACTAGTCTGCAACAGCCACGTCACAATTAGAGATGGAGACAAATAGTTCTAAACATTGTGTCTAGACATGTAGCCCAACCCAGACTGGAACTCCCCATACAAACTCAGAATGACACCTTCAGTGTGTGTTTGTTTTTGATGGATCTGATACAAAGTGAATATATAGTTTCGCAGATCGAGACTCTCTAATGGTGGAGACGGATCAGGAGAACTGTCAGAGTGGATGTACGTATAAAGAGCAACGGAGCAGAAGTGCAGAAGAGGAGCCAGGAAGATCCTTCATCCTCAAACAGAAAGGGAGGTGTCTTTGTAACCTGATTTTACCAAATGGAGCGTTTCATAGTCCATGTGATTGTGTTGTTTCTTATTGATAGCTTCTGTTAGTCTGTTAGCTAATAAAGACATCCTCCTCCATACAGGGGATAATGCAAATCAGTAACGTTGTGGTTGCGGCCTAATGTTGGATAAGACCCATCTTTTACATTTTTCCCAGGGAGCAGGTAGGGGTTGGGTGTCCTGCTCAGGGACGCTCCGACATGGTAAATGGGACATGGAGCAGCCAGGGTTCAAACTGCCAACCTTGCGGTTCTCAGCGTGTCCTCTTACTCTGTGCAGCACCGTCGCTACATTTGAGTGCTGTTTTAAATCTGTGAACGGTGCATGAAGAATCACCCTAAAATGACTTAAACAGTCTGTTAAGCCCCTCGGCGAGACGGAAAATCTTTTTTAACGTTTTGTAATGTTTTTGTCCCAAACTTTTTGCTTGTCCCAAATGAAATGAAGCATTGTGGATTTGAGTATCAATAATGATATGAAAAAACAACACATGGTGCGCTGGGACCCAGGTTTTCCCATTTAAATTTCATAAAAATGTCAGAGTTTACCCATTTCACAGCTGTGATCACCTCATTGCATGCGTGTATTCTCTCATTGGATGTTTCCAAATTAAACCATTTATTAATGACTGAATAAAATTGGTTGAGTCACTCAATGAAGACCGGCCAAGTTTCATGACAAACAACTGTCATTGCACCATGAAAACACAATCTTCTCTCACACGTCTAACCAAGCAGAAAAATAAGCTAAAACCTGTCCTCTCATGCGGTTAGGCTGTGAGGACATGGCAAAAGTTTAAACTCCAACAAATAAAAAATGGATGATGCTCTCAGAGAAGATCAGACTGACCTAATTTTTTCTTCTGTAAAACCTCTGAAACCGAAGGTGCAAGTGCTATAGACCTGTTAGTGCGATCACAGTGAAGAACAAGCAAAAGGCCTGTTTCTCAAACCCACATGACCATTAGCATAAAAACAGACCTCGGCCCAGTCATTATTCTATAAAACCAACCCAACAGTTTGAAAGCGATGCACCAACACAAGCAAGCGGAAGAGGAAACAACACAACGACAGATCACATGACATTGCAGTGAAACACACCACGACCTTAGGCGCAACAACATCGTAACGCAACCAAACACACAACAACCTCCCAGCAATTCTGAATTCCACTGACTGTCAGGGGCATTTTGTGATGTTATGTGTAAATACTGCAGGACGTGACTGCCCCCCCCCCCTCCTGTTCTTACTCTCTCTCTCTCTCTCTCTTTTGGATTTAGGTTTCTCTTTGTTACAGCATCGTGCCATTTCAGGTGGTTCATAGTTCTGCTGGTTTATCAGCATGCTTTTTCATAAATCAGGCAGCTGAGCATCACAGTTACGTAAAGACCTTCGCATGAAACACTTGGCCCACGGCCAGCGCGTTACAGCCGCTCTGTTGCACAGTCTAGACTGCAGGAGCTGTTTACTCTGACAATAGTAAACAACTCCCAAATATTAGAGGATTTCTAATCTGAAAAGAAATCTGTTATTCATGAGGATGTATAATAAAGTTAGCTTGGAACATGGCCACCACTTTTGTGTCCGTACAGCATACACGAAGCTACCAGCAGCCACATGTTAGCTTAGCATAAAGACCGGAAATGGGAGGAAACAGGGAGCCTGGTTCTGTTAACAAATTCCAAAACCTCTAAAGCGCAATAATCAACACGTTGTGTCTTGTTTGTTTAATCTGTTCTGAGCTGTCCTTGCTGGTGGGCATTAACTCACTCAGACCGATTGGGCAAAAACTAGAACATGTCATTTTACGTGCCAAACTATTTCTTGGCTATAGGAGCAGCTACTCTCTGCTGTTGACCAACCAACGGGTCATAGTCAAGATCAAGTCTGGCCCAAAACTCCTGTAAGAACACAGAATCTGATGCCACTATAAGCATATTTCTCCCTTTGTGTGTGTGTGTGTGTGTGTGTGTGTGTGAGATGCTAAAGCAATGTGACACTGGCCTTTCTCTCCACAGCTGCACCAACACTCTCTTGTGTTGTGACCTGGAGAGTAGAGAACGCGTCACAGACGAAAAGTATGTACTAACATTAGGAATATAAAAGAGACAGAGAGAGAACTAGGGCAGAAGAAAATAAAAGATAATCCAGAGGGAGAAAGGTCACTGTGGGGGAAGAAAGTAATCCTGAGACTGCTCACAACATATTCCTCATCGACAAACACAAGAGCATCAGCAGCAGCAGAAACGCGTGCAAATCTCTCCTCATGCACATGCAAACACAATGTTCATACTTACATTTCATTGACACAAAGATCCCATCTGCTATCCATCCTCTCCTCGCCTTCACTTGTATCCTCTTCTTGCACTCTCCTTCCTCCTCTCTGCTCTGGTCCTCTCCTCTCTCTGCTCTGTACTTTACTCTCTGCTCTCTCTCCTCCCCTTTTCTCTCCACTGCCATTATCTCCTCTCGGCTCTTTGCCTTTCCCTCAAAGAAGAAAGAAACACGAACAGTATAATTACATGAATAAATCGGGTGCGTCATCCCCGACTTGTCAGACGCACGTACAAATGCCCTCCTCTCCAATTCACTTTCTTCCGTTGACAAAAATCACAATTTTCCGTCTTCATCCCTCAGTTCAGTTCTTTCTCTGATGTGGGGGCGACAGGAGGGATGTTCCTCCAACTGTTTTGCAGAATTTAGTTTTGTTATATTCCATTTAACTTTTTCACAGTTATTTTCGAGACAAGGATAGAGAGGTCAGTTCCTCAGGGGAGAAATGTGACATGAAAGACCCTGACAAGTGGGCCGAATTCCTCTCTCCTCTCTCTGCCAAATGTCTGCAACCCTTTCTCTCTCTCTCTCTCTCTCTCTCTCTCACTGACATGCACAGGCACACTCATGCTTATAGTCTGCCTTTGTGTTCTCTTTCTTTCGTGCAGTGTCCTCGGCAGCAGCAGGAGAGAGAAACGAGAGAAGGAAAGAGGGAGAGAGGGAGGGACAGAGTGACATAATGGATTGAAAAAAAAATGGTGTGAAATTCAGATCTTTTGATCTGAAATAAATGATAAGTTAGACATGTAATTCTGAAAAAACATTTGCAAATGAGAAATATCTGAATATACCATGTGAATATATCAATTCGTCATATAACAAATGTTCCAGATCTGAAAAACATGACGTTTTATGTTATTTAAATAACATTTGTCAACACTAATGTTAAAAAGTGCCTTAAACGCAACAAATATTACAAAAGGGAAATAGGAATGAAATAGCTTTCACAGAAGATGATGAAACATGAGAGGAGCCCCTAATGTGCAGTTGATTCATTTTTTAATGAATAGACAGAGGTGCCAATGAATGGGAGCGAATCAGAGAAAAGGAGGATGGAGGACAGAGAGTTGTAATTTCATTCAGCTCTGTTTGGGAATTTAACATCTCAGTGCATCTTCAAACACACGCCTACAAGTGTGTGTGTGTGTGTGTGTGTGTGTGTGTGTGTGTGTGTGTGTGTGTGCTTGACTGAATTTTATGGGACCATTTTATGGGACCATGGGAAGGAGGTTTTAGAGCTGAATCAAGAATCTTCTATAAATAACTTGATATCAGATAGAATTTATGAAATCTTTATCGACCTACCTGTCATCATGGCAGGTTTTTTTCACGCAATAGCTCTCCAAAGGTTTATGAACAGCATAGTTTCTATGTAGAACATGTATTGCCTTAGACATATCCATTCTGAATACAACAACAAGCATTACGGCTCTTCTGTAAAGGTTATTAATGATATTTCTACAATATTTTATATTAAACAAAAGTTTTGCGATTCCTTGTGTTCTTCAGCCAATCTTAAACCTCAGAACATTTTAGATACTGTAGGATATTAGAAACAAATATACGACCCGGTTCATAAATTTAATAAAAATTCATATAGTGTACACCAGAATACAGCCATGATTCTGAAACTGTGTAATCCATAAAGTAATGACAATATTGTAAAACTACTGTAAATCTGCAACTGTACTAGAATAATACCAATGTACAGTTATGATTGTATTTGATGTAATGTAATCAACTGGAATGCATGCATGTAATACTTGCACAACAACTGATATTGACTAAGGATCATTCGAAATCCGAGTTACATTGAACTCACCAGAAGACCACTCCCAGAGGTGTGGACACTGACTTTCACACCTTTAAGCATTGGTATAAATACCTGTAGGAAGCATTGTTCTCCAGTTCGCTGGTGGAGGCGACAGACGGGCACTAGGGATGGTCAAAGGACTGACCTGGGGCCTGTTGGTTGCTGAGACCAGCGGCTCCTCAGCTGAGATGTTATTTTTACCGCAACGCCATCTCCTTTATTAAATACATTTGATTTTAACCTTTCGATCAGCGATGACCTCTGTCCGTCCGTCCATTTTTGAACAGAACAATACCTTCTCTCCACAGACCACATCATTACTGATGAGAAAACATTAAAGACGTTACAGTAATCCCTCCATGGTTGTTGACGTCTTTATGACGCCCTGAACAGGAGATATGGTGGAAAACTGACGTCTTCTTCTCCAGCCTCTTTGCTGTTAACTGCACTACAATATAAGACACATAATATTATAGTATTGATATTATATTAATTATTTTATATACTAATGTTTTGTAAATAACAAATCATACAAGGACATCTCAGATTCTGTTTTGAATCAAACTGAAGATTTTCTCTCTTTGCACTCAGACGTCTCTTCATCCGTCTCATTTCCATTTCTCTCTTCATCACCATCGTCTGTGCTAGTCATCTTTTCACTGTGCCATTGTATTGTTCTGATCGTGATGGAGGCACTGCATTAAAGTAAACTCAAACCGAATGTCATATGATGGATCTGGATTGGTTAGACAGTATTAGATGAACTGAGCATATGGAATATGTTGGAACTTGGAGAGCAGCTGGTTGGTCTCAAACTAAAGTAAAAAAGCCTCGTCCATCCTTGTTTAGCATGCTAACAACAGCACTGAACACAATGTCCTTTTCTATAGTATCTGAACACAATGTCCTTTTCTATTGTATCAGATGGCTCAAAGTGATACGTTGACCTACATTTCTTTTTTGGTTTGTTTGAGGGGTCGGTAAGTTCTTTCTGAACAAATTTCTTGGTTGATAAGTAATTTGTCCTAAACGAACAGATGTCAACTTTATGGTGGCACAAGAAGAATAGTCTGGGATTACCAGACCACAAGTCCTACGGGTCAATTCTTTGGGAACAATGAATATCTGTAGAAAACGACAGTATATCCAATTTATCTTATACGACCTAAAATGTTGGATTTCTTTTCAACAAAACAAAAATGTGGAAACATGGACATGAACCAGTCCATTGCTCTCTCATACATTTGAGAGTATTATGATAAAGATAAAAGACCCACTTGCAACTCAAAATATCCTTTGAGGCAAATGAGATTCGAAAACCGTTGTAAACACCAAATCCCTCACAATCGAGTCATCGCCATCTTTACTGATGATTACAAATGAACAGATGAAATATCTTTATCTACGTTCACAATTCACAAAACATGCACCACTTACCAATCAATAATGCATCCATTTCTGCACCTCCTGCTCACTGTGATTAATTATTCACACGCCAACGCTGCGCAGTCTGTACTGTGAGGAATTGTTGTCAGTCATCTCTGAAGCAGCGAGGGACAGAAGTTGTGAAGAAGCTGGATGCCTGCAGAACGCCGGCCTGCAGACCGCCGCCACCTCTGCTCGACTGGAACTTCATTCCATAATTCATGACACGCAGGGCACACCTTCAGATCAGTGCGGGCAGTCTTGGCCTACTGTCAAGTCCACTAGAAAAACCAAACGGCGTCAGCTTAGCTCCACAAGAATCCGCGGTGAAATGTGAGTTAATCATGAAAAGCATTTGCAGGATAATGCTGGTAAGATTCTACGCTCTTATTTTTGTTAGCAGATCCGACAAATAGCCATAATCATTATTTCTATGATGGCAATGGTACAATGACGTGGCAGACAACAGTCCAAACGGGTAGAGAATAATACATTGAATGTGCAGTTTAACTGCCTGACGTGCAACTTTAGGGCTCTGTTTTTTTGGTTCAGTTTGGTGCTGAACAACCAGCACTAAACTGTGCAGTTAGACTGGCTAGTGAACACAGTGGAGCATTTAGCAGATGAATAGTCAAATAAGGTTAATATGCAAGAAAAGTGTCAGTCACAGATACGAGCTCAAATACATCTGTATTTGTAACTTGCTTACAAAATCATTTCGATGTTTCTTTTGTCTTTTAATATTGTATTCATGATACCGCAAAGGGGTGACAGGTAGAGAGAGAACCAGTGAGTGAGATAAAGTATAAAGAAGCAGAAGTAGAGACAGAAGGGAATAAACCCATATGGAGACAGAGAGAGAGAGAGAGAGAGAGAAAGTAACATGTGCACGGAGGATGAGGGGCCATCAGTTCCACTTGACTCAGTCATGGGAATGATTTGATTTTCACCACATGAACAGCTGTCTTATGTAACACACACACACACAAAAATAATGAGTTGTGTTCTAGCCAAAAAGCTAGAGCAAAGGTGGCATTTAGCAACAGAGAGACAGAGAGGACAGGCGAAACTCACTGGGTCATCGCTTCCAGTCGGCAAAAAAAATGAATAGATAAAACGAGGGAATTGTAGAAGTTTCTGTATTTATACATACGGAACAATTCCCATTGAGGACACTGCACAGGATTACATCTAAAGGTGCACTGTGGAGCTTTCTTGAAAACAAACATCGACGTGGGAATATGCGGCTCTTTGGCTTCTAAACGCTCCACTTTCTTCTGCAGCTGGTCGCTCACTGCGTTGGTCTGCTGTGTAGTCAACAGTGCGTTAACTAGAGCTGACGAAATAAGCCTCCTGTGTCTAAAAGCGACTCCACCAAAATAGTAACAGGTGTGGAACAGATACAAAAACAAGAAAGCTTTGTAGAGCTGAGGAGAACTGCAAAGTAGTGAATACTTACACTGTACAACCACTTACAGATCAAGCAGTAAACTCCAAGTGTTCCATTGTTCATAGAAAAAAAGTTCAATACAATATCTTCTTGTATTGCAAGAATTAATTATTTAAATTAAATTAGTTTTTGCATAAATGCTTTTCTGCATATTTAAATTTAAATTTAACGTTAACTTAACTGAGGGTTGATGCTCTACATCGGTTTGTTTCACGCCCTCTAAAGCTGCATATTGTCTGCACAGGGTACACATAGAGACAGTGTAGACAGACGTAGAGGTGCTTCACACGGACTACCTGCAGACATCGGGACAGGCACCTATTCATCTCTTGGTCCAAATGTATAAGTTAAAAAACACACAAATATACTGCCTCTTCTTTCAACCGTCAAACTTTCATGTAAAAAAAAGGGACATTCTGTTGTTTTACTTGTATCAACGAGTGGTGCAGTATTTCACATTACAGGCTTGTATCTGTGTTAATTACGGTCTCATTGAAGAAACACCTTTCAAAATGTGCAGAATTAAAGGCTCAAAGTTGTTCACAACATGATCATGATCACAACATATTTTTGCATTAAGTTGTTAATTTACATCTGTGACACATTAATCCTTTATCCAGTGTAAGAACAATTAGTCCCCCTTAGTTATCACCACACGTACCACCACAGTCCCACTGCGGTGCTCTGCTACAGAAGGATGAGGTCAGCTGATTGTGTCGCCTCCGTTTGGCAGCTGTGTGTAGCGGTCAGTGTGGTTACATAAGGACGGTTGCTCCCGTGGATCCAGAGCCAGTGGAGGGTGAAGACGGACTTAATGAGGTCTGTTGGTCTGCATTGAATCTTCAAACTGAGAACATTTATTGCTATTCTTATTTCAAATCTTAAACTGAAATGGAATATTCTTGAAACTAGGCCTGATTGTATGATACACACGGCAGGATATTTACTGTACTTTTCTAAACAATAAAAACACCCTCAAATATGTGATGCTTTGGAAAGATCCATGGGTTTGAATGTGGTGGAGATAAAGTTCCTCTTGCCTGCATGACTGCTCTCAAACATTTTAGATAAAATAAAATGCAAAATGTTACACTCAAAAATAGCAGCAAAGAACGCTCTGCTGTTTTAAATCATAATGACAAGCTGGTGTTATCATATACAAAAAGCCAAAGCCAATAGAATAGTTAGAAAATAAAATAAAAATAGTTTGAAACAATGAAAACACTAACTTGGTGTTATTTAAGATCATCAGCCGTCACATACATCATACGAGTCTGTTAAAATACGGCTTGTAAATATGAAACAAGACCTTTCTTTCACGAGCCACATTTGTGACCTTTCCTTAACTTTTAATATCTTTATTTGACCTAAGAAACCCTGATTCTGAGAGCGCCACATGCAGGGCAAAGACAGTACAAACAGCAGGTTACAGACTCCAGCTTCATGAGACAACCTAGAGCAGCATTCGTCTCATTTAGCGCAGCAGCAGGCAACGCAGAGCGCTGATGAAGCTGAAACAAAGCAAAGGAAAACACAGAAGAGGATCACAGCGCCGTCTATTTGCACCTTTGACACAGATTCAATAAATCAGAAGTTAATGCAGGACATAAAAACAGAGTTTTGTGGAATTGAATAAAATAAAAAAAGATACAAGTGTACCACACAGCAGGCCTGACCAACGACGAGGACTCTAGGCTACTTACAGTAAAACTCTGTCGCAGCAAAATATGTCTTATTGCCTCTCAAAACAGTATCAACATTTGTTCAACGAACAGTTTTAACAATTGACGTGATACAAAACAAACCCAGTGTACCAGCTGATTATCCAATGAAGACACAGCAAGCAAAGCCGTTACACACCTTTGGATAGTCGCACACGCATACATTAAGAAATAAATACAACAGTTTTGTTTTTTTTCAATATTCAGAGTACCAGCGTGTACTCAGAGTTCGAAAAGAAACTGGATGTAAAGGACAAAGAGTAAAAAGTCTTAAGATTGTGATGAAGGTTGACTTCCTGCAAACAAAAAAAAAAAGCTTTTACACGTGACATCCTTGTAAAGTTTTAATGGCGGACGTTAATAAAGGGGAACTTTGAGGCAATAGAGACGGGCATTATCGCATTCAGGGAGGACCGCAGAATGACACGTACAAATCTGTCTGGAAGGGTTACAGTGTAAAGAACAGGAAAGAAAAATGAGCAAAACACTGTTTAGAATTGCTGCCGATCTGCATTGCCCCAAAATATTGACATCCTCTAGATGCCCCGCACTGAAGAGGCCAGCGGAGCGACTCGGCTTTAAAACCAATTCAAGGTCTGCATCGGTTGAGCTTTTTATAACAGCTGCATTTGGTCACCTAAAAACTTTGCAGTCTAACTACTCTGCTGTGGCTGATTTTACAAAAACAAAAACAGTACAGCGACCAGCTTCATCCTAAATAATTCTAATGGTTTTAGAGACCGTTTGATTTAAAAAAAAAAAAAAAAAACTTGGATGTTTACACTTCTTCACTCCAAAGATCCCCCCCACACACACACACACACACACACACACACACACACACACACACACACACACACACACTTGTTGCAATGACACAGATTCAACACAGAGCAACACTTCCTGAGCTCTTCTGCCTGCAGTAGTAAACCGACTCCAGACCAGAGCTACAGACAGAAACTTATTGTGCAGGTTGTCGTTGTCTTGCTGCCGTGTCCGTTTATGAAGCCCTTAACGTCTCTGGGAGAAGCAGTATACATATATGTTAAGGGGACTCATTAAACTGCCTTGGTTGCCCAGACTGAGCAAAGCAAAGCAAACTGTTGTAACTCTGTTGAGCTGTTAGGATTTTAGACAATAGATATATATGTGTAATCTTAATAGAATAATGACTTATTAATATTTCGGTCTTTGTCCAAGTCAAACTTCTTCTGAATGCTATAAATTGTTGTAGCAGAAGATGTAGATTCCGCTTCGCGACTGGCTGCAGCCGTTTCAGAGAGTACATTGCATACGAGGACAGCTGCACCAGCCACGCTGCCTCCGCTATCAGAGAGAACACGGGGAGGATCCGGTTCCTATTGGTGGGTCAGAAGAGGTATTATCGGTACTGGTTAATATTAAAATATCAAGGCATGAGGTGTGTCCTCTTCAGGGGTGGCTTGTTTGATTTGGTCTTGTGAAGGGGAACACATCAGAGTTTTGTTTAGGAAACAACCCGTCTCACTGGGTCACTCATTTGGAGGTCTCAGCAGAACTATTATTATTTCAGTTCGCCTTGTAAGTCTATTTGTTGCCAAAGAGCTGCAGGTCAAGGCGGACCCACACCTCCCCTGTAGGAACCTCGTGCAGCAGAAGGCGACGTGTTACTGGACCCTTGTTCTCCAGCTCTTTCTTTATGGTTGCCACAGGCACCTCGGTCCGACCCAGAAACACTGGTAAAAGAGAAACATTGAAAGACAACATTTTAATGGGGTTTTAGAAGAGTTCAGAAAACGTGAAAGTTGTTCATTCGTGGAGCTTCAGAAACACAAAAGGAGAGGCTCCTTTTGTTTCCCGTTAATATCATTCAGATCTTTGAATCACAATATACAGTTTAGGTTACACACTCGAATACCGTGTTTAGAATATAAATATTTGTAATGTGTAAAATCCAACAGAGTCCTTTTACTTTATATACGCTACTTGATTTTGCAGCTTTTAGTTAATGATGGACCAGCAGGTGACTCACCGTCAGGGGAAAACTGGTCTCTTTCAAAGATGGTGATGCAGAGTACATCCTGATAAAGGTCTTTGATGTTGAACTGACAGTTGAAGTTCCACCTGGGGTTCAGAGTGTCGTTGAGCGTCCTGGACGTGAATATCTGAGCTCCCATGGTCACCTCACAGTAGGGGTTACTTTTACCTGGAGGAGGACATGAAGACAGGTGAGAAGAGGCAAGAGAGGACGGAGTAAAAGCACGCAGAGGAAAGGAGAAGAAAGCCAAGAAAATATTAAGAAAATGCAATAGAGAAGCTTCATCTTGGCTTCATTTAGCTGGGATTAACATCCGGATTCACGAGTGTGTCCGTGCTCACCATTGGGTTTTCCCGGCTTGAGTTCAGTGGCTTCCAAGATAGTGACGAGAAGTCTGCCGATTCCACTCGTCTTCACAGATCGGGCTGCAAACGCACACACACACACGAACACACACACACACGGATCAATAACCCCTGAGATGGACACAGTAGCTGCCATCGTGAACGGCTTAGCAGAGACAAACCTTGATAGGCCTTATCCCTCTTTTTCTTTTCCGTTTCAATAAATTCTTCAGATGCGGCCTTGATCTTCTGAACCCAAGCCGTCCTAAAAACACACACACACACACACAGTGATCGTACAGGCCACCGTCTCACACCCTGTGTGTGTGTGTGTGTGTGTGTGTGTGTGTGTCTACCGTTCATTGATGTTGTCGGTCCGGAGTATGTAGACCCTATCGATGTGTGAGATGTGGAAGGTGGGCTCGTCGCTGGAAGGATCCGGCAGCTTCACCAGAACCTCATTTAGCAGCACAGGCTACAGGAAATGAAAGATTATACATTAGCAGTGTAGAGTGGCATACTGCCTCGATAGTACACATCAAAACTAGAACTACCTACAGGGCTTCACACTAACCACTCATCTGTTAGAAAGAGAAAGCCGCACCTCCAGTAGGAAGTCGACAACTCGCCGTGGGACTTTTTTATCTTTCCTCCGGTAGTGTCAAGACGCACAAGGTGCTTTAGGAGGCAGGATGACACCTCTACACATCTACCAGGCTCTTGCATTGCAATGCACAGCGGATTAACCTATTACTTCCTTTTTGTTTTATATATTAGATAATAAATGTACTATCTATAACATACAGGATTATTGGCCCCGTGTCATCTCCTCAATATGTTTTTCACCTTGAAGTGTATTTTTAATTGAAAGTCTACTATGACAATAATGCCCATTGGTACCATAAATCTTGAAGAGTCCCTTAAGCACCATATGACCACGTCTACAATTGTTCACTCTTTTGTTTTTATGTAGGCACATTACGCAAGATTAATTATGAATGCCCTGTTTTGATAAACCTTGCACATTTCTTCCCTTCGGCATGACAGCCTGATTTGTAAACATGTTGTGTGGGCCTGACAACCATGTTTTAAACGTCCCCAACCTCCTCAGGAGGCACAAGAACAGAGCACTGAGGCACTGGACGATTTGACAGTGGGACGGGAGCCGTCACACAGAAACGCAGACACACACAGAGAAAGAGTGTGTGTGTGTGTGTGTGTGTGTTTCTTACTGGCTTGTAGATCTTGAGCTGTACATTGTTCTTGCTGCTGAACAGTTTATCGGGCCCGGACGAAGAGAACTGTTTAGCCGCATGAGTCAAGAGCAGAAAGTCGTTAAAGAGGAAAGCGAAGAGCTCCTTGTTGCTCTTCACCTTGTTCATCTGAAAAGAAACCACACGTATCATATTATTTATAACCACAACTAAAATGATCAAACAGCCAAGGCTTATAAAAACATGTTCACTTGTGGGTAACTGCTCAGTGACGATGTTCTTTCTACAGTTAACTGCTCAGCATGAGAAGACAAATGTCTGTACAACAACATCCTTCACGCTGTTGTATCATCACTTTGTTCTGCTCAGATGAACCAGCTTACTAATCTCCAATATTTAATCCGAAGTCTGACGTGTGACCACGAAAACGGGTTTGAGACAGTAATGCTCCACACTGCATCTCCCTGTACTCCACAGGCTGCCCGGTCTCATGTAAAAGACTCTCTTGGCGGAATAGAAAATGTAATATCTTAAAAAGAGGCGTTGCATTTCTACTCACCTTGCCGCTGTGAAGCAGCTTCCTGGGGCCCAAACAGTTGGTAAGAGAGTTAAAGACCAGGTTCTGTTGAAAGACATGAACTTTAAGAGGGTATTGCACATCTTTAAAATTACCTATTCTATATAAATCTATTTTGATTCCTATAAATATTTAATATGAGAATGTATTTTTTATCTCATATTTATTTAAGAAGCTTAATACCTCTGTAGCGCCGTCAAACTGTAAGTGGCTCTGAATCCATTCCAGCCTGTCAGAGTTCTCCTTCTCTCTCACGCCCTCGTTTACCTGAATAACACAATAACTCAGTTTCAAATCTTTAAAAAAAATTTACAGAAAATTTAGTAACAGTAATAAAGTGAGTCCATAAATGCGTCAGTGAAGAAATTAACCTGTTGACAGAGTTCTTCCGCCTTCTCTAGAGCCTCTTTGAGGGGGCCTCGGTCAGGATGACCCTCTCCGGTGCTCTCCAGGATCTAAACACACACACACACACACACACACACACACACACACACGAGACAAAAAATTAGACAAATTACACTTTGTCTAATTACAAAGACTTTTCAGAGCACAGACACACTCATGAAGAAGATGGCCTACGTTTTTGATGTGCAGCGGGTAGCGTGTGATCCTCTGCATGGGTTTCAGCAGGAAGCTGGACAGCGGCATTCCTTTACACCGGTAGTCTGTGGCAATTTTCTGATGGTAATGAAATGGAATGTTAATCCACACAATAAAATGTCAAATTTGCCTTTTAAGTGGAGGTCAAATCAGCAATAATGACAAACGTTTTGTCAATTGAAAGACCAAAATCCGCAGTGTCTGCCTACATGAACCTGGATGCATGCTCCATATCCTCTTGCACGGATCACGCAGCCTCTGCCTTCTCTTTGGTTATATACTCTAACTTAATAAGCATTGCAGCGTCTACAAAACAGATAAAACACGGCAAAAAGTATCATCATCCATAAAGTCCTCTGCACTCACAATTTGCTGTGGGAAACTTAACTAGTTTGAACTAGAGATAAGAACATTTTGTGCGAGGGCGCCCCCTGGAGGCCGAGGAGTAGAATCCAGAACTCACATTGCATGACAGCGATGGATGTAGGACAAACAACAGGTTTTGCAGCAGGAGAAATCTGAATTCTCCTTGAATGTAGCACAAGCAGAAGCAGAAAATGCTTCGATTGACTTGTTTCATCATTGATAGTGGTTGGACAGAGATAAAAACGTGGCCCGTTTCCCTTCTAAGAATCTTGTTTCCATCTTCCCGGATGTACCTGCAGAAGATCTGGCTTTTAAAATACTACTAGGTCAATTCCAAACACTCTCTCGGTCACTTCTTCCTGTCCATCACCCCATCCCAAACAGTCTCATAGTTGGTGCCTATGACGTGCTCTACTCCCTCGCTCTGCTACCTTTAGGAACTCCTTGAAGTTTGGCTCGCTGTCGATGCGGCTCTGGACGAGCGTTGCTCCGTTGATCTGGCAGGAACAGAAGCGGATGTAGGGCTGCATGTGGGACAGCTCCGCGGCGAGAACATCTCCGATCATCTGCACCGGCATGTTCTCCCCACCCATCTTCTTACGCGCGCGAAGTGCCCTGCACACATGGAAACACCTGTGAATGAACACAAGCAGCGCTGCCACAACATTCACATGGCTGCACTTGGATGACATTTAATCCCTCCTTTAGATCAATGGTCCCTTCTGCATGTCACACACTGTGTCCTTGTGATAATTACTTGAGAAGTTTAGAGTTGCAGGTCAGCAGTTCATTCCAGTTGACAAAGATCATTTCCATCTCTGCATCATTCAGCCGACCCGACTCGGACATCGGCTTATGGAAAACCTGACCACAGAAGAGAACCACAGATTTACACAGAGCGCCAGGTATACGAGATTGTGCAGACAGATCAACACAGCTCATTCTCATTAAATAATGGATAGGTTTAATGCATATGTAGCCTCTTTCAGGGCGCAAGGTATTAAGAGGGACGTGCATCCGTTACCTCAAGAACAATCTGCAAGTCTTCCACGTATCTATCCTCAGTCAGGATCAGCTCATGGATGTAACCCTGTCTCCTCTTCTCCTGAGCACTCAGTGAGTCCAGGCTGTTTAGGTCTGCACACCCTGCAGGAGAGGGACACACGAGGAAGAAGTGTTATTTTATGAAAATATATTGAAAACTTTAGCACTGCCTTTACTGCCTCCTGCTGGATATCTGACTGAAAACCCCCACAAGCTGCTTTAGAGACATTACATGTCATCAACCATAAGGATTAAAACCCAGAAGAACAAGGAAGTGCAATTTCATCAAATAAGCCGATTTACAACTTGCTATAGATAAGAGCCATTATAAGTACAATTTAAGTGCTACAATTCGTTTAGTGGTTTTAGTCGAGGTAGCGTCTGAAGAGGTGTGTCTTTAGTTTGAGTTTAGAAGACGTGAAGAGTTTCTGCGGTCCTGAGGTCTTCAGAGAACCCATTCCACCATTTAGGAGCCAGGACAGCAAAGAGTTGTGATGGAGACTGCACACATTTACATAATCTCTAAGAGAGGATGAAGAAGGGGAAGAGGAGAATGGAAAGGCAAACCGGAAAGACGATCGTCTGTAGTAGCACGCTCCCTTACCTGATACCAAGAGCCCGTTTGTCCATTGTGAGCGTCCCAAACTAGCAGACTTCTCCTCCCTCACTGACCTTTGTCTTTGCTCTCCCTCACCATCGGTCTCATCCCACAGGTTTAGAAAGTGAAAGCTGCTCTGCAAAGTCATCGCTATGTTTCTGTCTCTAAAGTACAGTTTAGTTTGAGTCTCTCCTATTTTCCCCTTCCTGCTCCTGCACGTCCTGTATGTTCTCGTTGACGGCATCAGACAAAAGCTTCTCCTGGATCAAATCTGTTTGTACCAAAACAGGAGGAGGAATTCTCTCTCTTTTTTTCTTTCTTCTTTATCTCCATGTGACGTACATGGAAAAAAATAAAAAAAAATCTTATTTTCAGGGACTTTCGCAAGTAAATCCAGTCCGTACCAGATAACAACAATACCACAATACGGCCATAAACAGGAAGATTTGACTCCCCATCAAGCTGCATACAGGTTACAGAAAGCAGTTCACACACGGTTTATCTCTCCATCTTAATCGTGTGTATTGTGATGTCAAAATAAACTCTGCATACAACACACACACATTTTAAAAACCCTGCAGAGGTGAACGCTGACATTAGTTAACAATAACGAAACACTGTCATCTCAATCCCATCTTTATTTAACATTTAATTTCAGAATCAGAAAATATATTAGACACATCCTGAAAATTTGTTAAACCATCCAGCACCACAAATGTTCTGTACATGTTTTCGGATCAGCTCACAGCTGCAAACGTCGCTCAGTGTGGTTCACTCACATAACTGCAGCCTTCCACCAACATGGATACGGTTTCAGTAAACTGAGCCAGGTAACCTCTGAATTGCTCTCTTTGCTATGGGGTCCATCCCCCTGAGGTGCGCTAAAGACATCTAAACTGCATTGCAGCTTCTTTCCCATAACTCCTTGAAGTTATCGAACCTTACAGTAACTCGTGAGAAACTTCTCACTTTTTGATCTAAAGTTCATAATCATTAGAATAATGTTTACCGTGTTATTTTCACTGTGGCGAACACTATGAGCAGACATGCATTCACTTTTCATACAGAGAGAAACATTCAGAGCAGCAGCAGCAGCAGCAGCAGTGTTAACCAATATACAAAGGGCGGCAGTTTGAGACATCAGCCTTGAAATTAATTTTTCTCTCAATGGTGTAAAAAGAATTTGACGTCTCTTCGTCCCCCTTCAAAACTACACACGTCCTTTCTGGTGGCGATAACAGCTGATTCAGTTATGGCTTTTAAATGTAGAGGATAAACCGTGTGCTTCCGCTGTCACCGTGTCCTGCCAAAATGTTTACAGTTGAAAGAAAAAAATAATAAGACTCTATAAATAATACATCTCAGTACAGCTGTGTAGTCTTAGGAAATATTGAGTTCATCTTTGCCACGCGCTCAGCTCAGGTTTTTGTTGAACAAATGTTACTTTATTCCGTAGTGAACATATTTCTCTGATGAATTAACATTCAAACGAGCACTTCATGCCATGTTTCAAGCATGTTTAGGTTGCCGGGTTCAAATTTGAACCTTCCTTTTTTTGTCTGCAGTGCCATTACTCATTTTACTCTTATTACTACATTATCTTTCATTGCTGGTATAAAGATTGTTAACTCTTGCTCGTATATTGTAATCTTATTTTATCCCTATATTTTACTCTTATATTGCACCAAGTCAAATTATGTGTGTAACATATGTGGCAATAAATAGCTTTTGATTCTGAAAACACTTTTTATCTATAGACACATATAGATTTCGAGGTGGACTCTGTGTGAGCTTAACTCTCACAATTAGAGAGTAAGAAAAAAATATATTGTTAGCAAGCTGGAAATATATAAATATGAAGGGAAAACGGCTCGCATAAAGGGCAAAAATAAATAATGACAGGAAGAGGAAGAAGCCACAGAGAGACCAACTATCCCTCTGCTTCAGATCCATCGAGACATCAGTTCAAAATCCCTCAATCAACATCCACAATCAAAACAAGGCGTGAGGAAATCACATAAGGCACCGAGGCTTTAACAATTCACAGAATACGCATCCAGAGTCATAGGAGAGGTGTTTTAGGTCAGGATTATTTTCAGAAGGAACACATGACTTCCTCTACCACCCGACCACTCTCTGTGACATTAGCTCAGTGAAGTTAGCAGATAAGGAGTCCAGACACTCCGTCCCTCACAGCAGTGCGTAATAGTGGGTCTCTGAAGTCATGAGTAGGAAGAAGGAAGAGGAGGAGGAGGAGAAGTGGACTTTCTACCACCCTGGAAGGAGAGAGACACAGAAGTCGAGGAATGGAAAGAGAGAGAGAGGAGAAAAAAAAAAAAACACAGATTGGAGAGGGAGGGAGAAAATGGGAAAAACAGGGGAAAAGTGAAATAGTCAACAAGAAGAAAGGATTTACAGATGAAGGGAATGGGTGGATGAAGAAATACCGGTGGTGGTAGATGGGGGGGTTGCATATGGACGAAGGATAAGCATCGGTTGGGCAGAGTGGTTTGAAGCAACATGGAAGAAGAGCGTCTCTTGGTTTCTAAACATGCCGCTTCCACTCACACTGCTGGCTGGGGTCACACTCCGCTGTGGTCATCTTAACGTAATTAGTTGGGAAGAGACCAGTAGCCCCGTTGGTCTCTCCTTTCCACCAGTCCTGGTCATTCTTGTCATGGACGTTAATCAGCTGACCTTTGGAGAAGCTCAGCTCGTCCCCGTTGGCGGCTTTGTAGTCATATATGGCGATCACCTGACAGACTGAGCGAGAAGAAGAAGAAGAAGAAGAAGGAGTTTAACACGTGATGATTGTATTCATTCCGTGCGCTTTGTTGCTCTTCACTACTGGTTTCGCCCTGTTAAAGTGGGAGTTTGTGCGTTACCTGTTTGGGGCGCTGGGGTGGACTGGCCGCTGCTCGATCCCAGAATTTTGACATGAGAGGCGGGAAACCAGCCCTTCTGACGCTTTTTACCGCGGGCCTAGAGTCCGACAGCACAAACCAACGTGGGCAATGAGGTTTGAACAAGGCACCAGGGATACAAACAACATTTTAGCACCAAATCCTTGAGCCTGACCTGCAGTTCTCCAAGCCACCAGCCAGAGGGGTTCTTGCCGAGGATGACGATGAGCTGAGCGGTTTCCAGATTCAACTGTTCAGCGCTGCTAGTGGAGCGGGGTCTGATCACATGGGCGATCTCTGTGTGCACAAAACACAAAAGGTTATTCTCCCTCTCTTTCTCATTCCCTCTCAGAGAGATGTTAATACAGAATGCAAAACTATGAGCTTACCTGGCTTCTTCTTTCCAGATATACTTGATGTCTAAAAAGAAAGAAATAACTATTTTATAAGCACAACAAACATTTAGAAGCAGGACAAATAACAGGAGCGCTTTGCAGTATTTTGCCACATAATGGGATGTCTTAAGGGTTCTTACATCGGCCTCTTTGGGTTTGACGTAGTTGCTGGGGAAGACGCCTTTGCTGTCGCCTATAGAGCCGTGCCACCACTCTCCATCTTTCTTGCTCACCAAGATCAGATCCCCCTCTCTAAACGACAGGTCACTAGGCTCCGGAGACTCGTAGGTGTACAACGCTGTGTATTCTGAAAAGGAAAATACTGACATAACCAACATGAACAGCAGTTTAATCAATAAGGCTGCAGCTGATACAAGGCCTGTTGCTACTGACAACAAAAGTCAAGATAAAACTAAAAGTGCGATGTCTGTCCCCTAAATCACCCACAAATCATCAATATTACGGTTCACCTTTGATAATCAAATATTAACTGAACTCTGATCAGTCAGATATTTAAGAGGATCTTGTACTGTACCTTCCAGCTGAAGGCTGTCGCTAGACTCCGAAGCATCAGGAGGAGAACTCTTCACGCTGGAAACACAGAGAGAGACTACAGCGTTAAACCGTTTCATGTGTGTATGCAATCATCCGTCATTCCTCAATGACTGACTTGTGTTTTCCTTGATTTACCCCGAGATAAGGGCACACAATTTGTTATGGAAATCTATAAAAGTTTCATCAGGCAAATAGGGAAACCCGTGTACGTACTCTGGACTCCCTTCTCCCAGCAGTGTCACATATGTTTTAGGGAACCAGCCCTTTTCATTGTTCAGCTCTCCCAGCCACCAATTCTCCTGCTGCTCCAAAACCTGAATGACGTCGTCCTTGTTGAAGTTCAGGTGGTTGTCGGTCTTTGCTGTCCATGAGCACAAGGCCTGGGCCCACACGTTACCCACCACCTGCTGTCAGGGCACAGAGAGGAGCGCAGCACAGTGAGCATTCGAGCGTCGCACACGTCCAGACAACAGGGACTAAAATAAACCCACCGTATAGACTGTTTAAACCACTCACCTGCCCGTGTGCCTCAGCGGGTGCCGGGTTTGGAGAGTGTGTCGGAGTGAAGGCAGATTTTGTGCCGGCTGCCTTGACAGCCTCAAGCGCATTGGAGAGCTGGGACTGGAGCGGACCTTTAGGGGCCACAGCAGCGGCACTATTGGCTGCGTCCGACGGGGCCACCCTCTCAACGTAGCTTTCCGGGAACCAGCCCATCTTTCCTTGTCGGCTGCCGTACAGCCAACCTTCCTCTCGCTCCGTCGACTCATCCACCTGGCATACGGGAAGGTTTTAGGACAACGACATTCTCTCTTTGCTGTTGCGGTAAAAAGTTTTGGTTTTCGCTCTTACCTCGATCACATCGTCTGCGCTGAAGTTGAGCTCTTCGTTGTTTCGGGCAGTGAACGGATAGAGGGCTTTGAAGGACGTGAGGGCGGCTGACTTCCTGTGTTCTGTGGCCCTTGGTTGCCCGCCTAAATATATCAGACATTATGTTGAGCTTCAAAAGGGTTTACAGAGAAGTACAGAAAAGGAGAAAAATGCTACGTTTACCTTTCCTCTCTTCCAGTCCTCTCAGCAGAGCCGTCAGTTTCCCCTGAATATCCATCTTCCCTCCTCCACTGGCCAGCGGCTGCTGACGTGCCGTCTCCTCCTTTCTCTTTCGCACCTCCTCCGCTTTCCTCCTCTCCTCTTCCTCCTCTCTTCTCTTCCTCTCCTCCTCCCCCCGCTTTCTTTCCTCCTCACGCTTCCTCCTATCCTCATCCTGCTGCTGCTGAAGCTTCCTCCTGTCTTCGTCCTTCTTCCTCCTATCCTCATCCTGCTGCTGCTGAAGTTTCCTCCGGTCTTCGTCCTTCTTCCTCCTCTCCTCCTCCTCCCTCTTCTTTCTCTCCTCCTCTTGCGCTCTCCTCTCCTCTGCATCTCGGACGGCGGCCACGGCTGCCCTCTGTCTCCTCCTCTCCTCTTCCTCCTTTTCTCTTCTGCGCTCCTCCTCTCTCCGCTCCTCCTCTAACCTCTTCCTCTCTTCCTCCCTCTTGCGGCGCTCCTCTTCGTCCTTCCGTCTCTTCTCCTCTTTCCTCCTATCTTCCTCAAGTTTCCTCCGCTCTTCCTCAAGCTGCCTTCTCTCCTCTTCCAGCAGTCTCCTCTCCTCATCCTGCCTCCTTCTTTCCTCTTGCTTCTGTCGCTCGTCTTCTTCCCTTTTCTTCCTCTCCTCCATCTCCCGTCTCTTTCGCTCGGCCTCCTCCTTCACCCGGAGCTCTCGTTCAACCTGCTCCTTCGCAGCCTGGATGAGGGCCTGTTTCTCTCTCTCTGCCTCCTCCCTCTGTTTGGCCTCTTTCTCCTCCCGAAGCTGTCTCTGACGCTCCTCTTCATCCTTCCTTAGCTTTTCCTGCCACTGCCGCTCTTTTTCTATCTTAATAAGCCTGCGGGGGGGGGAGGGGGGATTTAGTTTTAGTTTGAATAGATTTTTTATGGTCGGTCGAGAAATCAACTGAATAAAAACAAAAATACCTCTGCGCTTCCTCCTCCTGTTGTTTTTTCCTCTCCTCTTCCCTCTTCTTCCTCTGCTCTTCCTCCTCCTTCCTTCGACTCAGCTCGCGCCGCTTGTCCTCTTTGATGCTCCGTAGTTTCTCAAGTGTCTCCTGCTGTTTTCTCTGGCTCTCTCTCATTTCCTTACGCACACCCCCCCAAAAAAACACACCATTACTAAAGTGAAGGATATGAGACTTAATTCAGCTGACTAGAAAGACACAACTAGATGAAGACGAACAAACAGCATCCAGAAACACACAGCATGCACATACATCAAGCAATGTGTGGAGAAAGCATGAAGAAACAAAGACACCTAAAGGGGAAAACCTTTAGTAGGTAGAAGAGGTTACGAAGGCAGGCCAGCAGACAAAAGACAGCTCGAAGCATTGAGTCCTCATCACCCACATACTGCAGAGTTGGTGATGAGGGAAAGGAGGGAAGAAAACATGAAAGGCATCCAGCACAGGAAAAAACAAAAGAAGAGAGAGAGGACGGTGAGAGAAGTCCTACAAGTAGTTGATGAAATCAGTATCAGACGGTCAGAAATAAGGTCGTGGTGGACAGAAATGAGTGATTAGAGAGAAGAGGTTTTAGCGGCCGAGCTGCAGTGGTAAGTGCCTGAAGCACTCTGTCCACTTCATATGACTTAAACACACTTCTGTGCAAATACTGTACTAACATGCCAATGTGCAGACAAATGTCCTGCGTCAATCTTTTAATCCAGTAATTTATTATGTTTGTTAGTTATTGCTACTTATTAAGCAACGGGTCTGATGCCATGTTAAGAACGTTACTATACATTTAATTCCTACCTGCATATCTCTGTTGTACGCGTCCACCTCGGTCAGTTTGGCAGCGGCCTCTTTCTCCAGGGCTTCCAGCTGCTCTCTCAGTTTCAGACATGTCCCTTTTTTCTCTGTGACAACCACCTTGAGGGTGGATATGGTTGACGCTACATGAAGAAATAAAGTCAAACAAGCAACAAAGTCTTGGATTGCGGCCGCATTATTTGCAAAATGACAGTATATGAGTAATATGAATATTGTCATTCTTTTTACTAATTAAGAATTTTCATAAAATTATATCAAACAATTCCATTTTTTATTGTAACGCAGACGTCCCACAGTGCTGCGCTAATAAGTTGTTGTTCATTAGGTCCTTTCATCAGTCACTACTAACCAGGCAAGTTATTCACAGACATGTTTCTGAGTTTATCAGTCAGTCTCTTCTGCTCCGGAGTCAGCTGGGACAACTTTCTCTGGAACTCCTAACAAAGACGACATGCATCAGAAGCAAGAAGAAACACATCATTTGGGGAAAATATCCCTCCTTTTTTTGGCATTATCTCTCATTTGGCATTATCTCTCAACTTTGTTTCATGTAAAGTTTCATGTATGAACCCTAAAAAAAAAAAAGAGGACACACACAAACGCACCTCGAACTGTTTCTGCAGGTTGTTAATGTCCTGCTGGCGGGTCTCTTTCCTCTGATTGGTCAGATCCAGCTCCGTATTCTGAAGCTTCTTCTTGTTCTGAAAGTCACGCAGTCGATCTGAGATCTGTTGGTGCTTGTTACCCTGAGGTACAGAGACAGGGGGAGAGGATGACAGGACATTATAAACTATCCTTAAGGATGCTTGACAGAGTCAGCTGGACAAACCGAGGTAAACACTGCGGAACCACAATACTCATTCTGCATTCTCGAGAAATGTTGCACTGGAACCAAATATCCCCCATAAAAACTCACCACAGCCTCCAGCTCCAACTCAAGACTCTTTTTCTTGGCTTTCAATCTGCCGATTTCATCCTGTTCCTGCTCCTTCTTTATCTTGAGCTCCCCTTGCCGCCTCCTCTCCCACTCCTCCTTCCTCTGACGCTCGAGCTCCCGCTGTGCAGCCTGCGAAGAACCCACACAGGACACTGAAGCGTGCAGAGACGACTCTCTGCTGTGCAACGAATGGGGGAGCGTTCCCACCAAAAGCCCTGAGTACAGAATCTACGGCCTCTCACCTCTTTTCTCTCGATCTCTCTCAGCCGCTCTTCTTCGTTATGCCGCTCGATCTCTTTCTGTCGTTCCAGCCTAATTTCCTCCTCTCTCCTCCTCCTCTCCTCAATTTCCCGAGCCTCCTTCTCCCTCTTTTCCCGCTCCTCTCTCTCTATCTGCGCACGCCGCTCTCTCTCCCTCCTCTCCGCATCCTGGAGCGTCTGGCGTCTTTTCTCCAGTTCTGCGTTCCCTCTCTCCAGGTTGGCTTTGAATTTATCCTCAAACGACACTAAATGAAGAGAAATGAAAGCTTTTGATCAAGTCAGTGTTGGTGTGCGGTCTATGAGGAGTCAAATCTAAATAAAGAAAAATGCACCTGATTTTAATGAACCTAGAGAACATTCTAATTTTTATCAGGTTTAAATTGTAAAGGTTTTGAATTAATCCTGTAGAACTCTATTTTAGAGTATTCAAATTACTAATGTGCCCATTAGTTATTTTCTAAAAATAGATCATTGTTAAAGTTGACGTACCCATGATGACTTATTTGACTAATTCTGAATTACTTTTTGAGCTTTTGTGTTTGGAAAAGAGGATTATGGATTTGAAACACGAATAAAGAACCATGTATATTTTCTAAAATAATTAGTTGTTTTTGTTAAACTGTCACTAAGAAGTGATGCTATACATTCTTATGAGATTCAGGGATTAAAAAATAGCATCTAGCTTTGAACTCAATATTTAAAACCAATTAACCTAAGTTTTATTTTTGGCTACTACCACTAGTGACTGTGTGTAAGACGATAGTGTGTACAAACCCAACACCAAAGTGCGCTGCCTTACACTTCACTTGGTATCGGACGCTGACGGCGACCACAGTGTCACAGCTATTCATGCATGGTTAGAATATTCAATTTGGACTGACCAATAAGAGTACAAACATAAATAGCAACTCTGATTGAGAATACAGAGTGGTCTAATCTGGCTACGAGGGATTGCATGTGCCTTGCATAATCTTTGCAATGGAGAAAATAGAGAAGAAGACTGAACATTTTGCGGCAATTAACCAAAGCTACAAACGGTTGGTAGTGAGAGTACTGACGGTTTGGTTTGGTTTTCTGTGGAGGTTCTATGTCAAAGCCATCAGCCAGAGCAGCATAGAGAGAAGAGCTGGATCCATTCACTGCACCCCTGAAGCAGAACATAACCAAAATAATATAGAAACATTTACAGCAGTGTTGTCCATGTTAAATGCAGTCAATTGTTTGAAAACAACTTGCATCTACTCTAAAGGGCATTTGCAATATTTGTAAGAAATTACGCCATAAGTGTGCTCATACCTTTGCGAGGGTGGTATGAGCTCAGTTGGCAGTGTTAGCGGCAGAGGTTGCCCAATCTTTGCCATATCCACAAGATGCATGGCCAGTATGAACTCCTCCGCTTTTAGTTTCCCGTCCTTATCCACATCAGCTAAAGTCCTGTGGGAGGGTTGCAAAACAGAGGACAAGGTTTATACAGGATTTCCTAGTGACAATTACATACGGGATAGGAAGGTGCCATAACTAGGAAATATGCACCATTAGAAAGGTTATTTAATATGATTACAACTCCTTTATGTACGTTAGGTAGAATTAAGTGCATACGTAAATCATTTTGGATAAAAAAGCGGAGGTACAGTGTTTTACAATAAGCAACATGATTTCCTTGTATTTAGTGGTAATTGATAACAAAAGCAACGTTGACCTTTAAACAATAATTTCAATCTTGACTTTGGCCCTTGAACACAACACGTAGCAGTCATGGGACATGTACAGACACACACACACACACAGACACACAAAGAGATATTCTCACCAGATGGAGGCAAGTTGTGTCTGAGTCAGCATCGTGGTTGCCATGGCGCCTCTCACCTGCTGACCTACCAACAAGAGTTACAAACGTCAGAACACCTGTAAGCACAGATACGTGGGTGTGGTGCAGGAAGGAAAGGGTCAAGGGTGTGTGCAAGGACCTGTACAACATGTGCCAATTTACACATTTAACCTGATACGTGGAACAAAGAGGGTGGCCGGATGAATAAACACAACTGGTTTCCAAGACTAATGTGTGCATTAGAAAAGATCTGCAAGTGTAGCTGAAGTGAGAGAGAGTGTGTGAGCGCGCAAACATGCGCAACCCGATCAAAAGATTAAAAAGAACAGGTCCAACGAGGCTCGTGGTAAAAGAATGAAAAGGTAAATCCATACTTGGCTGTGTGTCTGTTGAGAAACTGCCTGTGTGTCTAAACACACTCACATTTAGGGGCGGAGACACCTCTACCTTCTTCAATGTTAGTTTAAGACACACACACACACACACACACACACACACACACACACACACACACACACACACACACACACACACACACACACACACACACACACACACAAGGGCAGGGATGCAATTGTTATGAAATAATTTGTGCGAATATCCAGTTTGGTTTTGCGCAACCACCTCACTGTTCACATACAGACAAACCGAACACACACACACACACACACACAGACACACACTTCGTACCACTGAGGTATCCTGCCATTTGTTTATCCAAACTGTTGAACTGCTGTCGGTATCGGAGTCTGGAGGCATGTGGCACAGCCCAGTCGCTGGGAACATTAACCATGGGGGACATCAGAGAGGGGGAAGAGGAAGCTGAGCTGAAAGACAAACAGAGGCAAAACTAAAAAAAGAGCTGACTGCAACTCAGTAAGACAGGGTGTGTTTTTGCAGTTGAAAACAATTAACAAAACACTGGAGAATTTGCTTGGTGCTTCAATATTTGAGTGTGTTTTTAAATGTGCGTGTGTGTTACCTGATAGATCCTAAATCCAGCAGGGAGGAGGCCTTGTTCATACCAGATGAGGAGAGTCCGAGTGGAGAGGAGTAGGGGGATGCTGAGCGAGGTATTCCTGATGACACAAATCAAAAAACTAACTTTCAACATTTGACACTTATGGAGTGAAATGGGAGGGTCTCTCTACAATGGGTCAGTAACATGGCGCCATGCAGGCAAATCAGAAAGGAAAGATTAATACATTTAAACATACGGTAGACTAAAAGTTGGAAATGCAAAATCATCTCTACCAGTGGCCGAAGCTCCAGGGGCGAATGGGTCGAGACCTCCGAAGCTGCCGTTAGGCAGGGTTGCGTTTCCCATGGTGGGCATCATGGGCCTGGAGGGGTTGGAGGCTATTAAAGGGCTCAGGCCAGTTGCTGAAGGAACTATAGGGTTGTAGCCTGTCATTGGTGTCAGAGTTGAGAATCCAGGGGTTGCCATGGAGCTAGCGGCAAACATTGGTAGGTTTGTCCCGGTCATCATAGGCATGTTAGGCACAGTAGCCATACCTTGAAAACACACACAATAGGAAAAAGCAGTCAGATAACGCAGCTGTCAAAATGCATGTGTGCAAACAGTAGATGAGTCGGATACTTTCAGCCTGTCAACAGTCGTGAAGATCTCCCAAATGATATATTTGATGTTACATCTGTTAAACTTTTTTGCATTGCAGATAGTAATGCTATTGTACCATAGGCCGGGTTGGTCAATAATGAGGTGGGGTTACTGAGGCTGGGAGCAGGCACAGGAGGCTGCTTCATGATGACTGGCAGTGCTGAGGGAAGCGGTGTACCCTGGAGTTTTAGCTTTATCAGCTTCATAGCAATGGAAAACTCCAACCTGTCCATCTTCCCATCTTTATTCATGTCAGCCAGAGTCCTGAGAGACAAAAAGGAAAAACAGAGAGAGAGCAAAAACAGTTAAAATCTTGTCTTTCAAGTACAGATTTACGTAAAAAGTTGCAGAGAATCCATGGCTCAGAAATGTGTGTGAGAGTCGGTGTGCTTCTCACCATATCTCAGCCAAAACTGAACCAGGGAGCCCTGATTGAAGTAAAAACTTCTTTGCCTGTTCCCCTACGGAAAGAGACAAAAGGGAAAGAAATTTAGATTTCTTTGCATGCAAAGCTGAAAAATAATCCTACAGCATCCATGTGCCTGCCTGAGGTCAACAACATTTGAGTTCATTTCATTTACAGGACAATCGGGGATAAGTGTTTGTACCTGAGACGTAGCCCATTGATGGAGAGAGGGTGTCAAACTTCTTATCATGTTTGACCCTCTCCTCTGGAGAGATCGCCCATATACTTGGACCACCTAGAGGGAAACAGACGAAATGTCAACATGCAAAGCCTCAAACATCATTAGATGAGTGTCAGCCCAGTCATTGTTCTGTGATAAGAAGCGGAGTTACTGAATGAAAATAAAAGTGTATTCTACTCAGCAAACCTGCTTCTCCAAGAGGCCTGTAGCTGTTTTACGCTCTCATTGTTTAAATCAATCACGCACATGCACATTACACAAAGACAACAAGTACCGCGGAGCAAAGCAAACAAGCACGATTACAGAAAAGTAAGGAACCATTTTATGATATTTAATTAACAAAAGAAGGAAAAAAAATAGAGCAGGTGCACAAACACACACACAACCTTGAGCCGTCAGAAGCTGGGTGTGCACTGATATTGACAAAGTGATAATGAAGTGCGCATGAGTGTTTACTCCACGGCCCCTCAGCAGATGTAGTGAAGGGACAGTCTACTTCATGACAACAAGGCATACACAGTTTCTGTAACTTTACTCCTTTGACTGGCACCCTAAACAAAGCAGCTGTCAAAATATGGAGAAGAAATTACTTTGCGATGACGACAGAACACAATGATTGTATAAAATGTTGGATGAGCATTAGAGCTTTAGATGAAAACCTCACCCGTGGATCACTTATAAACCCTAATGGACATAGTGTGCATTCGGAGAGACGTATGTGCAGCAGAACTATTAGTAGAACTAATAATATGGCGGTGCAGCAGATTGGAGCCCCCGAACCACACACAGTGCTCGATGCAAACACACAAACTGCAGAGGTCTTACCATTCATCTTTGCAGGTGGCAGAGGCAGAAACTCCCGGTGGCGTCCTCAGCTACTGCTCGCAGCCATCTGCAAAACACACATTGATCAGTCAATACTGCAGCTAAGACGGGACAGTGGTGTCGCTGGCAGGAGAGTGAGAAAAAAAAGCAGAGGCCGAGAGAGAGAGAGAGCGAGAGAGAGATGTGGTCAGTCAGCAGAGTGCACAGAGCTCCTCCTGTTCTCTTCAGCCAGGAGCAGCCTGGCCTCGTCCCAAAGCTTTTAAACAACTGGGACATGTTCCAATAGTATCCACACAGCCCGTGGTGGTAGTGAGATACCAATAGAACACAGCTGGAGCGATGAACCTTCACTAGCAAGCATTTACAACAGAAACGGGGACACGGGAGGATTAGTTCAGGTGAACTAAACACACATTCATATGTCCACAGAATCCACATAATTACATTAAACAATAGGATTTGTAACCAAAACAAGAAAATATGGCTCCAACATACAAGGATACATTTTACTTTAAGTACTTGGTCAGAAACAGAAATATTAAGATAAATCTACATTTCGCAACGACCATTACAGAGCTTAGAAGTTCCTTCTGAACCAAAGCGGTGCAGCGGCCGATGAGAGTATCAAAGCAAACCCGTCTTCTCGTCAGCAGGGACCGCTCCCTGCTCAGAGTATCTGACGTCATGCTCGTTGAGTCACGCCCTCGCAAAACAAGTGTGGGAATCTTGCTGCTGTCGCATGAACTGCTTTTATGGAGCCAAATGTTCTGCAGCTTTTAAGTGATGATTACTATATTTAGTGCAGCTGATGGGTCTGATTCGCCATGTTTCCTTGGATAAAGTTTCCAATGATAATACATTATATTTTGGTATGTTACGTTTTTTTAAACATTGATTGGGATGGTTAAGAGGACGCTTGTGGTAGAACACAGTGTGGTAAATGCACTAGAAGTTGTATCTTATCAAAACATTACGAATAAGCTCTATTCCGGAAGTCCTGTTTAGATTTTAAACTGTTGTCTCTGTGCAATGGAAACCCACCTGTTGTGAGGATTACAACACTGAAAAGTACTGCAAGTATGCAATATAACAACAAAAAGGGGCTGGAAATATGTCCATGCGTCATTGTCGGGGAGACCCAGAATTGGACTGTGTTGTGGGATCTTTAGCTTTCACATTGATTTCCTTGGCGGGCTAAAACGTGCTTCCTCCGCGGCTATCGCTCATCCATCAGCCGGTCACACTCACAGGATTTTAGAGGGAGGACAAAAAGAAGGAAAGAAATTCCAATCTTTCTTCTCAAGGCTTCCTGCCCTGTAACCCACAGACACACAGGCATTTCCTCGTCAGACGTCGGTTAACAGGAAGTGATCATGGATTTTGGCACATGGAGAGATTTTTGAGCCAGAGCTAGGATTAGAGGGAGAACCGGGATTATGAAAACCGATTGAGAGAGAACATGCATTTTACAGCCTGTGTAGTGTTTGTGGACGAGGCCGGATAGACACTCTCACGCGGGCAGAAAAGTGAATGGGAGGGCTAATCGACTGCCCGCCATCCGGCGCTCTCCCCTACTCCTGGTCAACTGCTCCTGTACTGTATCCTCCCACCTTCTTTATTTCAGAATTCGCTTTCATTCTGCCCTCTTAAATCGGTCAAGTCAGGTTTGCAGCAGTTCTGACACGGCTTAGCGGTTCCGTCACATCTGTTCATGAAAGAGTTGCTGATGAATTCATTTTGTTGCACTTTTTTTTTACCCTACAAATAATATATACTAATCATAACGGATGGGTAAGGTGTTGACGAATTTACCTATTTGTCAAAACAAGACAACATAAATTGGCCATTGAGTGTTGCTCAGGCTGTAGTCATGGAGTGTGACTTCTGGTAATGCAACACTGTAGGAACGATGAATAAATGAAAGATAGCAGATAGTTAAGGTTGAACTAAACCGAACCTAACTACCGACTCGGTTGGCACGAGTCATCGACGGCTGTGGTAAACTCAGCTTGGCAAACCTCATGCAAATTTTTTCCGAGGGTTCACAGAGGCGACAGGAAAGTGGCCGTGAATGAGAGCCTGAGGCACGGTTAGTGTTACAGTCGGCGCCAGAGAAAGGGACACTCGAGTACATTTATAAGATTGACTCGAGTTTCCATTTTTTACACAAGGGTTTGCTTGATCGTCAAATCGGCTGAGCAGCTTAAAGCTGAGAAGACACGCTGTATACAGAGAGCACTGCCTCCTTGCAATGACCTGCAACTGCAAGCAAACCTTTGATTCCCATCCAATACCACCGTGTGACACCGCATATCATTTGCAGAACGTTGATGCACAACATGGAAAAAGATTTATTTTGTAAAAATGACAGTTTCAATTGTTCAGTAAATTTTGGGAGATTTCTGTTTTAATAAATGTAACCTTGCAGGGGTCCGACTGTTACATTGGTAGAGTACTGTTTTATTATTCATCAAGAGAATAAGCCTGAGATTGCACTTTTCACGGTGTGGTGTTGAAAAGCTGTGAGCCCGTCCTGGTGCTCACAGGTGCATCTTAGTCCAATTACTGCTGTCATGGTTTAAACTTAAATAGACATATGACTCACATCATGTCCCAACCTGCAGTTTACAAAAACAGCTCTCCACTACTCATTTAATTAAATGACTCCTGTCCATTGCATTGTTGCAGTGATCTAAATTAAATCTTCTTTGTTGTCTACCAGCCCTGCCTAATTTGTATATATATTTTATATTTTTGTACGATATTGGCAGAAAAAAGACTCACGTAAACAAAAACTCCTGTTCCCTTTACGTTTATCATTGGACCTTGTTTGTGCACCAAAATACACAGCGGCACGTCTCTGAAACTTAAGAAAGTAAAGCTACAGCATCAACACTATCACGACTCAATGTACAACAAATCAGTCAATGTTAACCACTTAAAGCTGAACTAATGGCCTTCGAACATCGAACGTTACCTCCTTCACTTCTGCTTTGGTGGCTGCTGAAAGTCTGGGACATTTCTTGCCCTCCCCTATTTATCCAACAGTTTTCACTGTTGGATAAATAGCCTGTCTGCCCCTGACATTAGCTGCTCCATTAGCAGCTCTGAACCCTGCATGTCTGTCTGTTCGGCCCTTTCGCTCTCCTTAATGCACATGTTCCGTACTGCACCTGCCTGCCAATAGACCCTTTTACATCGACAGAAATCAGACAAAGACGGACAAGATTAACGTCATTATCTCCTCTCTGAATCCCTCCACTTCCTTTTTTCCATTTCAGGATTGTCTTTTGGACAGACGTTTTTCCTCACTCCCTCTCTGTGTCACCATTGTTTATCTATGTATGTCTTTACCTGAATAGCCTCCCAGTTGTGTGACCCTGACCTTTCCTCGTCACTACTCTGCTCAGTAAAAAGCAGTCCTATGAAATCATTGATTATCCAGCCGCCTAGCTGACCTCACACCAATGACATCATCTCCATCCTGATGACTGTGTGTGTGTGTGTGTGTGTGTGTGTCTCTAGTAGAATCACCACTGCTCTGGGCTATCCATTATCACTCACTCCCCTCTTTGTCATTCATTTTTTTAGATTCTGTCTCTCCAACTGCTTACTACATACAAGGCATCAATCCACCAGTTGCGTTCAGAATTTTGGAAAGTTCTACAAAGTGTTTCAAATTTAAATTTGATTAAAATTGTAGGCAACGCTGTGATGTGTTTTCTCTAGAGGCTCCTCTAGTCTGCTTAGACCCACTCTGTGTTCATGTATAGGAGGATAAGACTACTGTGATAGAGTGTTGTTTTATAGGGGGGGGTTACAGCAACTCTGACCTGTCAGTCAATAGTAAGGTGGAAGGGGAAAGCAATAATTAACAACCTCACTCCTTTAACAGCAAACTGGCCTCGTCTCCTCTAAACACAGCCAGCCTCTTCGAACTTGCATCTCACATCATCTTCCACCTGAATCCCTTTGCTGCCCACCGGAGCACCCGCCCCCCTCTTGACCTGCAAACATTTTCCTATTTTCCAAGAGAAAGCAGTAGTCAAATGTCTCCACCCTTCAACAGGTCGGTCAGTAGATCAGTGTCAGTGAATGAGACCATCGTGTTTGCATGGGAATGGACTTGGACAAGCACTACGCTTGCTTTTGGGGGGGGCGCATTTGACAGGAGAGCCGTTTAAGCATCAGCGTGCCTACAAAAATGATGATTATGATTAAAAACAAAAGAAATCAAGATTTTCAGAAACTTCGTAAATGCTTTAGCTTTGCACCACAACGTGTGGTAATTATTCACCACTATGGAACGAACCAAGACGAGCTACATTTTCCAAAAGTAAGATAACGATTGGAAACAGCAGCTCGCTTTATTTACACAGTGACTCGGAATGACCGATACGCTGAGTAACATTCCCCGATCACCTGCCACCAGCAGACCTGTCTGACTGCAACGCAACCTGAGCAACTCGTTTCAACCGAGAGGAATGTAGGACACGGACATTTACAAAAGGTACCAATAAACACCCCGTATATAGTGATCGATCCTGCCTTAACGTCATACGAAACCATAACTTAGCCATTAGCTGACCCAACTCCCGTCGCAGCTGGGCAGCATCAACCCACTACGAAGAAGGAGTTTAATATAATCAAAGCAGACACACTTAACAAAGAAATACACCGAAACTGCACTTGGTGCTAAAGCGTCCGCGAAAACCAAAAAGCGATCTACGCGAGCAATAAAACAACAACAATGTCAAACTTACACTCTTGCTTAGATAAGCGGTTTGGTTCGCGTACCTTTCTCACAACGGCCCCGAACCAAAAAAAAAAGAAAAAAACATCAACTTCCGCGCTCGCGCGGCCTGGAGGAGTCACCCGGCGCTCCGCGACGGATCCCCGGCTGCCGTAAAGCGTCGCGGCGCTATCGGGGGAACGTTAAAAGTTTTAAGCAGCCTCTCGCTGCTCGGAGTTGGGGACCTGTTGCTGACAGCTCGGTGCGTGTCACGCCAACAACATGGCTGACTGTGTTGGCTGTTAACGTCTGACCGTCCGCCCGAGTGGGAGGAGAGACACGGGGAGGGACGCGAGTCCGGGAGGAGGAGGAGGAGGAGGAGGTGGGGGGCCATCGATGCGAAAGCGCACGGGAGAAGGAGGGAGGGCGGCTTTTAACTCATTTGACGTCCTATTCAGGTCATTTACCTTTTGCTACAAAGCGATCTGACCGTTGTCACACGTCGGTGTAAGGACGCACCGCCTTATTCGTGAACGCACCTGATTTAACGTTAGTTGACATTTACCCTGGATGATCTTCAGGGGCCAACAGCCATGCATTATTAATGTCTACTGAATATTATTCCCACTTAATGGAAAGGTGGTGCTGATAAGAATGGTGTAGGTGGGAAAGGTAGGGTCTATATTGCAGTTTTGTAACGTTAATTTGTGTCATATCGTGTTAACTATGAATTAAAGTCGGAAAAATGTCAAATGAAAGGAAAGTTGTCGAGACTAAAATGTTCTGAACGGGTTGATGATCCCCTGTATGCAAACTACGCAACCCATGGTGCATTGCGGCTGCTTTACGTTCGAGCTTTGCGACGTTGTCAAAGTATTTTCCCCTTGACGGTTCGGCCCCAGCAAGGACCGAAGCGGCGCAAACATGTTTAACAAAAAAACACGGAGGAACTTTCGGCAGAGAAAAGAGAACTCCAGCGACGATGAGGACGAGCAGAAGAACAGAGGAGACGGGGAGGAAGGTGAGAAAGCGGCAGCTGCGGTGAATAAGCTTTCCAAACTGGCCCAGGGCCGCGGCATTACGTGCAGCTCCAAGCGGGAAACGACGCCTCCCAAGTCGGCCAGCAGCGACGATGAAGACGGGGAGACGGTGGAAGTGACAGAAGAAAGAGAAGAGAAGAACCAGGACAGAGATGGAGTTAAGACGAAAACAAACGCCATCCTCAGTTTCTCAGACGACAAAGAAGGTGAATAACTGTAAATATGGCTTTTTGAAAGATGTCAATATTTTCAAAGATGGACCCCAGCCACACGTTTACTCTCAACGTACGTTAACGTTACAACAACGTAAGAATAACAATGAATATTCATACATTTTTCTTGGAATATTTTGTTTTGTTACGTATTAATACGGCTGAAAAATACACATACTATTTAAACAACGCATTTAATAATAATAATAATAATTTAATATTTTTCACAGCCTGTTGTCATCACTATCCTCATCCTCTCATTTGATAGATAGATAGAGTTTGGGTCAGAAAGGAGCAATTTCGCGCTTATGGATCTTTGATTTTCTTTTTTTTTCTGTCTTAGCTGAAGAACCCACATTTAAACTGAAGAAGTCCTCCGATAAAGCTGTGCTGTTCCAAGTTAGGAGGAAGGAGGCTTCAGCTGCTAAGACAAGCCAAAGCACAGGTAGGTGAATGAAATATTGAACACACACATTGGATGTAACATTACACACACACAAAGCTTAATAAAACACTCTAGTTAAGTTAACACTTAACACTTAATACATATCATGTCACTTTTTGAGTACACCTACCCAACATATTGCAGTCTGATGTTCATGTCTGTAATATTTTACTTATGTATAAATGAGAGCAGACGACATATTATAATACCGATCAGATTAACTAGTTGCACAGCCTGATGAAATACAGATAGATTTGGTAAATTTGACTAATACCTTATTCATTAGCGTTTCGGGTTGGACAAACATTTGGTCTTGAGTAGAGATATATTGATTTTGTCAAAGAGGCTTATTTAAAATTCTTTCCTGTATAAAATGTGTCAGCCTACAAACAGCATGTCTTAGTCATTAAAGCGATATTCAACAGTTTAATCTCAATCCTGTATTTATCTAGACAACAATGCTACAACGTTGGCAAACAATCATTATTTTTTCCAACTTGCATGGCTCCCTCTTTTCTCTTAGCCGCTGCTCGTAGAGGTGTTGCAGCTTCTGCTTCTCCCCGGCAAGATCATGGCAGTCAGGCTTCACCACAGGACCTGCACCGTTATGATGATGATGACGAAGATTATGATGATGATGACAGTGATGTCAGCTCTCTCTCCGCTGCCTCAGCCTCAGCCTCAGACTCCAGCTGCTCTCCTGCTAAACCAAGTACGTGTTTTTCTGGGCGTTCTCCACAGAGTATTAAACACACTAAGAAAAGTTACTACTTGCATTATTTAATTTTCTGCAGCTGTTGATCGATATCTAACAATTTTTACTATACATCCATTTTACATTACTGCCACCTGACAAAGTCAGTCTCGTTCCACCTTAAGTGTTGTGAGACTATAATGCAATATGTCTCTGATTAAACGTGTGCATTGAAAACCTATTACAGATTATATAATTGTTCTTATTTTCAGTACATGTTGCATGCCCTGTCATTGCCACTAGTTAAAAAAATATTGAGCACATTTTCTGTGATTATTTAATGTTAATGTTAAGATGGAGAATTTCTGTTACAACTGACTTACTTCTGTTATTGCTTTTGATATCTGGTATATTTGGAGCAAATATTGGTCTGTCAATGGTTATATCTTTGTTTTTCTGCCATCCGTGTGTGTATACCATGACTTATCATCTGTCTATTTGTTTTTACAGTAGTTATTCCCAATGCCGAAGAGATCAAGGCAGCCAGGCGGCAGCGTCACAACATTCAAACCCAGAAAGACTTTATTCCCTTGAGTAGAGCTGGCCACAGCTCTGCTGGTAGCACCCCAGAACACTACAGCAGGGAAGAGGAAAGAGTTGATGATGATGATGATGAGCACGATGATCATGAGAGAAGAATCGAATTCGCCCCAAGACTGAAGAGCATCAGGGAGAGGATTGCAGAGAAACTAGGTATGAGAGTAAGGGATGGTTTGGGGGAAACCGATCTTAACATTCTTAACATTTTTAACATGTTTTAAACCTCTTATGACAACTGGGCTTGGTACAACTGTAAAAACTAAAGGAAAAACGTCATTAATGTAAACAGTATGTTTTTAATATTACATTATGATGGGCTGCCTCCAAAGTTTTGCCTGTTTTCTACCAAATTGTGGGGATTCTAAGCCTATTTGTTTGTGTCTAATCCAGGAGAAAGTGATGGCAGTTTCTCAGGAACAGATGGAGAAGAGCAGACACTTTGGGAGGAGACACAAATTGAGAAAGGAGTCAAGAGACGGCCAGGAGGACAGGTGAGAGATCGAGGCAGCCCCTGTTCGCTTTGTCCCTTTTAGTGTAAAATTGGCCGCTCTTGAATGGTCCAATAGTCTCCTTCTGAAGACTCAAGCCATCTGCTGGTGTAACTTCTCCCCTCGGTACTGCAACTTTAATGTTCTTTATCCTCTTCTATTTTCTTTCCCCTCAGAGCCCATCTGGCAGTGAATCCAGCAGCTACAGCAGCAGCAGCTGCAGCAGGCGAGACAGAGGACGACAAAAGAAGAGATCCACAGGGCTCAAAATCCCAACTCTCCCTTCCATCAGTATCTCGATGGTCAAGAAGAGGATCACTGGAAAGTAAGTTTCCACTAACTTTCTTTGCCTTAAAATCACACCACATAATACATTAGAGATATACTCCTACTCATTTAAGAAATATTGGTCTGACATGCCTCAATATTGTACTATTTAACAATAAAACGGTAAAGATATTTCCCAATTCATACAAATACTACTGAACTCGTTATTCACTCCACTGCTTTCTGATGATTATTACTATGTTTTATTTCTAGACTAGACTCTCTGAAGGAGGTGCACAGAGCACGGCAGGCAGAGCTGAGGAGGATGGAGAACGATGTTGAGGGCGCTAAAACTTCGGCGGAGAGTCTGGAGGAAAGTTCCTCAGAGAAACAGCTGAGGTTTTACAGGGCCATGACCATCTATGTCCACAACCTGGTGGAGTGCCTACGCGAGAAGGTCAGAAATAAGTAGATCTGTTCCGTTATTGTCTGCTGTTAATTCTCATATAATAGTACATTTTAAAAATAATTAATGAAGATGATATAAATGAGTGTTAAACTGTACCTTTCCTAGATGTCGACAGTATAACAAATAGCGCTGAGTGTCTGTGAGAAAAGGTTTTAGTTTTTAGAGCTGGAAAGTCGCCAGCTTTGGTAGACAAATGTGATAGAATGTTATTGTAATTATTGTAACGTGTAGAAATTGTCTATACCACATTTAATGATTAAGTGATTAAAGTGAGGACATTTTTCAACATCTGTTTGATTTCTCTCTCCATTTGAAGATCTGTGTTAAAGATCCAAGCATTTTGTCTGACAGCTGGTATTGATCAGCTGGGATGAACTGGAAGCTGCAGAGATACCTCTCTTCTAAAGACCGATGATGATGATGATGATGATAATATGCTGACTGGGTATAATCTACTGATTGTCGACAGGTAATGGAGATCAACTCACTGGAACTGGAGTTGCACTCTCTGCTGTCTGACCAGACGGATGTGCTGTTGGCACAGAGACGAGAGAGGATGAAGGAGCAGGCCGACCTTCTGCAGCAGCTCAGCTGTGAGTCACATCTCTCAGTTCATGTGTCTACATTTGCATTTGTGTATCTGTACAATATGTCTTTAACTGTATCGGTACATTATCTCAGGAAGGAACATTAACTGGGTTTTTTTCAATCCTTTTTTTTTAGATAACACAGATGAGCAGAGTGGCAGCTCCACTAATAGAACAGAAGCTCAAGGGTGAGTGCGTAAATATTTCTTTCAAGTTAACGTTTTTTCACGGCATAGTTGGTTTCTTTTTTCATATATTGAATATATTCTATACATAAACAACATATTGCATTCTGTTATAGTAAATTAGAAAGATTGACAAAATGAGTACAAGGATGTACAAGGTGAAATGTTTACCCAGTTATATGAAACAACTAGGAAAAAAAAAATCAAAGGAGAACAGCAGACTTGTCAGGACTGAATCTCACAAACACCTCGTCTCAGTATATTATCCAAATTCACGACAGTTTGTATGGTATTTTTCGGACATGTTGCAGCGAGGAGGACTCTGGTGTGAAAGCTGAACAAGATGTTGATATACCTGAAGACTCCCAACCATCAGCCGACGAGGAGGAGGAGCTGCAGAAGACGATAGGTTAGGTGTTCAACCTACATACTCGGGTTTTATGTGAACTTTTTTTCTATGAAGTGCGATACAGCTGCTATATAATCGTAAAGTAAACGGAAGAAGTAGTCCAGGCTGAATTATTTTATCTGACCCTTCCCTTCTCCCTCTGCAGCTGATATCCTGCAGAGATCCCAGGCAGTATTTTCTGACGTCCAGAGCGAGTTTTGCGACGTTAAGAAGATTCTGTCCCGATTTGAAGAATGGAGAGGATCCTACTCCGAGTCTTACCACAGTGCCTACATCTCACTGTGTTTGCCCAAGTTGTTGAACCCCATCATCAGGAATAACTTACTGGCCTGGAACCCACTGAAGGTACATGTGGACACGTTCACAGAGAAGAGCTCATACATACGCACAGAGGCCATGACCCAACTTGTGACATCATGTGTCCATGTCGTTTGTATGTTTCAGAGCGATAGTGGAGACTTTGAAACGCTCCCATGGTTCACAGCTGTTGAGACCTTTTGTCACGGTCATGGCTACGAGGAACTAGAGCACACCGACCGAGAGACACTGTCTAATGTCATCGAAAAGACTGTCGTACCAAAAATAACAGGTAACTCGCGCCCGCTCTCCCGCACTCACTTATTTATGCTAAGTGACCTGACATCTTTCACACACTTGTACTTCTCCACCTCTCATGCAATGAACCATGTTTCAGTAAGTGTCCGAGCGATCTATTATGTTAGAGCGATGCCCCAACACGCTCTCCTCGAGCTCCTCAGCAGATGTCATAGACGTGTCAAAGGACAGACACCTCAATTCTTTTTTTTTTTTGACTGTGCTTAGCCTACGTGGAGCTGGTGTGGGATCCCATGTCCCGCCATCAGTCGGTCTGTCTGTCAGGAGTTTGTCACAGACTGAAGGAGGACTATTCCATCTTTGAAGGAGAGCAAAGTAAAGCAGTCAAGGTAAGTTGAACACTGACATATAATTGTCAACACAGAAGTTATCCTGCTTTTCTATTTTAGCCCCTTTCTAATATTTGAGGTAGGGATGGGCGAGGGTTTCTATTGTCATAAAGCCTAATTGTGGTTACTTGAGATCACTCTGATCATCGAGAGATGACAAACTAGTAAGTTTGGATGGAAAATGAATGAATGCTCAGCAGCATCAGCCAAAGTTAAACTCACGCCATAATTGTACAACCCCCACAGTGATTTTACGAACCTTAATATCTAACGATTAAGACACAATATGACAAACTTAAAATATGTAGAAATTCAGTCATACTGTATTGTCAATATGCAATTCACAATACATGACCATGTTTGTGTTAACAATGTGTATTTGTGTCCCATGCAGACATTCAAGGAGGCTGTGATCAGCCGACTGAGGAGCTGCGTGGATGAAGATGTCTTCATCCCTCTTTACCCCAAGAAGTCAGTATATCTCGCCATGCCTCTTAATCTATACATTTATATTTATACATTAAGGACTCATTTAAATGATAAACCTTGTTGAGGACTTTTCCCTATCCACGTGCACATGTTCTCAAAAAGAGACTCAAATATGACATGTTTCTGCTTAATCATTATATATCAAATGTGTTGATCAATAACCCTTTTACTATGATGCATTGTTTAAAGATCACGTCAAATTTCTTTATGAAAGTTCTGTCGTATTTCGAATATAATATATAAATGGTTTGTTTTCCGATTTAGGTTCCTAGATGACCGGTTGTCTTCTCAGCGTCGCTTCAGGGATCAACAGTTCTGGACGGCCATAAAAGTACTCCTCTCTTTAAGACATTATTGTTTTTCTACCCAAAGAGCGGAGTTACAAGTTCCATTTCGCTGTTTGTTGATCATTGTTTTGTGTTTTGTATTAGCTACTAGGTAACATTGGAAAATGGGATTTTCTGCTCCCCGAGTCTGCTTTGAAGGAACTGATGTTGGACAAACTGCTGAACCGATACCTGATGATCACCATGTGCAGCCAGACGCTGTACAACAATGCTGTTAATGCGTGCAGAAAGGTGTTTACGTTTAAAACATTTGGAATCTATTTCTGGGGTCTGTTCCCTTCATCAAGCTCTGGTTGTTTTCTATCCCTCAAGCTTATTGTTGTTGGTAAACCTCCCACTACTTTGTCTCTCTACAGATAGGAGACAGTCTTCCGCTCTCTTGGTTCAAAGGAGAGAATGCATGTCTGCCTCAGCTCCAGAATTTCAGAAACTTTCTTGTTCAGGAAGTTCATGCCATCTGCAAACAGCAGCCTCCTGAAGATCCAAACACCCGGTAAGTCCACTGGAAATATGTTCACTTGACAATGAAATGATGCATTGAGTCATTAGGTCAACCTCTATAAACTGCTTGGTGACTAGTAAAATCCATAGTGCTTCTCTTTATGCTTTCATTTATTGATGATGCAACAGCAGTCGGACATAACCATTTGCTTCATATTGCAGCTTCAGTGACATAAATAACACAATATGACAGATTGTGATGGATACCATTGCAGATTGGACTGATTTCCTCCCTACATTTCTAACACAACTCATCACCTCTTGTGTGCCCATCTCCTGTAGGTCTTCTGTGGTTGAAGTGTTGCAGATTTTGAGTAGGATCAGGTGCAATGACTCTATCATGGCAATAGCAGAGAAATACCACTATGAAGATGCCATCTACTCGCACCAGCTGCTGAACCAAGACACCACATGAACAACAAGCTATGTGGAATGGAAGGTGTTATGAGAGCCATTGTACAGCAGGAGAGTGCTGGATGTGACTGCCCTGTGAACCAGATACATCTAGAGCCATGAATGTCGTTGTAGATAACCACTGCTTGTGTGAGAGGTGGAGCCAACCAACGGTAATAATTACGTGTTTAATAAAGGACATGGTCAAGAAAAAGGTGGAGGAAAAATAATTCCCCCACCTGCATTTTTAATACATTTTATTTTTCTGTTCTTGTACAGGAGATAACTTTCTATGAATAAATATTTGAAGATTTAGATTCTACAGCCAACGTGTTGGTAGTTATTTACACCCGGTCAGCTGATGGTATTTAGGTATATTTGGTGACTGGCAGGAGATAAACTGGGATACTTTTGGAATGATCTATGCAATTTAAATGGTTAAAGCAGCAATCACCATGGAAACCATCACTGCAGGTCAGCGCTTTAGGTCAAAGCAGTTTGTGGAGCAATATTACAAATCTTATTTAGGTCACCTAAACGACAGTCATAGAAGTGACGTTATTGGCAGTAAAATAATTTGTTCTCTGGATGGATGAGATTAAAGTATTTGGCTTTGACAAAATCTATTCCCTACCCCAGTGGGAAGACACATTATCACTGGGGACACCAGTAGTGGGCCTTTTTCCTGCTTTCACTTAACCTCCTTTATTGGGGTGTATTTTCAAACAAAATAAACTCAGTTTATCATTGGAATCATTTCACCATACATTTAAGGATATATATAAACAGTTAACATTCAGGTCCACGCTTCCTGACATCTTCACACCTTATTACAGAGACAACAGAAGGAGTCAAATCAGGCACGGCGTGTGTCGTTGCTCAACCCAGAGTCTTCAGTGGAGACAAAGTAGAAAGCTTTTGAACATGAAAGAAAACTTCTTAGAGTTGGTTTTATTTATGAGGTGCACACAAAGCAAAACACACCATTGCACACAATGCTCGAACATGAAAAACCAGCGCTGACATCACCACTTGTCACTTAGTGGACAAAAGCAGGACACTTGTCCAGAGAAAGTTGTCAATCCTTTAGTTCCGATAAATGAGCAAAACTCAAACTTTCAAACACTAGATAACAAAACAGCAGGCATCTGTTTTCTGACAAGGCTCAAAAGCAAACAGTTGGATGAATTGTTGCAACATTCAGCTGAGTAATTTTGTCTGAATATGACATATGAAGAACAAAGCGATCAGGATATTCAGCTGACAGGCCAGGAATGCTCGTCCACACACACACACACAGGTGCAGAAACTGATCTTAATACGTTTTTATCTCCACAAGATGTTACAAACAAGTTTATGATTGAGCAAGAAAAAAATGCAGAAAGTATCACCTAAAATAGGGTTAACTTCATCTGAAGGTGCACTCCATCTCTAGTTAAGGTGCTTGTGATGAAATGGCTCCAGAAATTGGAAACGTTCCAGTTGATATTATGTATGTTAGTAAGTGCTGAGAAAACCGGGAGTGTGGCATCGTTGGGGGACTTTAGATGACGGAGAACTGGATGCCGTGTTTGTTGAGGCGGTCCGTCAGTGTGGTTTTTGCAAAAGCAGCTCCTGGAGTATAAACTCCTCCCCTGGAAATACGTAGATGAAAAACATTGCAATATAAGTTCACTCTCACGTCCTAAAATGTTCTTATTGTATTTCACAGTACCCCATCTTCTGTTTTAAGTCTACTCAAATACACATTCAATTTCCATCTGGTTCATCATGGACTAGTAGAAACTCTGCAACCGGCTCTTTCAGAAGTAGTTGACGGTGTGTGCAGTTGCGATCCCATGTAACGTTCGATTTGGGTGTGATAACTTACGTCTTGGGCAAAGCTGTGGGTTCGTTGAGGATTGTTAGAGCAGCCTGTACAATGGCGATGGGCGTGGCCACATAGCCACATTCTGAGGAATATAAAAAAAAAAAAACCCACACACAAGAGAATAACAATAAGACAACAGGAATGGTGTTAAACAGGCCAGACCAGAACGGGTTCTCATCTACTTAACCTGACGGACCGCCTGAACAGAGGCAACTAAGAATATATTTAATATACTTCAAGCCAACGGTTTTAGGAGGAAACCAAGTATACAAAACAGTCTATCGTACAAAGGTTTCCCAGTTACCTGGTCCCTGAACCAGTGTGCGGATCTTGCCGTTAGGTTTCCCCTGGGAGGGGTCCTGTCCCTCGGTGTAACCTTCTCCGTAGAAAGCTAACTGGAAGGATGACTCCTCCATCTGATACGAACACATATCACAATACAGAACATCTTCCTTTTAGCACTCCTAATAAATAATACGTTGTTTTAATTACAGGGAGCTTTTCATAGTAGTCAGACGCTTCAAACATGGGTTAAAGCCTTATTTGCTGGTCAGCACTTTACCTGCTTTCTAGTTGGTCCGGCCTTGGAGAAGAGTCCAAAAGAGAAGAACTCAGGGTGCTGAGGAGGATATTAACAACAGAAGCAGGTAAACATTCACCAGCACACCGTACGTGTACTCTGACCGAACTTGTTGAAACAAAAAAGTCAAAGTCGCTTCATGCCATCTTTGTTTACCTTGATGAGTAGGTTGCGTCCAAAACTGAATTTGACCAAAATCCAGAACATCATGCCAGCAAACATCAGCTTGGCGACGTTTCCAATACCTCCTATTCCTGCATACGCTCCATACTGCACCTAAAGTAAATAACAAAAATAATTTATTTAATGCTCGACAAACATAGCCGGGGCAGTAATAAACGCACCGCTATGCACCCTACTATTGTGATTAGAGAATAAACCAATTTTATTTATATTAGTCATAAACGGTTCGCTTCTCTAGAAAAACACAATGACAAAGACATTTACAAGTGAATCAGAGGAATATCGTGCAGAGAGAATAAAGGCTGACCGGTTTAGCGTGATGTTCCTCCACCACAAAGCGCTGAGTTCTCTTCACAACGGAGGGGTCGGAGCCCATGAAGGGCACCGTATACTGCTGGATCTCGTTGCTAAAGAACATATTTCCCCTACGGACACACACAGAATTACACTCTGAGAAAAGACAATACCTTCAACAGCATTAAAGTGTGGTCCAACTTCAGAATATGCTCTTGTTTGAAGTTTACCAGAAGGATTCAAATGTGTTCAGAGGATTATCCACCAATATTATTGCCTGCTACCAACTCATTGCATATACTACATATCAGCGTACATGCCGACTGATTGTGAGATAAGTAAGACAAACTAACCAAAATAGCCAAGATAAGTTTGAGACATTTTAGAAATGGTGTGTTCAAATATTAGTATCTGTATTGGCCAAACAGTCTGTAACCAAATCAAATGGGTATCTTCCCAAGATAGTCTTTCCAGTATAAAACATCTGTAAAGGGATTTGCATGGCTACGTACCTGCGTTTCAGCTTAGAGCCAACAGCAGGGAGAGGTTTGTGATTGAACTTCCTCCTGAGACTCTGCAGCTTCTGGCTGTCAGAAAAACCGTAGATAGCCGACTGCCAGGTGCCATCATGGATACATCCGCCCTGATAGGGGAACACGGAGACACAAACATTTACATTTATAGGGTCAAGGGTGAGAATGTGGAGGAAAAATAGAGCATAAAAGCTAACAAAGAGAAACGTCCCATTAGGGCTTAGGGTTGACGTAGTTACATACATCATCACCCGAGCCGACAGTCAGGAAGCTCTCCACTGCGGACAGCGTTCCTGTGGGTGAAATAAAATGAAAATTAATGAATGGTTATGGCATGGCATATTCATCTTGGATGGGAGGGTTCACCCTTAATGTTTGTGTGCAGATCAGTACGTACGTACCTTTGAACTGGTCTCTGGTGTAGAGGACTCCCATGTCCGCAGGTATGGAGTCAAATCCACAGCTTCCTATGATGTACACACCTTTTTCAGCTGCCTGGCTGCTGTAGTTCAACTGCATGCCCTCCAGAAACTGAACACACACACACACACACACACACACACACACCACTGTGTAAATGCACCAATAGAAACATATACAAAAAGGTGTAAAAGTTAAGTCTACAATGTATTAAATTAAACTGATATGAAAGAGCATGACGTTATGTTTGTCCCATTGTGTCTACGAGGCTGCAGCATGTTTCAAAACACAAGCTCAATGTTAAGACATCTGCAGGAGATGATCCATGTAGGGTCCACTTACAACAGCTATTTGAGTAAAGTCAAGACGATTTAACTTTTAATTATTTGTGTGCAACTAAATGTTTCAAATGTGAAAACCCAGTGTGTAATATGGCAATCTAGGGACTAAATGGCTGCTTTAACAAATAATAATAATAATAATAATAATAATAAAGATATTAGTAAATTTGCTATTATTTTTTTTTCTTCTAAGAAAACAATCAGTGGTTCATTTGAGATCCGTCTCATTTTCTTCTTTGTACATTTCTTATATTTAATTCATACAAACCAATGTAATAAACAGTATAACACCTTCCTGCATATCTTACAGTTTGTGATGATTAATGTTGTACTGTGAGCATACCTGAGGCTCTCCACTGATGTCAATATGGTGGGACCCATTCTCCACACAGGCTTTGACCACTGGCTCGCCATAGAACCTGTACTACACACACAAACACACACACACACACACACATTAATGCACTGTGCCACTATTCCCTCTCTTCTCTCCCACATGGGTTGATTTGTCCATGCAGACCCCTGCAACGCTAGATGAGTTTTCATTGACCTATTTGATTATGTGTTCATGCAGCACGTACCTAATATAAGAGAAGTCATTTGTCAAGCATCCATGCAGTGACACTGACATACCAAGAACTCCAAGAAATGTTACTCAATGTCATCTTTTATCTACAATGTCAGGAGTAATCTCATTATTAACAAGGTCTAAACCACTTCTAGTCACAACCGGACAACCCATTGTGCACACAAAAAGTGGGCCGAGTGGGAATGTTGCACAAGGCCTCTTTGTTAAAGATACCATGACAACACAAAACCATATATTTCTACACATAGAACTAATTTTTCTACCAAAACCCGCCATTACCTCTCCTCACCATATCCATGACCAACAAGTCCTCCTTGTCCTTTCCTCAGTGGCAATCCAAACAAACTCCTGTTAACTTGTTTATTGTGCAGTCAAAAATGTTGTATGTTAATGTTCAATTTGACATGGAGGTCAAATGACTCGTGAGATGTGTATGACTCATCTTTCTATTTGTGTTCTCTGTAATCTTTAGTTGTTTGTTGATACTATACCCTGCAGAGCGAGATAAATTCTCCCTATTTAACAACCCTTGTTCCCGTTCTTTAGATCATCATGTGGCTTACAGAATACCGTGTGGTCTTTCTCACCCTGGTAATAGATTTATCACATACATTACTTTTTATGAACGACAAGACGGGCAAACTCTTTTGCTGTACAAAACCGTAGAGGTTACTGCAGGGGAATAATTTGGTTTGAAACCAGACCCTGAATGATAACCAGGACACAAACGCTTCTGGAAACCCACTTTTCCCTCTGACTTGTTGTAATACAATACAACTCATTGTGTCCTGCAAGTCAGTAGCCATCATTGTGTAAAGAAAGGCTGCTCTCTGTGTGTGTGTGTGTGTGTGTGTGTGTGTGTGTGTGTGTGTGTGTGTGTGAGAGTGAGAATGAAAGAAAGACAGAGGGAAAGAGAGCTACGTCGAGCTACACTGATTCCAATGGGAGATGCTAACATGCCAATGTTGTGAGATGATGTGAGAAAAAAATTGTTTGCGTCATGTGACAGAGCAGGTTGTGTGTGGTAAAGAAGAACAATCACACACACACACGCGTATACTTACAGGCCCCACACAGTTGAGAACAATTACAGCCTGTTTGCACATGGCTGCCAGGGAGTCTGGTTCCCCGACATCTGCCACAATGATGTCCACCTCCGACCTGAGCTCAGGCTTATCTGCAAACACAAGCAGTCTTTAGGAATTAAGGAGTTCAAACCTGCAATTGTACCTATATTGGCAAATATAAGCAGCCTAAAAAAGACTAAATATAATACTTGCTAAAACCATATATGCAGGATTTTCGGCTTAAAACAGGCAGTTTACTGTGTTGAACTGAATGGCTTGTCAGGCTGTGTGTGTGCGTGTGCGTGTGTGTGTGTGTGTGTGTGTGTCCGCTGCCATGCAGAGAGCAGGTTTGTTCCATCAGCTGTTTGCCCTCCCTGAGGAGACAGAACAATAACTATCTAATCCTCTGGAAACCCACATTACTATCATGACAGGAGAATAGCTCACTGGTCTCAATTTAGTAATAGACTTACATTTTCCATATGGAGTGTTGCATTGATACAAATGATTCAATTAGGAAATGACTGGCATACTATTAACTATAATAAATTGCAAAAAGGTGAACTTTATTTCTGTTTTTGTAAGACTGAAATTTGTTCAATTGAATAAAAAGAAAATAAATGATAGATATATATACTGTATTTATTGTAGTGACGTGTTTGCCGGATACAACTTTTCAACAGAATTTCCTGTTTTTCTTAGTTTTCTGTACTTGGGGAACTGAATGAAAGCTGGTTAAACAGAAAACCACGTTACAACATCCAAATTGACGTTAATGGGCATTTTCAGGCTTAAAGCACTTCACTCACTTAGATTACTCAATCAATAAATTACTGGAATCCCTTATTAATGCCAACAGTGTAAATGAAAAGGTTCTCCGTTTGTTGCAACGTCGCTTGCACTCTGCACCTCATGCTATCACCACTGAGCACAGCTTAGATAGATTAGTCCTCCTGAGTTAAGCCACCTTCCCGTGCTTTAGAAATGCTAAATTAAATACAATTTAATTTATTTAAAAAAAAGGCGCAGTCTCACCAAATGCACTACCCTCGCATAGGACACTGTCCAAGTTAAAACAGACGAATTGCTGCAGAATCAGTCTGCTTGAACATGACAAACGACTGGGATTGTTTAAATAACGTTAAATGACATACCGAGGACTCCGGCGGCCTGCTCCAGAACTTTTTCTAGCTTCTGCTTGCTCCTGCCTGCCACGGCCCACTTCAGGTTCCCTCTTGGACCCTCGGACGCGGTCCGGGCCACCTCCTCCACCACATACTGTCCGGTGAACCCGGAGGCTCCGAAGATAACCAGGTGGTAAGGCCTGCTGGACGACGTTTCAACCCGCGCCATGATGACAGCAAACAGACTGGAGGATCTCACTGCGATGGTTGCTTCACCTCCCAGAGAGACTGACAGGAGAGGGCAGGACTGCGTGGTGCGGTTTTGACAGCGCCGCTTTCTACTTCCGTAGCAGCTCTATGCTAATGTGCTAATCTATTCTAACGACAGCAGTAGTTTGGTGGCAAAAAAATGTGCTTGTAAAATCAATTGTGTAGCGTTAGGTTTGTTTTAAGCAATTAATGTGTCTAGTTATGCTCGATCTATAAGCTACTTATATATTATTTGTTTATTTTCAGATTTTTATGTTAGCGTGACAACTTCCTTGATTTTCTCCTTGGGATTTCTGATTGGCTTTAGTTAAAGTCGCCTGTCAATGACGACATTCTGATGCGCCTGCAACGCCACGAGAATTGCAAAAACAACCAACGGGGGTCGGTTACTCAATGTCACCGAGCTTTACCACCGAACAGGAAGACAAAAGCACCTTTTAAATCGCCAATGTGATTTATATTCGGATAAATATACCGTGTTCCATAAGGTATGTCTGTGTTTGATCACATCAAATAAAACTAAAACAATTTAGTTGGAAGTTACGTTATCGTACGGCTAGCCAGTTGGCTACGTTTAACGTATTACGTATTACGATTTACTGCTAGATTCTCAAGCGATCGTTCTTGGACTATAGTGAATTAAATAAGTGGCAATTAAGTTATCTATATTGTGTCACTTCGATGCCTGCATGCTCTTCTTTACCGTTACATCATTGGTCCGTTGTTCCTCCCCAATCCTTCTAGGCAATGGGCTCTTGAAGAGGTCCCCCAACCTTCCTCCCCATCTCCTAGCTCCAGGTCCACCGGTCCGCCATGTCCACCCAGATATGGAGAGGGGCCGACCTGATGATGCGCTCTGCTTGCTGCCGGACCATCAGAAGTAACGTTAGGTCCCGTTTGCACAAAGCAGTGTTGGCCCCTGTGGGTCATTCTGGCCTTTGTGTCCCCGCGGCTCCTATGCTTCATAGAAGGGCCTACAGCCTGGATTTTCTCTCCTCCGGTCCTGGTCGACCCACACTAGGTCCAAGCTCCGAACAGCCGGGTGCAGAGAGGACTTCCCCCTCCTCAGCACTCACACACAGGAACTTGTCCGCTGTGGCTGTACAGGTAGGCAGTTGTCTATTGAGCATCAGCTTTCTTTTCACTACTATGGTCTTGATATTTGGCTACTAGAACCATTTTGTACAACGAGAAAAGCATTAAAAGGAATCTTGAGTCGCAGTTAACTGAAAAAGATAATAAAAAGATTGGTTTCTGATATAGTGTGAGCTTCTTGCCATATGATCATTTTTTTCATGCTCTGTTTGTGTTGCTGTCTTTCTCTAGGGTCAAAGTCGTCCCCTGTGCCGGTATGACTCTCTGGACCTTGGGGAGGTAGAGGAGAACGTACGCCGGGCTCTAGCCTGTAAAAAAATAAGGCACTTCATAGTGAATCCAGACCTGGCAGAATTGGTAACACAGCATCTCAGACCTGAGAATGGTAGAAGTGTTATCTTCGAATGTAATCCAGGTATGTACTTGGACTATCTTTTAAATCGCTGTGAAACACAGAAGAATTTAATGAATTCTTCATGTTCTTTTGGTGTGCAAGTTCAATCTTATTCCCCACAAACAGAAAAACTAACAATCCTTTTAGCTTTTATGTGAATATATGTGTGTATATATAATTTATTATATATGTATATCATTGCTGTGAAACAACAATTATTTGATGGGTTTTGTTTCTGTCCTTCGTTCTTAGGTCCTGGGGTGTTGACAAGGACACTGCTAAATGCTGGTGCTCAGAGAGTGGTGGCTCTTGAAGGGGATAAGTTATTCCTTCGTGATCTACAGGTAATACAAACCACTCTACACATCGGATGAATTTTGGCCTCTTTACGATTTTTTTCTTCTCATTTTAATCACACTATATATTTCAAATTAGATTTTTAAATTCTATTCATTATCTCCTATGTAACAGTTAATCAAATACATGTTTGTACGTTGTAGGAGTTGGAAGGTCGCCTTGATGGCCAGCTGGAAGTGGTTCACTGTGACTATTTCAAACTAGACCCCATTGGTGTTGGAAACCTCAGACCTCCTGTAATGTACACTGACAAGCTGTTCACTGACCTGGGAATATCAGAAGCCAGCTGGACTGATGGTGAGAAAAAATAAAATAAGACACCATTGTGTTACAAATTCAACCCCTCACATATACAAGCAAAGAGGTTTCTTCTTGTCTGGCTGCAAACAAATCCCACCAATTTCATACAGTGCACCTCAATCTATATATTTACATAGATTGAGATCCACGTTCAGTGGATCACAGGTTTCAAACATTTAGAAAAATGCTTAGAATCCCATCACATGCATTGTAATGACTTGGTGTGTAGCTTTCACTCAACAACACACGTAACCGAATGAGCATTTTGAGTTTCATATGTAATTCACTGGTAATGTATTCATGCATCTGTCTTCCTAGATATCCCAGTGAAGGTAGTGGGCATCCTGCCTCTGCGTAATGAACGTGGCACGCTGCTGAAGATGGTTTACGCTCTGTTTGAACGGCAGTCCGTCTACAGATACGGAAGAGTTGAGCTCAACCTCTTCATAAGCGAGAAAGAATATCTGGTAAGAGAACAACAGTATTTTATCCTGTGCATTCATGAGAGAGAGAGTCTTAACATTGTGTGTCTGTCTTGTTTTCATTTTGGGAAGCTTTAAACCAATTCAGATCCGTCTGTTTGTCCCCCCTCGGCACCTCAATTCAACCTCTTGATCATCGGATGCAAAGGTTGCACTGAAAAGACAAGTGTAACCTCGGCCTTAGTTACTGCTTCCTCTGTCAGAACAATAATCAGCTTCCAAAGTCTGCCGTGAAAACGGTCCTATTGCTTTTGACAACATAATCATTGACCAAAGCTTAGGTGGACTTGTGTCTGGTTACTCAAATGATTTGATAATCGGATTGTGTGTTGTCCTTTGATCCTTGTGTATAATCAGTAACTGAACTATTTCTCCATCAGAAACTTGTGTCCCGTCCAGGTGAAATGATGCAATACAGAGCCTTCAGTGTCCTCTGGCAGATGGCCTGTGATATCGAACTACTGCACAAGGTACAGTTTGAGACAGGGGGATAAAACACATTAACATGATTAGGCAAATATAATAAAACCACAAGGGGCAAATTTAAACAGTTGTTTGCTGCCAAAAAATATTTCATTTAGTATACTTTCTTGAAGCTAATGCTGAGGGTTATGCTACTAAAGCGTCCATGTCTGCATGCATAGAGGTTGAATCTGATTTTAAAAGCGGCACTTAAATTGTACTTATAATGGCTCTTATCTATAGCAAGTTGTAAATTGGCTTATTTGATGAAATTGCACTTCCTTTTTCTTCTTCTTTTGTATCCTTATGGTGGAAATGCACTTATTGAAAGTCACTTTGGATAAAAGCGTCAGCTACCTGACATGTAATGTAAAGTAACCTCCTGATTTATCTGTGTGCAGGAGCCCTGGGAGTCATTCGTGAAGTCTTCAAAACAGAGAATGCCGAGCTCCAAGAACCAGGTTAGGAAGACTGCAAACTCGATAACGTCAATGCAAAGTTGATTGTCATTGTCTGTGAAATAAAACCTCTCCCTTCTTCCCTCCCATCCTCGGCCTCTTTCTCCCCTCAGCTTCCCAATGAGCACCTGTGCCTGGTGCGTTTGCGTCCGCGGGCTGATCTGTTCTCTGGGGGCCTCACTCCTACTAATGCTTCAACTCTGCTGATGATGGTCAAACAGTGTCTGGCAAAGAGGAAGGTCAAGCTCATTGACCGGCTCAAGTAAGCATTACACAACTATAAAAGCTATTGAAACATATTTGCAGTGCACACATTGTACATGTTGCATCAAAGAACTGCTCTTGGTGTGTCTAAGTCCTCCACTAAGTGCATCTAAGCTATAATAGTATCATAGGCTGTTCCAGTCAACACATCTCTCAACTTTATTTTCTCTTCCTTCTCCTCCCTCTTTTATGTCTTTTCCTAGCCTGTGGTCTCCAGATAGTGGGAGTAAGCTGTTATCGGAGATGGGCATGTTGGAGGACATACTGACTGGTCATGTATACCCGGAGGAGTATCTTCGACTATTCCAGCTGATAGACAAGAGTCAAGAGTTCACACAGAGCTGGCTTTATGAAGAGATTCTGGAGAACCCACAGAGGGAGGGCTGGGGCTAATAATAGACACACAAGTGTTCGTTGTAGTTTTATACAAATTGAATACACAAGTAAAACAAGTATACCCACATGTATAATATAATGTTACATAGAAACAAACAATATGTGTGACAAAAAAGACACAAACACAGGAGATACGTACAAGAAAGTAGGAGGTGAAATGGATGCAGCAGGTATCTGCAGTTAAATGATTAAAAATAATATTGCATAACAAAGGTTTGCATGTTCAAGAAGGCTGTATAAGAAGCCTCATGGTGCACTTATTTTAGTTGGCAAATGTGCATATTATCAAATTATTGATGCAGTTTTGCTGGTGTAGGATCATTTTGACATCATGTCTTGTATTGCATAGTCTTTCAAACCGGAGTAGCAATGCTGAAGGAAGAGTCAAGTCTTTGTATTTTGTTGTATCCCTTGGCTTGTGTTTACGTTTTCAATGTCATGTCATATGGTTTGTGTGAATGATTTGTAAGAAAAATATTAAAGCAGGATTTTGATAAATGGTGTGTGGGACAAATTGATACAAGCCTTTTTTAAATAAATGCTTGCATTTCCTATGCTCTTATTTTGCCTTTGAAATCAATTTATTTTCTTTTGTTACGTTCAAACATTGGGTCATATCATTAACTTATGAACACCCTTTCCTACAATATAAACCGCTGGCTCAATCAAAAAGAAAAGAATATGAAACCACGGGCTTGAATATTGAGAGCGACGTTCCCGCCGCTGCGCGTGCTGACGTGACGGCGCAGCGGCACAAGATGGCGACCTTGCACCGTGAGTCTACCAACACTCGGCGCGGGCCCGGTGACAGCGATCAGCTCTCCCGGTTGGTCGGTATAACCTTCGTCAACGTTACGACAACATCCCCCCCGGTGTGTGCCCATCGATTCTTCGCAATCCAAGCAACCTGTTCGGCCGTAAGTACCGTGTGACTGTTTTTTGTTTGGTTCATACGTTGTTGCTAATGATTCGTAAGCTAGCACGCCTGTGTCAAAGCGGGCGGAGGTGTAGCGGTTGTTGCCGAGGTCTTCTCCGCAGTGTGCTGGACAGATGTGTCTACCATTTTTTTGTTGTTTCGGTTAGCTCACGTTAGTTAGCCAGCCGCAACTGATTAGTGGCCTTAGCGTCATGTTGTTTCTCGGCTGGGATTTGAGTTATTACGTAACGGAGGTTCTTAAACCCAGCTAACGTTCATCAAACGTTTTCTAGCAGTTTGCCGCAGCGGCTCAAGCCTCGCTGTCAAAAGTAATTATACAACCAACACGACAGCGAGCGAGCCATCCTCACGTAACCCAAAGTACTTTACCAGTAACGAAACGTTACCACGTTAGCATTTTTACCACGCACAGGTTAACGCTTAATCAACGTTATCTTTTAGCGAGTTAACGAACTCGCGGTGTGAAAGGACCGTCTGCTCACAGCTGTATCTTCAACATCTGTCATCAGCTCATATTAAAGCCAAACATACACGGAAATAATCACGAGGCGAACTTTCTTTCTGAGCTGGTTAGTCACTAACGTTACACACATTTAGTTAAGTCAACATTAGCTAGACTTTTTGTTTAGCTTATTTGTCAAAACATGTAAAGGTTAAACATAAGACAACCAAAGTGGCGGTTAATGTCACGTTGTCCCTGTCTGTCTCACGTCTTCGAGGTGGCCTCTCACAGGACAGGCTTGGTTTGCCTTTTGCCTTATTCCCCCACTTTGTCCCTTCTTCTGTCCTTCATTTTCATGGTCCCCCGTGGAGGACGGATGGTTGTATGGACAGATGGCTCTTGGGGAGAGAGACATTAATTAATGTATTCTAAGGTTAAAAAACCTAGATACATCTTGCAAAGCATTGGGAGGTTCAAAACTATAATAACATCTGCAAGTGTAAACTGAAGGCCGTTGTTGCATAAGTCTTCATGTCCCAGGTGTTTGTCACGGACTGGGACCATTTGATCCTCAGGAGGGACATTAGACGCTTGCAGTGAGAAGACTGCATGTCCAAGGAAGCATTTCGTACTATACTTGCTTCTATTACTATCTCAAAGCCTACGGTCATGTTGTCTCACAGGTCCTCTGCTCCCCTTGGAGACGGCAGTCCTCAGTGCTGATTTGTTCATGGACTCGTCTCCTGAGATATTTATCCGTGTTACTGCAATATACTGTTTGTATGATTGTCCCAACGAGTATAAGAGTGTGCACTCAGGCAATCAAAGTGGTGCTAGGTCTCTTTGTCTTCGTCGTTGTTGTTGTGGTAAATGAATGGGTTGAGTGTTGCAGAGGGAAATGCAGGCTTACAGGAGGAACAATCCGCACAGTGCTGCGGGAAACCAGCACAGCTATATTCCTCTGAGAATAGCTTTCATGAGCCTGGAAAGGAGGTGGAGGTTTGGGAATATCCCCAACAACGCTAGTCAAACATTTGTTGGCTGCGCAAATGAGTGATGGCGACGGATTCGGTCATGCATGTTGACAAAAAAAATCAGGGCAAACCTTTAATCAATAGGCGCCATCTGTGTGTGTTTGGGGAAGGTATTTTTTAATCGAAAAGAATGATAGCTTGTTAGTACATCTTGAATCTGTCAATTCTGCTGTTGAATTTTCTTGCTGACTTAACTGAGCTTGAGTAAGGCAGTAGAGGAAATGCTGGGATTGGTGCTGTAAACTGATATACCAGTTTCACAACCTCTTCAATCCGTTGAAAACGCCCTGCAATAAAACCTTTTATTTTTTCTTTTGTATAGCACTTTATGGAGTGCTTCAGGGATGACATGTTGTTGTAGGCATCCTTGGAAGCCAGCCTTGCATTGGTTACCAGTGGACCGAGGTTGCAAATGGAATCGTTCCAAAATAAGTTCTGTGGTAATTACTGGTTGATAATAGTTAATTAAAGTGGACGTCGTCTCGCTGAATGATACTTAAGTTTGAACTGTAAATGCAAACGCCCAGGAGTACAAACTACACTACGGTCACACCACCGCCGAGCTACACAAAGCTGTACTAGAGCTAGAAATGACATTTAGTTTTTAGCTTTAAGACTGCGAAAAGTGGGGGAAAATTCCATTAACAAATGTAATCTTTTTCAGCCACGTGGTATAGTGTTAAGCTAAAAACTCTTAATGGTTCAGGAGTTGTACAGAGTTTTCTGATCTAATACATTGTCAGGTTTGTAACTAAATGTGAAATCACAGTGTAAATCTATACATTAATTTGGAGTATTATACTACAAGAAGTGTGTAGGACTGCTACAAAAAGTTTGAGCCTTAGTAGTTTTTTAATCTCTGGAATGATGCTAAACTGGTTTCGTGTGTCTCCCTTCTGCTCGCCGTCGTTCCTATGGAGTCTGACGTTGTCTTTATTTCGCCTTCTTTTGTGTAACTCCTTATCTCATCAGGCTCGAAGAAGGACAGCCGGCACACACCTTCATGTTGATCGCTCAAACGCGGTGAGGTGCTGCCCGATCAAAAGGTTGGGCAGCACCTCACCGCGTGCGGTTGACTGGTTTCAGCGGAAATGATAACCCGATTTTAGTTATGAGTCAAAAATATCCTACGTTTTGCACCTTTCATTAAAGCTTCTTTTCCTTAGAAATGTCGACGTCTTTCAAACTTCACGCTGCAAAGTGTTTTCCCCTTTTTATTTCCCTGCATGTCCTTAAAAAAATATCCCTTCAAGGCACAAAAGACTTGAAATGGTTGAAATGGTATCAAGGGAGTAAATAGAAGTCCTCTTCCCAGACTGCTGTACAAACAGACTTCCTTTCACAACCGGAGCAGTCGCCCCCTGCTGGTTTTAAGATACTTTCGCATTAGCTCAACCCGGCAAGCACAGGCGGACATGTGAAAGGTGACACTGCTCGTATCTTAATTGGGGCGGGCTGCACAAATGTACCCGGAGGGTTTAGCCTGGGATTTGGATTTGGATCAGTTTAAGTCTTTGCCCAGTTTTCTCTGTCACAGTAATCCTGTCCAATACACCACGTTTGCATATGGTGCCGTGACTTATTTAAATGCTTTAGATCATTTTCAATGTCACTAAGGCATATTAGAAAATAAAGGCTCAACCTATTTAAGTCCGACAACTTATGGATACTAATTGAACGTGCAAATAATATTTAACTGACAGCTGTTGAGAACGGGGAATGCTGGGTGCAATGGTTTTGTCTTCTTTCTGTGCTGCGGTGGCTTTGTCTCAAGTTGCAACTGACCTTTTAGATATAAAGTCACGGTCAACTGAAATATTCATAGGAATTTAATTGTGCTTTGATTTTCCTACTTTATTCACGTTTCGGGAACTTCACCTGATCCTTTATTTTATCTCCAGGCCAGCTGCAGAGGGAGGACAGAGCAATGTCACGAGTTCAGGTGGGCGGAGCTGACCTCTGCGATAACCTTCCCAGCCCGGACGCTCTCACTGCCCAAACCAGAAATTTCAACGAGACTAACGCGCTCGCAAGCCTCTCCCCCTCCCAAAAGGAAGAGGGAGGAGGGCTCATCCAACGGACCTCCGTCAACAACAACGGGAAGGAGGAGGAGCAGCAAGGAAAGGAGGGATACACAACAAGAGGCAGAGAGGAGGAGGATGAGGAAGAAGACATTGATGAGTGGATGAAGGGCGTAGAAGAGGACGAAGAATCCGAGGGATCAAGCGGTCTAATTCGCTGCCAATCGCCCGAAACTCCAATGACTGATTCCTCGTATTCAGAGACCGGTAGGCAACATACAGACGTTAAAGACAAACAGTCTCACACAGTGTTTGCCTCTTTCTTTTTGCCTGAAGCGATACTTTCGACGGCCATTTGTAGGCAGTAGAGGACCATAACAAGCTGACCGACACACAGTGGGTTGTTTTTCTGGCCACATTAAATGAAAGATGTTTAAAACCAGTTTTTGTCTCCTCCTACCCCTTAGTGAAATATATGACTGCTCATCTTTTCTCACTTTTTGCCGCTTTGTCATGCGGTAGTATATAGTGGATTTATTGAACAATAAAATATGAATTTGCTGGAAACAAAGCTTCTTTAGATATGAAAAGTGATTAATACACACTTTTTTCTTCACTTTATCTTTTTTGCAGTTTATTTTAAAAGTGAACATGTCACTATTACCTTTGCTCAACTGTGTGTCCTTTTCAAACTTTGATATGCCAGGGCCTGTCTTTTAGGGACCCTTTTGATAAAATAAAATCAGCAGAATTCTGTTGGAAGAGTCCTGTACACACCTGTGTCCTCAGGAGCTTTACACAACTGTCTCAGCATGTTCACTGTGAGTTATTCTCTTTTTTTCTCTTTAGGCAGTCTGTTGGAGACTCCGTATCCGTTCAGCCCCGGGACCAGTCCCGAGCCTGCCTCTCCCCTCATTCCAGCGGGTTGCCCAGAAACTGCAGAAATAAGTCAGATTGATGTCAAAGTGGACCCTCATAACGCGGACTTGGTTGCCACTACTCTAATTGCGACTTCAGACACCAACCCACCTGGGCCTACATGTATCACAGACAAAGTCTCTGCAAATACGGACGTCACTGCAGGACGTCTTGCTTCATCCACAGAGTCTGTCTTCAGCTCTGGTCCCACATGTGTGAGAGGGTTTCCCTCGACAGCAGAGACATTTACAGTACCTGCTTGCACCGCGATGCTCAACCCCGCCATTGCTTCCACTCCTATGAGTGCAACGGCTAAACCGCTTACCCTCACTGCGTGGCCCGCGACCCCCGGTACGGACTCCACGGCCACCACAGGAGCTATGACCTCAAATTGTGACCGCATTACCTCCACCCCAGTACCCACCGGTGTAGCCACCTGCGCCACAGGGCCTCCTCCACGCCCCGCCCTGCTGGAGTCCCTGGAGGAGTTGGCACAAAGAGGAGATGACACCCACCTTCCACTGTACCTTCACCAGGTAACTCTTCTGGTCTTATTATCGGACACAGTATGGCAAGCCAGGCCAGTATCACCACCAATCCAGGCCCATTACTTTGGGCTTTAATGGATGGTTCTGTTCATTTATTCTTTCTGACATTTTAGTCTCTTAATCCTTTACTTTCACACTAGTTATTAAATTGCTGATATCCACTCAATCCAACAATCGGAATGACATTTTAAATCTATCCTTCTCACACACACAGACTTGCATGATTGGACATGTATGTTATAGGGTGTGGGAATATTTCTCCTCAGTTTGATGTACTAATGTTTCCACCTGAGGGGGGGGGGGGGGGGGGGGTGTGTGTGTGTGTGTGTGTGTGTGTGTGTGTGTGTGTGTGTGTGTGTGTGTGTGTGTGTGTGTGTGTGTGTGTGTGTGTGTGTGTGCGTGCGCGCAAATGTGTTCAAACTTTATCAAAGATGTGCATTGCACTGTGAATTTCCAGTCTTATTTCACAAACCCATAATGTGTTAAAATAATCATTCTCATATTGAACGGTGGGGAGCAAATCTATATTTAAATGACTCCACATTCTAGCAGTGTATGGTATCATGTTATTTTGGGGATTGTTATTTCTTTTTAGATCTTAAAATCTGTCTGTCCTTTCCAATATGTGAGCGTTATAGTGGTTACAATGTTTTTATTTTTCATTGTACAGGGTTGCTCAACGCAATTAGTAGTCCCAATTTTCTACAATCGCCACAAGAAAAAAAAATTCTACATTGAGGATGAATTTGGGAGTCTCAGTGAATGGAAAGCAGCTGTTTTGAATTGTGGCGGTTCAGCAGCTGATACTTGGTAACCTGTTACAGCAGAGAGAACACGTTGTTGTTCGAACGGTTTCTGTCTTTTAATATCCCCTGAGCTCAGTACATCGATGCCAATAGTGCTCTGAGCATTTTAATCATCATCCTTCGAGCCGTCCTGTCCTTAGTCGTACACGTCTGTTGTTTGCAGTCAGGACGCGTTTGTAAATGTTCTCATGAATTTGCCATGCGTGGTTTGCCTTCTGAAATACCCCCTTTTGAGGAGCCTTCTTCCCCAGGATGGAGGTGTGCGATAACCGTGTCAGGTTCTTTGAGATGAGTCCGAGGAACTCAATTGGAAGCTGCTAACTGGCTCCACTTGAACCCCATTGATATATGCAGGGCTGTGTGTGTTCGCCTCAATCTTTGCTTTAGGTTATTCTCTGCAATATTCTGCATTTCCACTGTTGTTGTTGGGAATCATTTCAAACTACAATGAAAAGACAGAACAAATGTGAAAGTCTTTCCAGCTGTGTTTCTGAGTGGCGTCAGTAGTTACCTATTGAGGATGTTCAGTCGTCACCGCCCCTCTTCGTAAGAAATGCAAGCGCCTTTTGTGCCCTCCTCTCCTACTCCTCTTCCTGCTCTCGCTCTCTCACACACACTTCTCTTGTTCTGAGATCAGCTGAGCCGCAGGAAAGCAACACTTGCTGAAGAGAGGTAGTGTCACAGTCTTCTCAGCTGTTTCTATCTTGCTTTTCACTCTCTCATTTTCACTGTCTTTACCAGATGCGAGGGACTGGCTTATCTATTTTAATAGGTCATGTTTTTTTCTGTCATTGTTGTGTGTTGTTGATTTATACAAGTAACCACGCTACATGAGCAATAGTTTCAGTAGGGTTTCAAACCCATTGTGAGCTTTGTTTTCCTAATGGCTTCTGTGAAATAACAGATGTGATAAAAACATTGTGATGAAATGCACCAACTTAAAAGTTGTAATGTCTCGCTCTCTCTCTCTCTCTCTGCAGATTGCCGAGGCCTTTGTTCTTCACAAAGACTGTATCCTTAGTATTGTGTTTTGTTATTGTGTGTATTGTACTTGATTGTTCTTAATGATGCATTTTTCTATGGCCACTTGTCTTTACAGTGTTTTCTCATCTCACACATGCTTCTCAGTGAACAGTGTGCTAAAAAGAGCAAAGGATAGAGTAGACCAAGAGAGTAGAGAAGTCTTTTAGACATCAACAAAAAAAGGTATGTGCGAAAACACTGATTAGAGAGAGAATGCAGCATGAGGGTGACATAATAGTAAAAAAGAACATGAGGATGAGTAATTACAGAACGTGAGACCGAGAGGAAAAGCAGCAGTAGCTGATCTGCTTGATGCAAAAATGTTCACAGGCACACAAGGTAGAACGGCGCAGAGGAAGAAGAAGAGATGTACACGGAGGGAAGACCGATACCCAGATTAAACCTTTATTTGTTTTTAATGTGTTGCCAAAACAATGCACCTGTCAGATGAGTAAAGATTACTGCATTTAAAGGTTAATTTCTGAGTTCACAGTAAAATAAGGATTATCAGCACTCCTAAACAAAGCCTTTCCCTGAATTGGACGTCCGTTGTAGTAAAATGAAACGGATTCTATCAGCTGAACTTTTCAAATGTTAATCTCTAAACTCTATAACAACGTTAATTCTTTGCAGACACTTTACTTTACACAGTAACGGCCGATGAAGCAAACGTATGAGACAAAAAAGTGAACAGGAAAATACAAGAAAGCAAGCATGGGTAATAAATTGCAGTTTTGACAGGTTAAATGGGAGGAAAGGGACACTGAAGAAGAAAGAAGAGCGCTTTGCCATGTCATGCATGGAGAGAGAGCATTTAGCCATGTCAAAGACGGATTGTGTTCTGGCTGCTGGTATCCATAAACATGAGAGACTTCATCCTGGAGTTTTCCTTAATCGCTGCCCCGCCTCCCTGCGTCTTTGTCCTCTCATTTGGTCCGTCTCACTTTCTTCTCTCCCTTCAGCCCTGTCTGCTGGGATGCAGAAAATTAGCTGATGTAATTTTCTTTTTCTTTTAAAGCAAACCGCTCTGTCTGACTTGTTTTACTGTTTGTGTGTGTGTGTGTGCGTGTCTTTATATTTATGTTTTTCTTAACTTGTGGTGTTCAGACCAGAGGGCATTATGGTGCATCCAGTTAGAGAGGCTCTATCACCAGAGAGTGTTGGACAACCTGAATGCACTACAGCAGCAGTGGGGTAACATACATGCACACCACATCAGACATCTCATGTAAATGCATAACGGTAAAAACGTGTCTGCATATATATATTATTTATTGGGATTTGGGTGTCTACAAAAGGCAGCTGTAGAAGAAGGTGTCTTACATTGAGGAATCTGTGCTGGTCACGTGCAAAGAATAACATTTCAAAGTGGTACATACAATTATTTGTAAAATATATGTGTTGTGTACTATATAACGTATGCACGTGGGCTTTACACATTGCTGAATATCATCTGTGTCACTATATTTGCCCGCGTCCACAGCTATCAAGCACAGGACGCCTCCACAACATGACTGCAGTCTCCGTATCTCGTCCGTTGGATGATCACTAATGTATATTTAATGTAGTTTCAGTGATCATATAATTTGAATTCATTAATTCATAATAAAGCTTAGCTCTTAATGGTTACCTCATTGTCATAAAAATGCTTTTAACTTCCTGTATCTCTCTTTCCCTCAATGTCTATCAGGGAGTCAGTGTAGCAGTTCTTTCTTCGACCCGGCTACCCAACACCTGGACACTCTAAAAAACCTCTGCCGGACGCACAGACGGTCAGTCGGCATGCCTGCATGCATGTGTGTGGGTGGATGTGTTCTCTCTAAGGGCCCAAAAATACCAGGTGCATTTGCACAGTGGTGCCCGTAAAAGCTGAGCTCTGCATCTGATTGTCTGCTCTACATGCCTCAGTAACTGTTCAGGGTCTGGAACTCAAACGCATCGTCCGTGAGACTCATGACATTGACACTTTTTTCGCGCATGTATCCATTTTGCCACACGCTGAAAATAAGAGGGCAATAGTTTGTCACATTTGGTATAGCAAGTAAAGCGATTAGTAAAGTCCTATTCAGATAATTATTGTCCAAAATGACCCTGACTGTGACATCACTTCCATGGTACATGAGTGTAGAGGGAAAGTCCGCTCAAATGACATTGTAACACATAAATAATGTCCTCCTTTGATTACTTTCATGAATTAAATACACATTTTTACTGTCAGAGGTTTGCAGAAGTTGAAAAATGAAAGGGAACATAAGATCTATTTTTCTAATTTCTAAAGGAATTCACATGACCATTTTGAGTTTGAAGCAATGAAGTATTTTAAACTACAAACCAGTCCAACATTTTCAGAACCACAGTCACATTAGAAATGCTTCTGAGATGTTTGTCTTGGATTTATGAAGTGGGTCCTATAACAAAGCTTCAACAGAGGTTTGATACTCCGTTGTGACAGTCAACCAATTTGGCTTTCACACCGTTTCTATTGGCTGCACACCGTTACTCCACTTGGCAACTTGTCGTCATAAAATCACTAACGTGTAACCCCTTATAACGCTGCTGCCTCGGGACCCACAATCCTTTTGGTGACATGTTTACAAGTTGGTGCAATAATCCAGATAATGTTGATTTTATAAAAGTTATCAGTTGATTGCAACTTTACTAAAAACTGCCTGTCAGATAGTAAAACACAGTCTCAAACTATAGACACCTGCTTCGTGTGTGTGTGTGTGTGTGTGTGTGTGTGTGTGTGTTTTTCTCTGACTATATGCATGTACATCTTTGTGTGGGGTTAGCACTGCAGTGATGGTTTGAACACATGGCCCTCTGCTGCTGCTGCACTTACAGATATTTGAGCCATCACGCCGCTAAGGTTTCACTTCTCTTGACTCACTCACTCACACACACACGCACTCACGCTCACACACGCGTTGTAGTAGCCAGGGAAATGTGTTCGAGCTAATATTAGATTGGTAGAGTAGAGCAGGGTCACCCATCCTCACTTCTTCAAACCAAGAACAGCCCTTCAATACTTGTACCGTCTCAATCCTCCCTCTCTCTCTCTCTTTTGTTCATAGACCGGGACCTAGAGATGCTGTGGTAAGACATTCATCACTTTTGTGTGCGTCTGACTGTATGAAAGACTTATAAGATGAAGGCAGAATCGCAGTGCAAGTGAATCCATGACGTCATGGTAACCTGTTACATGTAAAAGATCTATTGTCCATGGTGTTTACTCTGCATGTACCCAATACGATCATATTTTAAATAATTACTAAACTGTGTAGTGTATGTATTACAGATATTTATTTGTGTGTGTCTGTACAGTGTGCATTTCTGGACCTCTTGAGGCCTACATTTGAAGAAGGTAGTGCATTGTCGTTGTTTACTTCAGGTGAGTGAGTCGGTATATATATTTATTTATTTAAGTAGGAAGTCAAATTAGTTTTCAACCAAATATTATGAAAATTATGCAACATATTCTGATTTAGTTGAAAGTTACTGAAGCGGTTAATTTGTGGACCGCTAAATGAACGGCTATGTCCTCCATGTTGCTCTAAACCAGGGGACAGCTGATGGTCTGCAATAAAAAGTATCTTGTTAATGTACCTGTTGACTGGTGGGGCTGCTCTCCACACTCACTCAAGGGTCTGTGCAATCAACTAAAAGACAAAATATACATGCAAATATACATTTTCCATACAATACATCTACAGTTGTATATATATTTCTATTCTCTCACTATCACATCTGACTTTAAGGTTGTGCTTGACCGTAAGCGATGCTCAGACTTCCGTTGACATGCAGTCATCTCGGATCTTGTACCTTTAAGAAAATCTTTTCCATGTAATGAATACATGGAAAATGAGATGCAGGCAACTCCAATACACTTTGAGTGTAACTGCTGAAAAGATGTTTTTTAAGAGAGCAGTTCTCTGAGTACAGCAATGAAATCACTGCCACTGTAGACCATTCATTGAAGATTCTCGTCACCTTAACTAGGAAAACGTGGCTTAAAAAACAACACACTCTCTGTCTATTCTCTGTGTGTCTTTTTCCTCCAGTCCATCGGGTGGATGAAGGGATGGAACAGAAAGCTCCGAACCCCTCGCATTACCAGAGCAGCCATGTACCTTCCTTTAATTTGACCGGTGGGCTTCATTCCCCTGAGATCTCAGAGAAGGCCAGGTCAGACCCAGGCAAGGAAGTAGAGGGTGGCGTCTGTTTCCATGGAGACCAGGTGACTGACAAGCATAGCGGCCAAAGAGCGGGTGGAGAGGAAGGAGGAGGGGTGGAATACGCCACTTCAGTCAGAGGAAATGGACTACACCCCTCTACAGCTGGAATAATAGACCAGTCCAAGCCCGCAGAGCCGCAGGGAGGAGATTTAGGTCCTACTCGGGGAAAGGAGGCAAAGAGGGAGGTGAAGGAGGCAGCCGAGGCTTTGGAGATGGAAGATGAGGAAGGGGAAGATGAGCAGGAGAAGTCAGTATGTCAGAAAGCTCTCCCAGTTGACACTCTGGCCAGTGGGGCTGATGTAGAGCTGCACCATGAAGCCCCAGCTGAGGAGAAGCTGCATGAGGAGATCCAGGTACACATCAGAATTCTTAGATCAAAAAATAAATACAGAGAAATGCTTATGTTATTTATTTGATTTCCTAATTTTTTTTTGTTTGATTGACCTGAAAGTACTTTGCAGTTAAACTGTGTCACCAGTGCCAAGACCAGTATCCTATATACCATTTGTTTTTCTTCTGTTTTTTTTATGTTTGCATTGCTTCAGATCTTTGAGGCTGTCATGGTGATTACAGCTCATACTAACTACTTAGTTCCTCTATGTCTCAAGCCATTGTTGCTTTTGCCGGAAATACAAAATGTATCACTTCCTTTGGTCCAGATTACTATTTTCATGTAACAAGCTTTCCATCCTCATCAGTGAAACAACTTTCACTAAAACACAAAGGTTTTAAAGGCGTCCTTTCCAATTGTGTTATCAAAATAGAGAGCAACAAATTAGATTACTGTGTCCATTGCTCTATATTGTTATGTAAGTTATAACTATCTTTTCATTATCACTGCAGGAGAGCCCTAAAACATGCCTGCACCAAGAGACCCGCCTTCCCCAAGAGGCTCACACCAATCAGCATGAGCAGGATGAGGAGGTGAAAGAGGGCGATGATGAAGATGACGAGGAGGAGGAGGAGGAATACAATGAAGTAGAGCAGGTTGATGTCATTAAAGAAGCTTCCTCACTGGATGACATGGCTAAACTCATCACTGTAGAGGAGGTTTGTACACTATCACTCTTTGCATTAGATGAGGAATAAGGGAGAGTAACTTTAATTTGCATTAATGCTGATGTGTGTATATAATAGGATTGTTTCTTCAAGTATGCATATAGCCTTGCACAATTTGTTACATTCCGTCTTCCTCTCGGCCTCTGGGTCTAAAGTAATGACCTTTTGAATGCATTCTCTTTTTGTTTATCTGCTCATTGTGTAGGAAGTAGCATTTGTTATTCAGCTCTGCACATGCTATCAGATGACATGATAATGGATAAAACATAAACAAATTCACTATGTCGCTATTGCTTGTGTATGAAGAGGAAAAGCTATAAACTATAATTGGGAATAAATTACAGAGGAGAAGAAATTCTGTTATGTGGATGTGTCTAGTCAGTGTAACATCTGATCATTGTTTTTTGCTTGCTAGGTGTCCCCTGCCTCTGGCCTTGTCTCCATATTGAAGAAGCGACGCGTTTGTGTCGACACCATTAGTATGTCTACCAGCACAGAGACCCAACCTGACAAAATCCCTGCCAAAAGACGGGTCCGCTTCAAAGCCCCTGATGATGGCTACGATCAGGGTGTGTTTGTGTGTTTAGATTCGTATCCCTCCATGAACATGGAGAATTCCCTAACGTATTGCCTCATTATGAGTAAGCCAATTTGTAATCCTGAAAGGGTTCAATTTAATGCAAGGTAACATTCACCACATGTACTAACTCATTGTAGCAACACTATTGTCACAAAATGGTAGATGAACTCTATAAACTTCTCATCTTCATTATTGATCTAATGCCCGTTCACTTCTATCCAACTACATCGCTCACTCTGTGTCTCTTTCCCTGTAGATGTTGGCGGTGGAGACTCCTGCCTGCTTCTCTTCCTGCTTTGTCTAGTTACCGTAGTGATCAGTGTGGGTGGCACCGCTCTCTACTGTGCCCTGGGAGACACCCACTCCTCAGTCTGTCAGGACTTCTCCAGAAATGCAGACTTCTACATTGGCCAGTTGCAGAGCGGGATCGCTCAACTCAGACTCTGGTTTGCTCCCGGGTCATAGCAGCGTACAGTCTCTTCTTCATTGTGGAGCCAGAGACCTTATCGTTCATCACTGCAGGCTCCAGCGGTCCTCTGCGACTTCCTGGGACAGTGTTCCGTGAGGTAATGGCGCCAGGCAGCTACTGCAGTCCCTGCCGCTATGTTCAACAAGTAGCTATTATGCTGCCTAAGCATTTAAATCCGATGTTTTTGGCATTTGTAAGCCTGCTCTACTGCATTTTTAAAGCTCCTTCAATCCAATCCCAGGGTTCAGCCTAAAAGTCATAGGTCAGTACAACACTCATTTGAAAAGGAAAGAAGAACAGAGAGCGAGAGAGAGAGAGAATTGGAGACGTTGTAACAGCAGAGGAAGAAGTGACCTACACTGATCTCAGCCCCCTACAGATTGAAACGCTTTAATTCTCAAGCTAGAAATTGATAAAGTGACTATTGAGTGTGCGATTGAACGCAGATAAATCTCCCGCGACTGGATACAAGCTTCCACTGACGTCTCCGAGACTCAACTCCCCCTATTTAAGAATAAAAACAAAGAATGCTGCAACCACGCAGAGATAAAGTCAGCATAATGTATAGTTGGTTAACTGGTGGGCACAGAGAAGCTCTCTCCACACACTGGAAGTGGCTCAATGGGGATTTTACAAACCGCTGCACCCCCTGGTGTTGCTTTTTTTCTTGACTTAAAAAAAGAAATCACAAATGAAATTTTAAAATTAACACGGCATTCTGTGGTTTTCTACTTAGAATGAAATCATGTCTTAATCAACCTTTGAATGAATGTTTGCATTTTAATGTTAAACTTGTGGGGTATTTGTGTATTATCCAAACTTTAGATGAGTGTCGTGTCGCTGCCCTTTTCTCGACAACGTTTTGCAGTGAGCTTGAGACTAAAAGTCCAATCTACCCCTTCATGGTGTTCAAAGAGGTGAACTTAGCTTTGTGTAGCATATGCAAAATGTACAGGAACACAGTGCACCTCTGTATATATTGTCAGTAGAATGTTTAACATGTTGCACATAAGACTGGTACGATTTTTTTAAAGATATTGCAATATTTTTACAGTTGTTCAGTCAGTCCTGGACAAAATTTAGATTTGACATGATTACATTATAAACAACAAATATCCATATGCACAAACCTTTTCAGGGTTATTGTGACCAACGGTTATGCTCAGATAACTTGCAACAGGAAAATACTCAAAACTTATGCGGGTCTTGTTAAGTATGGAATATTTCTGTAAAAAAAGATACATGAGCATTGTATAATTAGTAATAATCATTCTGTGTACTCTTTGTCAGTAAAGGGCCTCGATGTCGATACGATCATTTGAGGCTCCGTCTACCTGTCTGTTTGCTGTATTTGGGATTATGGGCATCACGTCACCTTGTGACATTCAATCTTTACCTTTTGGTTGCAACGCAATCATTTTTGCCACCACTTGGTCTCTGTAAAGACTCCTCTTGCTTAGCGTTTGCCATTTCTGTTTAAACTAATCTAATGTGTTGCATCTGTCGAGTCCTGGTTTGATAGAGAATGGGTGGAGGACTGATTTCCTGCTGAGACGGAGAAGAGGCTGTTCTGGAAGGCTGACACTTTGTCTACGAAACCCTTTCTTTATTCTCACCGCAATGCTTTAACCTTTAGTTCAAGTCATTTTAATGCTTTTTTAATTTCCTGCTTGATCTCACTTTTTGCCTCAACAGGCAGAGATACTTTATGTGTTATTTTCTAAGATTGTGCAATGTTTGTGGTCCTGTTAATTATCTTTCCTCTCGATGCCATAAAACTTACCCTAGAAAATCCACATATCTCACAAAAGTCTTAATTGTCAGGATGTAAAGACAAACGACTCCATTATAGAGGTAAGACTCAAGTGTCTTAATTATGCATTTACAGTAGTTTAAGATGATGTTATCTTCCTCTTACTGTGTGTCGCTTACAAAAACCTGAACTTTTGTTTGAGTTATGAGGTCTCCTGGGGTGTAAGGTGTAGCAGATTGATTCTTGTTTTAATTTGCACGTCGTCTGGCTGGTTCAGATGGCCAGAAAACCTCATATTTAATCTTGTAGATGATTTCAATTATTTATAATACGAGAGTTCTCTTGTGCAGGTGGTAAAAAAAAGAAAAGGTTTGTTTTCTGTGCTTGATTATTGTCATTATACATCAGATGTTCATCTCTTATTTCACCATTGTTTTTAATGAGGCGTTGACGGAGAATTCTTATTCTTATTCTATAAACTAACTCTTCTGAACAAAACAACATGGTTGTTTATTATTCATTGATGTTCCCTTATGAGGAACTAGTGAGTTTGTTACTTGCTCCAAACAGATTGCTAAAATATTCAGGATTATTCCAATCTTTTGTCCAATTGTTTTTTTAACAGAACATTCAGGAATGAATGAATGAAGTAAGTCTTTGTTCTGTGTATGAATTAGTGCTGTGTATCAATATTATTAGCCTGAAAGTTCTTTTATGAATAGTTTGATAGTTTCTTTTTGTTCCTGAAGATTGTAATGAGTTTTTGACAACAAGCCATTGAAACAAAGTTTTTGTCTCCAATTTGTTTCTGTCAATCTGTCTCTCCTGCAACAATAACGGTAATCATATTAAGACATTTTGAACTTCATGTCAAATCTTTTTCGATCTACAGAGCTGAAGAATGTAGTGATGCAAACAGGGCAAATTTGACTGAATTACACTATTTTACTATTTTTACACTACACGTTTGATCTAAAGGGAAAAATCCCCCTTTATCCCCTCTACCGTCTATGTGCTAATCCAAAGCAACATGTGGAGGACATGATTAATACTGTAAAACATGCAAGGACTGTGGTCACACACTATTGTCATTTAAAGTCCTACTATTCATTTACATGCGTCTCATTAGTATAAAAAGTATTTTCTCACACAGGTTGCATGTTTAAAATCGATTGAAAGCATGTAAGTGTTATCAGCAAACGTTATTAAGTAGTATTCTAGTAGGTTATTTAGACAACTTAGTTCTCAATGATTAATTAGGCGTCTAAAAAGGTAACGCTTGATTCCACGGTGCAGTGTGCTTATTGTGGAGGATTGCAGTTTTTGTTGTGGTTGAATCTATATATCATTATATCATTGATAGTGACCGGGTAAACAAAATATTTTAAATTTCGTCCAGATCTTTTCGTATGAATCCCGCGGATGGACAACGTGCGCTACAACGGGTGACGTCATGACGCACCGCCTGCGTCTCTGACGCTGCGGATGTAAACACTGCTCGGTTCACGCGGCGGGGAAAAACCGGGTAAACCCGACTATGCCTCCGAAGCTGAAGCGGTTCGTCAGTCCGGGAAAAGGTAACGGTCTGCGGGCGACAGTCCGGATCCGGAGAGGAGAGCTGGTGTACTCCGCCGAGCCGCTGGCGTGCTGCGTGTCCAACAAACTGGCCAGAGACGTCTGCCACCACTGCTTCTCACGGTGAGACGCCTCGGACACGCGAATACGCGGCGGGGCTGTAAAGGCGAAGACATGTTTCTGCGTCATACCCGATGAACGTTTTCATGAGTACATCCTCGTGTGAATGATACAGGCTGGTTAGTGCAGAGCTGCACAGGCTCACATGGTTCACACGTAGTGGACTTGCGGTGGAGTTCTTAAACCGGCCAGTAGATGGCGCCATCGCCCTTTCATGCTTTATGAGGCGGCGGGAAGGGTTTACAGCAATATTCCCAATATACATAAGATATCCAACACTACTAAATGTAAATGTGATGGTGGCAGATGATAACCTGCAGGTGTGAACAGGTAGTTCTGCGCATGGGCGGCAGATATATTGTGAGTTGAAATGGTTTGGAAAATAAATTGTTTCTCAATTTAGTTTTTTTTTGTTTCGTAAAAGAGCTACGTGCAAGGTCTATCAAGTTCACTGCGTGGCTGCTAATATCATTCATTGTTACATTGTTTTGGGTTATTTTAGAAACCAGCTTCATGCAACTAATTGCATAAGTTTGAGTTTAATCAGTGTGGTAATCGGGTAATTGCAGCGTGTCAGAGTGTGCTGCTGATTCCTGTGCAGAAAATGTAAGGTGACTGAATCAATTATTATTGGTTATATGGAGTTTATATATGAGCCTTTGTATTAAATGTAAGACGATTAATGAGAGCAGCTGATGCAGATGACCTCTGGGAGAATTTAAAGATGAAGCGCATGTCCAGTTTTGATTTCCACATGAAGGTGAAATGCGACGAAGCGTGTGATCACTTCAGCATTGGCTCATTCTGTAGTTTCTCCCTGTGCTCCATTTGAAAGGAGCGTCCTTTCACCCCTTCCACCGTGTTACTCTGCAATGTGTGAGCACTGGAAAAAGCTCATTGTGACATAGCTCATAGGTATAAGATGTACAGTCTGTGATGATGTGTGTCATCAGATGTCAGATTCTTAGTGTCAGTGTACTTTCAGGAGCTTTTCTGATCCTTCCCTTAATCCACATGACTGAAACAAGAACATTTAAGATGATGGATCATTGAGGGTGAAGGTGAGCAGACTGAAAGCAGCAAGACCAATATACTTTAATATAGAGAGCTAATAGTGTGTGTGTGTGTGTAAGCGCATATACTTAAACCATGTTCTCCCCTGTAACATATAGTGGTGTTTCAGATTAGGATTCCTTTAAAAAAAAAAAAAAATGTATTACTGGGTTTAAGACAAAATATGATTCAGGCCTAAATTAGTTGTCTTTTTTATGGACAGTGGCAAATTTCTTACCTCATAATTAAAAAACTGATCAATAGTTTGTTTCCCTTCTGGACTCGATGGCAAATCCGCTGCCTGAGGACGGCGCCTATTGATTCTCTACTGCGTGTGTTTCGTTGGCCGTTGGTGCGTTTACATGATGTCAGAGCGGATTGTGTTCTGGATAAATAAAATCAAAAGATGCACGTCGACACACTTCTCTTGTTGTAGTATCCAGAGGTGTAATGTCCTGGCGGTCCGTTCCAGCTGTGCGGGGACAGAGACCCTCCCTGGGTTTCTATGAGATCACTGTTCCCTCCGCAGAGCGCCAATCATTTCAAACTAGCGTGTGACGTGCATGAACATGAACCCGCCAGCAGACCTGGGTTTTAATAGCAGTCTTGATGTCTTAAAGGCCCCACATTAATAACATGCCTTTTATTTTCCTGATGATTCCACAAAAATACAACCTTGTTGTGATTGTGGAGTCGCCTCTGTCCATCCCATTGTAATGTTGACCTTTGTTCTTAAGTCATTTACAGCCAATCGTCTGATTGACTCCAGGTATCATCATGTTAGCCGCTCTACCACACACACACACACACACACACACACACGTATTACGACTCCCGGCTGCAGCTTTAACACATGACTTGATATGTATTCGATTAAAAGAACACATTCACCTCTCACGCAGGAAGATAAAGTTATAAGAACAGGAATCAATAATAAATTAAAGCCTCCACTGAATACCATTCTTTTCTTTAGTGCTCGAGGTAGAGGAGGGAAGTGACAGAGGCCGTGTTGTGCAAAGTATGATCATGTTTTGGGGTTATTGAATATCTGTCACAGCTACATCTGCTCGCCTGGTGGCCGACACTCAACCTCAGTGTCACAACAACTCTTGCAATTATTTTATTGATTTGATATCAGTGAGACATATGAGAGTTGTACTGGTATCACAATTAGAATCGCACGATTTGGCTTACACGCAATTAGTTTCGCAGTATGTCTGAGGGGAGAAGAATGTGTGCGGATGTGTGAGTTTGCAATTTTGTGTGCCTTTTATATCAAGGACAACAGAGATTTACTGGATGGTGTGTGTGCGTGCGTGCGTGCGTGCGTGCGCGCGTGCAGGAAATAAGCAGGTGGGGGGATCAAAGCTGAAGTTAATTACAGGCGTGGAAGGCTGTATGTAAGTGACGACTGATAGACGCTGAGGGAGTAGACTCTCACACACACACACACACACACACACACACACCTCAGCAGGATTCAAATGGCCAGAGGTAAACAAACAAACTATTAGTGGTAGGGGTGGGAATCTCTTGGCACCTCACGATTTGATTCGATTCCGATTCAGAGGTCAACGATTCGATTCTAAACCCATTATCGATTCTAAACCGATTATCAATCCTAAACTGATAAAACGATTATCGATCGTTTAGTGACTGGCTCCGCCCCCTTACTGTCAAAAAGAAAAACAGCGAGCGCGTAGAAAACACCGTCGAGCGCGAGCAGAGACTAACCTCGCGAGCGAGGAAGTTCATGCTCCGCGAGCGAGCAAATATCTCGCACGAGACAGGCTTTTAAAAAAAAAAATGTATTCAGATTATTAACTTTTCTGCATCGAGACCGAATCGTTCTAGAGAGAATCGAGAAAAAAACGAAAAATTATTTTTTCCCCCACCCCTAATTAGCGGTTCTCAGACTCTGCAAAGAGGGAAAAAAAGGAAAATCTATTTTTTCCATTTCAAAAGGCACAAATTGTCCAGTTGTTTTTTTTCTTTTCACATCCTTTTTCTAGTTAATTTGAAAAGTGGTCACTTTGGCCTCAGTGTGTTAACGTTGTTTCCCTGCGGCCCCTTTAAAGTGGATCAGTACATTTGTTTGTATCGATATCTCGCCATGTTAATCATGGTGTTTCGACCACAAGTAATACGATCCCTCATGTTGGTTGCGTTTTGTGTTATTGTTGTCAATTCGTTTTGGTCACTAAGGCGTCAGAATCCTTGATGACGAAGAAAGAGAAAGATGTGTTTTGGTTTTCCATCATCACGCAGGAACAGTGATGTTGGTTTTACAATTCATTTGAAAGCTGTTTATTTGAAAAACTGAAAACTGCTTGAAAACGGAATCCTAGTCAGAGTGACGGTTAAATATGTGCATCAAAACTGTGAGAGGAGGAGAAAGAAGTTCCTGTTCACATTCTCTGTTGTACGTAACTAACACACACACACATACACACACACACACACATACTTGCTTTGATGGGTTTTTGACAGAACAAAGAATAACCCAGATGTATTAATCTCAGCTGTCAAGTTGTGCGTCTATTTGTGGTGTTAGTAGAGGGGAGCAGGGCGACATTATTTCTGTCAGATGAAGTCTTTTATTTGGCACCAATCTCTCACTCTGTGTCTCTTCGGACCACAAAGAAACAGACACACTGGCGAACAGTGCAAACAACAAACACGTCTAGAAGTTTTGCCTTTTTTATTGCAACAAACTTTTGATTGAAAGTTGGATAAACCATTTATTTTATTCTTCTAAAAGAACATAAGTAATATTGACAGGCGGTTGAGTCAAGAGTTTTGCTCCAATTTCAGCTGGATTTAAATGCCTCTTGGAAGCTGAGAAAATGCACAGAACAAGTCCTCATCAGTATTTAAGAGCAACTAAATGCATGAAAGCGGAGGTTATGTCAGTCAGAACGTGTAAAAAATGGACTTGTGTTCAGTAACGTTAGCCGCAGCTAGGAGGCATCGTACCACCCAGCTAGGAGGCATCGCATACACCCAGCTAGGAGGCATCGCATACACCCAGCTAGGAGGCATCGTACCACCCAGCTAGGAGGCATCGTACCACCCAGCTAGGAGGCATCGTACACACCCAGCTAGGAGGCATCGTACCACCCAGCTAGGGGGCATCGTACCACCCAGCTAGGAGGCATCGTACACACCCAGCTAGGAGGCATCGCATACACCCAGCTAGGAGGCATCGCATACACCCAGCTAGGAGGCATCGCATACACCCAGCTAGGAGGCATCGTACACACCCAGCTAGGGAGCGTTTATCATGTTTATTCATGTTTATTCAGCAGATCACAAGGATCATATTATTTTTGTGCTCTCTAATTTGCTCAATTTACTTTTCGTATTTAAAATTGGCTTCACGTTCTGTCTGAACACACCTTTTTCTCTTAGAGTGCTCCGTACTTCCCTCACTTGTGTGAATATCTCCTGTTCGTTTTTCTCCCTCTACTCTGCTGCGTTATGTTCGCCTCTCGGTCCATTCTCTTCATTCGTCTTCATTCTTCCAGCACAGCCTGTCTCTTTGTCAAACACCCACCCCGTCTCTCTTACTCATGCAGGCTTATGCATACATCTTATCTCTTCCTTCCGCATATCCCTCCCTCCTCGTGTCGCAGGCACACATACAGTAAGCGATAAGCGTGTGTGGATGCAGGCGTATGTGAGGCATACAGATGACTACTTTAGAGGCAGTTAGACGAGCCGGAGGAAAGAGGAGCTCGAGCAGATGAGAGGAGGGAAAAGGTTCAATGGGCAAGTCAGCGCTCGTCTTCCTCCTCACCTGTATCTCCCCCTCGATTCATCATCCCATCTGCTGCTTCTGGCATCTATAACTTTCTCCTTCCCATCTGCTTTCCTTCTCTTCTCATACACCTAGTTTTTTCTCGAGCGTGCGTCTCTTCCACTCTCTTCATTCCTCAGATGGATTTTTA